GTCTGAATCAGTCTGCAGGCGAGCCCGGCCGAGCCCGGCCGAGCCAGCCGGGTAGCTGTGACCCACATACTGCACTAGCCACTCTGCCGCGCCTCGGCCGCGCGATCCGTTCGAAGGCAACCGAAGGCGACCGAAGGCAGCGCGGTCCTCCCAGTTCACTTGCCCACCTGCGAGCGCGGCAGCGGCCTGACCCGGCCGGGCCAAGCGCATGCTAGGGCAGCCTGGCGAAGGACGCGGCGACGCAGTCGGGGAAAGGCGGCGGTGGGTTGGCACCGTAACCAATGCCAATCTCACAACGACAAAAAATTTAAAAAGTTTTAAAAAAAAATCATCAAGTGATACAGACTGATCAAAATCGCCGTTGGAGAGATCCAAATTTGTAGTGGCTGGAGCTACGCGCGGGCTTTACAGAATCATAGAAATGACCGTTTCCGTGTGTACCCTGCCAAAAATGAGAGGAAAAAGGGAATGAAAATGAAGTTGGTAGCACGCGTTCCCTTCGCGCGAATTCGCAATCGACGGAGCGCAGAGTAATTGCTTTGTGTTTACGCCGCTAATGACAGAACGTAAAACTCGCGCCAAAAAAAAACAACAAAACTGTTTGTTCCGACGGTACCGCGTGATACTGTTTGTTTTCGTCTTTACTCGAAAAAAAGAGGACAACATGCATGACGTGCTTTTTTTTGGCACAGTGCCTTGTGATTGGTCCTGGTCTGCTGCCTTTCGCTTCAATTGGTGGAAGAGCAGAATGCGATAAGTGACTCGCTGGATGCAGCACCACTTGCACTGCTTTCGCTTCTTTCGAAATCCGTTGCTCAGATCTGCCGCAATTACTACTGCTGGTACAACACGAAGAGATCCGCGCCGCGGCATTTCGGCGCAGCACAACGAGACGGATCCAGTCCGGGGTTGCTCAAGTCGAAAATTGGGTGCGGGTGCGAGTCATTCTCTCGCACCGGCCTTGGAAATGCTTTTGGGGGCACACTGGATTCACAGGCCAAAGGCGCTCGGCTGACCTAGTATCCACCAGCAATCAGCTGGGCCAAAACAGTTATTTTCCAAGCGGAGTTTTAAATTTAAACCCAAGATTTTATTTCTTACGCTACGAAGGTCTTTTTTCCCCGTTCGGAACTAAAATTTGGGCAACACTGCAAACGCTTCTCGGCTAGTTTTTTGCAGTGAGGTTTCTCCTCGGCCATCCTCGCCATGTGTGTTATATCGGCTGTGTGAGCGACGCCGCTGTTAGTTAGGCCCAGCACCGGAGCGTCTCTACTCCCCGCTTTCTCTGTGCCCTTGCCGTGCTGCCTCCCCCCCCCAACAAAGGCTGCATACCGTGCCGCTGTCGCACAGCGCCCGCCACGCCACGCACAGCGGCGAAAAAAGCGCGGGCTTGACGAAAAAGGGACCTTCGAAGGATATCGGAAAACTTTTATTTTCGTCTGGCAACCTATACCGGACAGACAGACGGACAGACAGTCGTTAATTGTCCCCCAAAGAGCTCCCGCTCTCTCTCTCTCTCCTCAAGTAAATAGCTGGCGGCGCCTCCAGAGATAGGCCAGCGGCGCTTCGAATCAATTAAGGAGGAAAAGGATAAAAAAACACGAGACGGGAAAAAACAAACACCGGTAACTTTCTTCAACCGAACACACACACACACACACACACACACACACACCACACTGCACTACCGCCGCCTCTAATCCATTCACAATGTGTCGGTGGTGGCCCCGCCCCGCCCGGACACTTGACACCGTTGCGTCACGGCGACTCGCGGCGACTCGCTTCCTGGAGACACTACTACTTCCGAAGTGCCCGGTCGGGCCGCCCGTCGGTCCGAACCGCTGGACCGCGGCAAGTGCTTTTACTGCCCTTCGTTAAGCCGAGCCGCCCATAGTGTCGTTCCATGTTGTTTTCCTATTCATTTATTCTATTGTTTTTATTTGTTTTTCGTAAGAAAAATTGTGCTGTAGCTGAATCCGCTTTGGTTAATTTTGTTCCTTCCAAGCTCTATTTTTTTTTTCATTTTTTTTTTATAAAACTGCGAACGATGACTGTGTAGGTGCGCGAATGATGCGTGGCAGTCCAAGACAAACGACGTGCCGGGCACAATACGTTTCCCAGCGCGCACCGCGCGCGCCGCGCCACTCCACTACAATGTTGCAGTCGGGCCCTTCCCTTTACGAGCGCCTAGTGGCGTGGCGTGGCCTGGCCTGGCGTCCCCAAAGGGGGCCCCCGGGGGAGACCAGGGGGTTCCCGGAGGAGGCGATGCGAGCTGGAAGCCCCCGCAAGGGCCGCGAGTCCGCGCCCCGCCCGGCCCTGCCGTTCACTGGCTTGCACTGGCTTGCACTGGCTCGGCGGAGAGTGTGCTGGAACGCCTTCGGTTTACGCGTCTGCCTGCCTCGCCGCCTTAGTCACCAAACGAATCAAAGACAACAGCAACAAACGACAACGGGACGGAAAAACGGGATCGCGGAGCCCCCGGCGGGTAGGCCCGCCCGCAAGACATGCTGTCGCCACGGGCTTGCCTACCCTCCGCATGGCAGGGGCTCCCGGTGGGTGGACGTTACCTTGCTGCTGCTGTGTTGTTGTTGTTGTTGTTTTGTGTTCTCCTCCGCCCTCGCGGCCTCAGCATTATGCGCACGGCAATGCAATTTGAATTTCCCGCGTCGTCGTCGTCATGGCGACGACCGTCGCTTCAGACGGCGGCCTGCAGCGAGGCTAGGTCGGGGTTCTGCGTGTGGGTGGAGCCGAAGCAGGCTGAAGCAGCGAGGCCCCCGTCAACAAAACCGACTCGTTTATGTCACAGCCTCTCTCTCTCTCCCGCTGGCAGTAGCGCGGGGCGTTCCGTGTGGGTGCGAGAGAGACGGAGACAGTGCGTGGTCTGGTTCCAGGCCTAGTGGAGGCATGGCAGGCGAGGCTGGCGTAGCGGGGCTGTTCCGGGCCGCCCGTACGCGGCGCGGCGGCACGGTGCAGGAACTAGGATGATGACAGCCCGCCGGCAGGATGGAGGATTTTAGGGAGGGCATTCAAAAGGACTCGCCGTGAATAACAGTGCTGTACCGGCCGGGCCGGGCCGGGCACTGTGGGAGTGAGCGGGGCAGAGCGGAGCGGACCCCCTGGAGCAGGCGGTGTCGAGCCCGGAGCTCCCTGTGCTACCGGCCGCCTGTGCTCGCTGGGCCGGCCGCGACTCCCACCCACTCCCTCGCCGGCTTGCCCGGCTTGCCCACTCCTACCCGTCCGGCCGGGCTCGCCACGGCGCGGCTCGCTGCAAAAACAAACCGGACGTCGCCGGAAATGTACGGAACTAAGTACGTACTCTGCTAGGCGAGCGGAGCTGGGCGGAGCCGGGGCGAGGCGAGGCGGCGTTCGTCTGGGAACCGTCGACGCGCACAGGAAGCAACAATGTTCTCGTCGTTTTTGCGCCGCTTCTGGACCCTCCTAGCGGCGCTTCTGATGTCGCTTACCGCGCCAATTTTAATTATATGAATGCAAATTAAATTTTTTTTTGCAAAGAGTCCAATGTGATGTAACGTTAAACTTTTTGGCGTCATTCCCCTTGAGATTGACACCGTTCAGACCGCCGCGAATTCGGCACCACTCTCGGCCTCCTTTTTCTTTCGTTCGAAAATAAACATTAACCGAGGCGGTTCGGCGAGAGCACTTAAAGTTGGCGGGGCGTTGGCACCACCGCCTGCGGTTTACGGCCTTTACGGCCTCTGCAGTGCTGGCGTCGTTGGCGTCGCTGCGATTCGGCCACGATAGGCCGAGGGACCCGAAGGGACCCGAAGGTGCAGCCGTCTCTCTCACTCCGCCTTGTCAGCCTGTCACACCTCAAGGGGCCCCATGATTGGCTGCTGACGAACGCCGACCCCCCGGGGGGCAACGCGCTGCGCCGCGTCACTTTGTCTCAAACGCGCCGCCATCGACGGGAGGCCTTGGCCTATCACGGCGCCACCTGCAGGACCCGCAGAGGGCCTCAACCACGGACCTATGACGTTCGGTTCGAAAAAAAAATGAAAAATAAAAGTTTGTTGTAAAAAAACTTCTTGCGTTAAAAAAAATGAAAATTTCCTTGAAGAAGAAGGTTTGAAATTTTTAATTTTTTTTTGCATGGAAAAAATTTGAAATTTTTCTTGTACAAAAAAAAATTGTATGAAAAAAAAACTAAAATTTGTCTTTTGAACTTTTTCCTGTGACGAAATTAAAATTTACGGTAGACTGGAAACCTTACTTTTGAAAAACTTAACTGTGCACCCGGCCTGCTGCACCCGTTCGGGTGGCAACCGGCCGCAAACGCACACAGCCTTGATGAGCTGCTCCGGGTTACGCCCCGGCACCCACTAGGCCCCTCGTGGACTAATGGTGCCGAGAAAAAGCTGGCCGGGCGATTCGAAAATAAACCACCGGGAAAGGCGTACGGGGCTTTAAAAACAAAAACTAAAAAGAAACTGTGCGTACTCAGTCGAACCGCATGCAGTTACGCTGAGAGTCACCTGCGCCTTCCTGTCGGTTGCGTCGTCGTCGGCGCGGAAGGCGAAAAACTAGAACATGAACGCGGACTAAACGACCACACTCTCTGCCTCCCCTGCAGGGCGCTGCCAGGCCCTGCAGGAAGCAGAGCAAGGTGCTATTTGGCGCGCCTAAAACGGTCACTCTGTTACGGAAAGGGAAGGCCTGGCGCTCGGCCGATTGCGATCTGAGACCCCCCACCACCCTCCCCCTCCCCGATGGAATCGACAAGTCGGTTCGAGCCGCGAGTCAGCGAAATGCGTGTCTTATCGGGGATCTTATTTAATAATAAGGAGGAAACGGCGCAGCGCGGTGCCATTGTAATTCAAAGCTACTCAGCCAGAAATACTAGAGTCGGTGCGCCAGCGGGCTGCGCTTCCAAGACTCGGCCGAAGTCGCGCTAATTTGTAGACGGACTTTTGTTGTCGGGTACTAAGTGCATCTTGTTGTTGTTGCTGCTGTTGTTGACGTCATTGTTGTTGTTGTTGCAGGGGTCCGACCCGAGGGTGGCCACGTGTCGCGGTAAGCTCCAGAACAAGCGGTCCAGACTCAACCAAGAGATCAACAAGGAGCTGAGGCTACGGGCCGGGGCCGAGAACCTCTTCAAGTAAGTCCTAAGCGTCTTGCAGAAAACATTTTTCTTTTTCAAAAATCAATTTAATTTATGAAAATCAAGAGGAAATTCGGGATGATTGTGCCAGTATGTGCCGCGCAGTGCATAGCAGTCCAGTCGAGCAAGCCGGTCGTGATTTGAGTCCTATTGCGATCGGAGAGCGGTTCCGGGAAGCGAGCCCCCCACCCACACACGGTGAACGCCTTGTTCTTGGCCTTCCCCGACACTGTGCGCTACCGCCCACATTTCCTCGCGTTTCGGGTGTTTCTGTTTTAAACTATAATGTTTTTGAACTGGAATGTCTTCTTTTTTTATACGTAAATGTTGTTGTTGTTTTTTGGACTAAAATGTTTTTGTTTACAGGGCGACGACCAACCGCAAGCTGAGGGAGACGGTGGCGCTGGAGCTCAGCTTCGTCAACTCGAACCTGCAGCTGCTCAAGGAACAACTGGCAGAGCTCAACAGTTCCGTGGAGCTGTACCAGAATGAGAGGTGAGTGTGGGGAGGGGACCGAGGCCAACGAACTTTGGATCACATCGTCAATTTCCGGACATTTCTGTTTTTGACGGTGTGCCAGAGAGACAGTGCACAATCCGTAGACAACTCCGCCTTGCCTTGTATGAGAAATCGCTGATGATTTCGCAGTGTGGCCGTCCGTGTTGGGTGAACGACTTGTGCACTTTTACGTTCGCGTGGGGTGCCTCATCTGCAAAACTGATGCCATGCCTCTCCTGGCAGGACATGGCAAGACATGGCAGCGCGCTGCATTTACTGCCTATAAAAGTTCCCCTGGCGGCGCTGGACATTTCCCAGGGCGGTGTCGCCAACACCAGTAGTGTGAGTTGGTCCAGACCAGGCCGCCAGACCCTGCACTGCGAGCCGGATAATTTGGGCCGGTGCCTGGGAATCGTGACACCGTAAAACGAAGAACGCAAAACAAAACAAAAAAAATTCCACACCTTGCCAGCTGGCAATTTTTTTTAAATGGCATTTTTTTGTAGGATGAAAAGTTTCCAGTTCGACAGAAAATAAGGGTTGGATTCCCCTTGCATTTTTTTCTGAAGGACGTGGACGTCCTCAGCATCGCGCACCAGGGCGTCGTTTCGACATGGCAAGGCGAGAGGAGGCGGCGGCTCTATGAACACGGTTTGTGGCCCTCGCGCACAGACTCGCGAGAGGCACGTCGACTTTCGCCGAGTGCTCCCCAGTTAGCACGTGCTCGCCAACGAGGCCCGTCGCGCCTTGCGCCACAATCTCGACGATTTGAAGAATTCGAAAGAGAATTCGAAACTGTTCTCGACGCGCCTCACGCCGCCTCACGCCTCGCGAAGCGGCCTGCCCTTGGGCCTGCCTGGCTGCGGCCTAGCGGGTTACTAAGTCGATTCGCGGTAACTGTACTCGTTGTCGAATCTGCATCTCTGGCCGGTGCGAGCTGGTGCAAGAGCTGGTGCGGGCTGGTGTTACTCTGCTGTTGCCACCTGGAGTCCCGGAGCCCCGTGCGAGCGCTGCGAGGTCCCTATGCAGGTCCCTCCAGCCTTGCCGAGTGCCCCAATGACCGGTTGGCTGCGGGGAAAGGGGAAGAGGAGGGGGAGCGAGCCAGCATCGATAATTGGACAAGCACGCGTTTTGTTAGCACTTGTCAATTGTGATTTATTCCCTCCACACGGTGTTTCACACACACACGCACACACACGGACCACACATCGAGCCATCTGCAGATGACCGGCCGGGCCGCGTAGATGATCCCACCATGGAAAAACGAAAATATATTAACCTATCCAAATCAGAATGTTTGAATCTGAATGCATTCGATATCTCGCACGCGGCATGCATTGGGTGCGAATCACCATCGACATCGACATTTCGGTCGTTCCGTCTCCCTCACAGGGCTCCGCGTTGCTTCGAGAGAGAGACGGGGTGACGAAACGCGGCGCGGATTCAGCGTGGCGTGCAAAGCACTGCAGTGCATTGCCATGGCGATGCCTGGCCGGCGCGAGAGTCGTTAAAAAGCGCATCGTTTGTAATGACACTGCCGGCCGCTAGAGGGCTCTCGCAGGGGCTCTCGGGACGCATTAGCGTCCGCTTTGCCTGGCTTTGCCCCGCGCGGCTTCGTTTTGCTTCGCTTTGCGATCGTTTTGATCGGGACTCCGTTAAGATATCTGATCCCTGCCGATTGCTTTTATGAGATCGTTTGAATGGCACTGCGCGGCGCGCCCCGGCCCGGCCTCTGGCGATGGCAGAAAAAGTGTGCTTCGGCTCGCACCGCGCGTGCGCGCAGCGGTTGTTGTTTTTCCCGCGTTTTTCTTTAACCAACTTTTTCTCTTTCAGCGCCGAGCCCAACACACCTATGATCCCGCTGGGCCTGAAGGAGACCAAGGAGATCGACTTCAGAGAGCCTTTCAAGGTGAGCCTTTCCAGCGGCCAGGCTAGGCCAGGTTAGGTTTGGTTTGGTTGTTCGTTGTTTGGAAAGTTTATGCACGACAAGGCGGAGGGGCAGGAAGGCCGTGTTGTTTCGGTCTTCGCTTCGCGTGCATTTCCCCAAACGGCTTTTAATTGCTCCTCATGATCTCACGCTCGAGGATCATTATGTTCGCGGCGATGTCTGTGTAATCTTGATGCTGTATTCAGCCGTGCCGTCCGCCTGTCCGTCTGTCCGTCCGTCCGTCCGCGCGTCTCCTTGGCACCAGGGCCGCGCACGTGGATCGAACAAAACTGAGGAACTATTGAGAAACGCGAACAAGGCCGAATCTCTTTTTATAGAATACACGCGGCTTGCCGGTGGCAATTTTATTGTCTCGGCCCGAGTGCGCGGAGTATGCGCGTAAGGTGCAGGAGGGCCTGCCGCGGGCCACGCCGGAACGTCGCCCTGCCTCTCTCGCGGCCCTTCGCCTCGAGTGCGAGAGAGACAGCGGCAGGCGGAGGCAGGGCCTGGCCTGCGGGGCGTGAGAGCGACTGCAGCATGACTGCAGGCAGGGCTACGTGTGGAGAGCCGGGCGATCTCTGCGGCCGGGGAATTGGAGCGAGGGCGGGCCTCTCTCTGTCTCTCTCGCACTGATGGGGCAGGGCCGGCAGCGTGCGAGAGAGACAGACGCGTCCCTTGTCTCGGCATTATCAGGGGCGGCTAATTGCGTTTGTTATTAAGACAGAACACGTTGTGCAGCACGGTCCGCGACGGTCCCTTGGGAAACGGAAGTGGGCGTTGTCGGCCGGGCATGGTCACAGGCACGGCGGACTGGCACATCAACGTGTCACATCGACGTCGACGTCCTCACGCAGTGACACGATGACGTGATGTCCGGACCACCCATTTTTTGACGTCTGCGGCCTCCGGACCGTCCGGGCGTGGAGGTGGTCTCGTCGGATTGCAGTGTGGTTGACGGCTTGCCTCGGCTTTGCCGGGGTTTGCCGCGTCGGGACTGTCGCCGTCCCCCTCGCACCATGCTCGCACGTGTGCGAGAGAGAGAGAGAGAGAGAGAGAGAGAGAGAGAGAGAGAGAGAGAGAGAGAGAGAAGAGAGAGAGAGAGAGCGACGAGGCAGTGGGCGCGCGCGAAGGCTAATTTCTGCGTGCTTTAATTACGGCTATCAGCCCTACACGGTGGCCTTTCGGTCTTTTTGTCGAATCTTCGTTTTTTTTGTCGCGTCACTCGGGGAAAGAATCGCGGGCGGAATCGCGATCTGACCGACAGCCGGCCGACACCGCAGTGCACCGCAGACGCGGGAAAGAAGGGCACCGCCTTGTAATTAGCCGCTCGCACTTCCGAAACGTACAGTCGCCGGGAAAAAAGGAAAAAAAAAGCGCGGCAAAACGAGACCTCGACTTCTCGCGCAGGGTAGCCGATGCAACGGGGCCGATAGAGGCGGCGCGGTGCGGTCACCCTGCCCGTTTCGTTTCCTCAATCTAACACGAGCGGATGGAGACGCTATCGCCGCCACGCCGTGAAATCGATTGAGTCGTCGCCTTCACGCCTCGCTTCGATGTATCGAACGAGCGCAATCACGCAGCACGTTTACTTAGCCTTAACCTCGATCCATCATCCGGGGAGGCGCGAAGCCACGCGAAGCGCGAAAGGGGCTTTGCAGTGTGGGTGTCGGACCGTCGTGGCGATCCCTTTCCCTCATTAGCTGCCGTGGAGACGCGCCAACACCGGAATCAGAACGACCGGCGGTCGTTTTCGGCGCTTCCCGCCCTTTTTCCACCACATGCGGGTAGGACACCGCCGGGCGCGACCGGGCGTGCTCCCTAGTCAGCGCTAGTCAGTCTGGCGGGTCGCGGCGCAGGTCAGTGGCGGTCATGTCCGCGGCGTGCCGGCGTGCGCGGCGAGTGGCCGTGAGTCCCAGACGCGCGGTTTGAAAGGGAAAGCGCCCACTTCACTTCCGCACTTCCTGTCACCGCCGCCAAGCCTCGCCGAGCCGCCGACCGCAGAGATGCATCAAGCCTTGCATCTACCGGGCCCTGCCTGCCTGCCTGCCTCGCCGTGCCGACCAGAGCCAGTCATTTTCGCCGCGTGATTTCGTGGTGTCGTAACCCCTGGCCGCAGGCACCACCGCAGGGAGCCCGATTTGAATCCCACATGGCGGCAGGCTGGCAGCCCTGGCAGGCACGCAGCGAGGTTTCGGCGCCCCGGGTGGGGCTATATGGGGCCGCGCAGCTGGAGGTGTCCCGAATGATAGAGTCCGCAGCTTCAGCAGCGCCGCGTCACTCTGTCTCTCTCGCACCCTTCGCTCCGTGAGTGCGAGAGGGACAGGGCCCGGAGCGCCTGGGAGGTAGGCCGCCGCTGCCGGCTCCACACAGGCGTGCGCCGCGGGTTGCAGCTCGTTCCTCTCTGTTGCAGGACTTCATACTGGAACACTACAGCGAGGATGGCGGTAGATACGAGAATGCAATCTCCGAGTTCATGGACATCAGACAGGCGATGCGGACGCCCTTGCGGGACAAGTCCGGGGTGGCCCTGCTCTTCCAGTACTACAGCCAGCTGTACTTCGTGGAAAGGCGCTTCTTCCCCCCGGACCGCAGCCTGGGCATATACTTCGAATGGTGAGAGCCGGGTGCAAATACCAACACCGCCCTTTTCTGTGGTTTCTTTCCCTCTTTCTTGCCGGCTGACGAGTGTCGCGCGTGTGCACTACAAACCCTTGAGAGCGGTGTGTCATGTTTTTTGTTGTTCCGCAGGTACGACTCCCTGACGGGCGTGCCGAGCTGCCAGCGCACAGTGGCGTTCGAGAAGGCGTGCGTGCTGTTCAACATCGGGGCCTTGTACACGCAGCTGGGCGCGCGGCAGGACCGGCAGACGGCGCGCGGCCTGGACCAGGCCGTGGACGCCTTCCTGCGCGCCGCCGGCACCTTCACCTACATCTGCGACAACTTCACCAACGCGCCCTCCATGGACCTGGGCCCGCACATGCTGCAGATGCTGGTGCAGCTCATGCTGGTGAGTGTAGCTTGCGTAGCTCCGTCTCTGTGTCGGGACGCCGCGTGAGTGCGAGAGAGACAGCCTGGAGACAGCCTGGAGACAGCCTGCAGGCGGCACGGAGTGGCACGGAGCGTCTGCCCTCAATTCCAGTGGGATTGACCGCGGATCCGGGCGGCGGAACACACCCAGTGGAACACACCCAGTTCTAGCGGCCCGCCAGGCCCGCCAGGCCCGCCTGCTAGGCCCGAGGCCCGCCGCCAGGCTAGTGGCGCGCACTCCACGGCACGCTCTACAATCAGCGGGGCGGGGCGGGGCGCTCTCTGGAGCCAGGCCGACTTGCCTGGGAGAACCTCGGTGGCCGCGAGCTGTGCAATCTGGTGGATTCCTGAACCATAAAATAGCGTAAAAACAGTGCCTCTTTACCTGCGTCACCCGCCACGGCGTTGCCACGGTGTTGCCACTCGTTCCTGACGCACTCGTCACGCTGCTGCAGGCCCAGGCGCGGGAGTGCCTGTTCGAGAAGCTGGACCTGCAGTCGCGGGACCCCTGCGAGGACGACGCCAGCGACACCAGGGACATGGACGTGTGCCTGGACTTGGCCCAAGAGTCGGCGCAGGTCGCCGACGTGTACGGCCTGGTGCACGACCTCATCTCGGCGTCCACCGTCAAGGACTACGTGCCCTTCTCGTGGGTGGCGCTGGCCCGCCTCAAGCGGGAGTACTACACGTCGCTGGCGCACTTCCACTGCGCCAGCGGCCTTTTGGCGCGGCCGCTGGCGCACCTGGACGACAGGTGAGGCCCGTCTGGGGTTCGAATACTGGCTTTGCTGTGTTTTCGCGGCGCTTTACCGTTGTTGTCGCGCAGGACGAAGGAGGCCCTGCAGTTCATGCACGCTGAGCCCGACGTGCGGACGCAGCTGGACATCCGGGTGCCGCAGGACGACGGCGAGAGGAAGCTGCTGGGTGAGTTGGAGTCCACGCCACCCCCTGGCGTCCCGTCCCGTTCTGCTCGAGATTGACTGACTTTTGCCCTCTTTTGCCCGCAGGCCGCGCGCACCTCCGCGCCGCCCTGCTGAGCGTGGAGGAGAGCCAGCGGCAGCAGCGCATGTGCCGCGAGCTGCGCGACAAGCTGGCCCTGCAGGCCGTGCTGCGCCGCACCCACGACCGCGCCATGGACTCGTACGCCGCGCACGAGGACGAGGAGGAGTTCAGGGAGCTGCTGGACCCGCCGAGAATACTGGGTGAGGCCCGTGAGGCCCCGGACTTCCCACAGTGGACTTACCAGAAGACCGGTGGAGCCGGCCAAGATTCTAGACGCATTTTGAGCTCCAGAGCCGCTAAATGGGACTCGAACCGAACGTATGACCCCACCAATGGATTGCTCTCCGAACGAGGAACCCATAGGTGGGGTCACACGTTCGGTTCGAGTCCCATTTAGCGACTCTGGAGCTCCAAACGCGTCCACCGGTTTTCTGGCAAATCCACTGTGCTTCCCTCTGGCTTCTGGCCCGGTGTCTGTTGGGCTGCCCACCACTCAGGCGGCCAACTGAACCTAACTGAACCTCCCTCTTCCTCTTCTGCCGGCAGCGTCGACTAAGTTCCAGCTCAGCCTGACGTCACCGGACTTCTCCCAGTTCCGAGTGGAGGACCCTTTCCGCAGCCTTGGCCCCGTGGCCATCTTCTCAGCGCGCCACCACTGGACGGCGCCGAGGCAGGTGACGCTGCAGCGCGCCGACGACGAGGGCTTCGGCTTCAGCGTCCGCGGCGACGCGCCCGTCATTGTGGCCGCCGTGGACAACGGCTCCCTCGCTGATGTACGTCCTCCGTCTACGAACTCGCATGTCGCTGGGGTGTTGTTTGGCACAACTTATTTTGCAATGTACTCCCCTCGGTTTCAGTTTGGTGGCATGAAGGAAGGCGACTTCATCGTGTCGATCGGCGACAAGGACGTCAAGTGGGCGGCCCACGAGCAGGTCGTCAAACTCATCAAGGAAGCAGGGGACTCCCTCACTCTCAAGCTAGTCACTCCCATGGACCGCAACTATCTAAAAGTAAGTCCATCACCTTATACTTGTTTGCAATTTTTTTCCCCCCTGGTTTTCTTTTTTTGTTCGGTGCTGTTATTAATTTTTTTCATTTTCTTTTGCTTTAGGCGGCTAATAAAAATAGCAACAAAAATTCTGGTTCAGTCTCTGCAGGCAGCTCAAGTGGGGAGCCAAGTCCAGCTTGTTCAGTTGCTGGCAGCACCACTAAGAAACTCACCTGGAACCCATTCCGAAAACAGCGGGAGAGGGATACTAGCTTTGAGGCCAGTAATGTTATTTTAAGATAGCCAAGCTGTGATTTTCTACGAGCTTAATCGGAGGTTTTTCTTCAAAGCGTAGTGCAAGTAGTTGAACGGAATTCCCCGACAGTGACAGTAAATTCCAGACACATGGTGTTGTGATTTTGTAATAAATTTTACTGTAGTCCCTGATGGCTCATGCTCATTGTACAATCCATGATAATTTTAAATTTAGGTAAAGTGATCATTAGACATCATCCAGGCTATCTCAGTACCTTATTCCTTGTAAATCAACTGTAAATATGTGCTAAATGTTGGAGCGTGTACATTTCTGAGTTATCTGTCATCTCATCAGAATAGATTTTCTGCTTGAAATGCCAGCATGTATATAATGCAAGAGTTTTTAAATTAAAGACCATGAAAAATGCTATTGTCCATCCAGGCAGAAGTTTTGGGTTTATTTTAGAGATGAAATCACTATTTAAACAATTTTCAAACAGAGTTCGTAATTGTACAAAGCAATTAATCAGTTGTACAATTTGTGTATATGAAATAACTATGTGTTGTTACCTTTGTTTTAAAGTGATAGATTTATTGTACTATTTTAAATTAACTTTGAGTTAATTTGGACTTAAAAACCTCTACATTGTTTCACCAATGTAGTTCTCTTATTCCGGCTTTCATTCTTATTGGAATTCATCTCCGCTCTGCTTTATCCAGTGTCATCATTGTTCTTTCTACGAAAATAAAGATTGAAAAGAGCGCCGTTGTTCGTTTCTTTTTCCCTTCCCATCGGCGACGAGGCGATTCGCCCCCTGTGCTTAGGCATCCCATTCGACACCAGGGCCAGCAGACGATACTCCGGGCGCGTCGTGCCACTACTCCGCGCGCGAGAGACTCCACTCTCGGAGCCGAGCAGTGGGTGGTCGTGGTGTGGTGGTCCGCTAACCTAACCTTACTTCGCTAGTGTCTCGTGCCGTGCAGCGGCAAGCGGCAGTGCGAGTAGTGCGGCGCTCGGCCTCGGCCAGTTTGGTCGCCGCAGCCGGTCTGGTTTATGGGTCTATGAACTCATGAAAACACTTTGAACACGTGTGTGCCGCTGCGCCCGGTCTGCGCCCAGTCTGCGCCCCTCCCCCTCCCCCTCCCCTCTCCCCTCTCCACCTGCACAACAGCGACAGCGACAACAGCGCACGGCTGTGATTGGCGGGTACGGAAGATAGCATCGTGCAGTGCTTGCTTGCTGGCCAGCGCCGCTAAGCGCCGCCGCCACCTCCCCCACCTCCCCCCTTCCCCTCTACTGTTGCCCGTGCCGCCGACGCCCGGCCCGTGCCTGCCTGCGCCTGCCCAGCCGTTTGTTGTGACTTGGACTGGACCGGAGTGTAGAGCCGTGCCGGAGCCGGTGTTTTGCTTTTGCTGCGTCCCACGCGCTGCTCTACAGCAACAACTGTGATTCCGAATTTCTTCATCAAAATGTCGGATTCCGAAAAGGACCTGTCTCCCTCTGACACTGAACTGGGAACAGGTGGTGAAGAAGAGGATCTCGAAGTAGAAGAAATCTTGGACTGCAAAAAGGACGCCACCGGCCAGGTGTTGTATCTGCTGAAATGGAAGGGCTTCACTGAGGAACACAACTCCTGGGAGCCGGAGGCGAATCTCGGATGCCCGGAGCTGCTGGAGGCTTTCAAGGCGAAACGTGCCAAGAAAGAGGCGCCAACCAGAGGCCCCGGCCCCAAGAAGGTGGTGCGCCGCTCCAAGGACTCCAACACCCGCAGGGACTCCAAGGAAGACGACCATAAGCATCCAGCGCAGCCCACAGATGCAGGTGACACCAGCAACATGACGCCTCCAGCCAAGAGAAAGAAATCGAACAAGATGGAAAAGCCTGAGCCAATGGACGAAGAAGAAAACAAGCTGATCTCCAAAGTGACAAGTGACGTCAAAGCCAAGTCAGCAGCCAAGCAGAATACCAAGGTGGTCAGTAAGGGCGTTGACGACAGTGGACCCAAAGGCTTTGATCGAGGGCTCGAAGCCGAAAAAATTCTTGGGGCTACGGACTGCCTTGGGGATCTTGTCTTCCTTATGAAATGGAAAGGTAGCAACCATGCAGACCTGGTAAACGCAAAGCAGGCTAATATTGAGTGCCCCCAAGTTGTCATAAAGTTTTATGAAGAGAGGCTGACTTGGCATTCCACTCAAGAATTGAAAGACATAATGAGCCAAGGCGTTAATTTGAAACTGTGATTTGTTTTTTGACAAGTGATTTGTTTGTTAGACGATCTCCTAGTCTTCAGTATTTGTGTATCTGACATCATGATGGTGGGGGTGACTTCGCTCATAAGTTATTTCTTTTTGTTTTGTCGTCACTTAAATGATTTGTCATTAAATGGCATGTGATTTTATGCATGCATGCCCTGATCTTATCGTACAAATAGCTAGGATTCTTAATTTATGTTGTTAATGCTAGTATGTATCTGATTTCTTTTAATTCTTCCATTTGTTACTTCTGAAATGTCTTTACACTAGTGACGAAAACAAAATTTCTGTAGACCGAAATGATTTGAAAATTGAGGCATGATCTGTTCTGAAAATTGTCCCATTGGTATTCTGGAAGATTTTAATAGGGTTACAAATAAACCAGTTTCTCGCCAAAGCACCTGTTTAATAATTATAACAACTCAATCTCTATAAGAATAAAAAAATATCACTACTGAGATACATTAATCCATGGCATTTGTTTCAATAATTTGTGAACTCTTTCCATTATTACATCATTAGAAACTAAACATTGGTTGAGTCCATACGGTGAATCTATAACTATTACATCCTCCATCACTAACATGTTCCCATCCTCGACCACTGGAATATGATTGGCACACAACCATGCCTTTAACTGAACCCTACGGCTCTCAGCTTCTTCTTCTGAGATTTGTTCCCCAGATACAAACAGCATCTCATCGGGGATAGGTTCAGAAGACACATCCTCTGTGACAGTAATTCGTGAGATACTAGTGACTGCATGACCGACTATGATGTCCATACTGATTCTGTCATCTTGACGCTTCAGTAATATGATGCTGGAGTATTAAACAATAAAACGGGTACAATTAGTTTCAATTAAAGTAATTGAGAGAAAAACAAGGCTGTTCAAGCATGAACATCAAGGTTACAGTATTATTTACCTCTCAGAAACGGGGTCGATGGTGTACACGAATCCCTTGTATGAAGAGCCAAGGTTCGTTTTCACTTCAACGAAGCTGTTAACGAATGACTTCAAGTGCAATGGGTCATTTTCGTAAACTTTTGACGTTTGAACTTCGTCGGTGGTCCGCTCCTCTGCCATCTTTGCATCAACATAAACAAACAGTGCTGCCAGTCTCCCAGACCCAAAAATGAGTGGAACCCACAAATAAGATGACACGTGATATTTTGTACCTTCGTCATGTAAGAGTCATCAAAAATACACAAGACACCAAAAAGGCCATTTTAAAAAATGGGAAAACCTTTGCGACCGCGTATCAAAGTCGATTGTGAATTGTGTGTGTTGGTACTCGAAATGGGCGGCAAACTTCGTGCATTTCAAGTGGCGTGACGAGAGGGGTAAGGAACAAGGGAAGTTCAGATCGCTTACTCACCAAGTTTTATTTACAAATAATAAATAAAATAAATAGATGTTCGTTAAAAAAAATAATTTAGTGGGTAGATAAGATCGGGACGGCGCTATCTCCTGGCGTGGGCACCGTAGGCGAGGTCACTGCCGGCCGCGGGGGTCGCCTCCGCCGCCCCCGTCGCCGCCCCCGCCGAGCCGGCGCGCCGCTTGTAGGGGCCGTAGGAGCTGGAGGCGTACTGGGCGCCGTACTGGTTGCCGTACTGCGCCGTGCCGTACTGCGGGCCGTACACGGGGGGCGGGGCGTAGCCGTTGTCGCGCTTCAACTGGACCCACAACGGCACCTGTTAGTGAGGTACAGTCATGAGAAAGCACGGGGGCGCGTAGCGCGTGGGACGAGGACTCTCGTGACGGGCCGTACCTCTCTGAGCAGCATGCGGACCAGCGCCATGATGAAGTACGACAGGTGGCCCCAGATGAGCAGCAGCGCCACCTTGAACTTGATGACGATCACGGCCACCACCCAGGCCCACCAGGTGAAGGCGTGCCACAGCTGGTACTTGAGGAACTTCTTCTTGTGGATGCCGCGCTGGCCTGAGGAGGAAGCTCAGTGACGTCACAGGGAACATCCAAACACGGACGCGACAAATCCAACTCTCTTACCTGGACCGCCCTCTTTGGTCTGCCCCTCGTCGTCCAGCTCGGCCAGCGCGGCGCCGGGCGCCTCGACGCCGAGGAGCGAGAGGACTCCGTCGACCACGCGGCTGGAGAGGTCCAGCGTCTTGGGGGCGGCCTCGTCGCGGGGCTCGTCGCGGGCCTCGTGCACCTTGGCGACGTCTGTCGTCTTCCGGACGGCCTCCTCGGCGGGGCCGACGGCCGCCGCGCCAGCGCCGGCAGCCAAGGCCGAGACGCAGAGCGCGCAGAGCACCAGGACCGCGACGTTCATCTCGGGGACGGGGTTTGGGGGACTGACAGCATGCCCGCCGACGCCCACTGTTAAGGACTCGCCGGGGGTGCCCGCTCTCTGTCGCACGGGGCCGGGTCGGGCCGGGCTTCCCACAGGTGCGAGAGAGAGCGCCGGCCTGCCAGGGTGTTCGCACCCTGGTGTCAACGCGATGTCGGTCACATCGAAACCGGGATGTTTCCGCGGGTCACTTTCCCCCGCGAGGGCTGCGAGGACGCCGTGGTTCTGAACAGTCGTTTCGCCGCTCGCCTGTCCCACTTGATGGGCATTCCCTAAGGGTGCGAGAAAGAGTGACGAGCCGCTCTTCAGAATCATACGTGGAGAGCTTCCGGGGTTGCGAGTTGGTTCAGCCTGAAGTCCGAAGGGGCGGGGAGACGAGGCACTATAAGAAGAGTGACTCTCCCCAGCCCCACCCAGTCCAGTCAAAGTTGAGGCCAGAGCTTGGCGTTGTGAGGCACAGCGTAGGCGGTTTGACACACACTCTCAGCCACAGTGGGTGGCCTCCCCTGCTCTTGCTAGTCTTGTTTGGCTCAAAGGGTCAAATTGCAATGAAAATTGTAGTCGTGTAAACAAATTCTATAATTCTAGGCTGAGCAATACAAGAGCTACAACAAATGGCTCTTTAAAAAAAGCCTCTTAGAAACATGCATCAGTTCTGAGCTTCACTCAAGCTCCTTTTTGGTCAGGCCCTCCCGCTCTTTAAATTGACGCTTCTTTTCAAGCTTTTCTTTTCTAATTGCATCATTTAAGTCCTTCTTTCTCCTATTTTCCCTTCTAATCTGCGCTTCCACGCTGTCTTCTCCGTTTAGCACATTGTCCAAGCGTGTCAGCAAACGAATTCGTGCCGTCTTTCGGTTCTGGTCCACAGATCTTGATTCATGGCAGCGGACGACAATACCTGTGGAATTGTCATAAACGAAAAATTTCAAGATTTGTTCACTGTAAAGTCAATGTGAATAACAAAAGACAGCTAAAAATGAACAGAATTGTTACCTGTAGGTATGTGTTTCAATTGCACACAATTGTTTGTCTTGGCCACTGACTGGCCACCAGGTCCACTTCCTCTCATGAACTCCTCCTTTAAGTCTTCTTCCCGCAGTGTGGGAAACTTAGAGGTATCAGGGGTGAATTTGAGTCGAAAAGGCACTTTGACGGCAGAAGACTCAGCAACAGTTTTGAAGATAGTACTTAGCCTAAACATCTTACACAATCCGCTTCCTTTCAAGAAGGCTTTTACCTTTCTGTAATAGCAAAATAAAGGAAAAAATAACAGAGAATAATTAAAAAATAATTTCACACCATTTTCATGATAATACCTTGTAAAAGAACTCTATTTTATCTTCTGATGTCACGTTTCGATTGGTGCGGAACTCTTCTCTCACCCTTTCTTTGAAGTAGTTTTGGTCAGTGAATTTAAGCTGCTGACCATACCTCAATAAATTTCGGTAAAGCCCTAGCACTTGGTTTGTACTAATTTTCATTTTATATGGGTAGCCTGGAATAGAGAATAGTATATAAATTGAATGTTTGGTTTTGAAGCATGCTCGCAAGGTTACCTTTCCGAATACATCACAATAAAAAAATATTTAAAAGTATGTCACTAGCATATTGATCAACTTACGAAGTTGAAATGAGTTATTTAGCACATATATTGTTTCACATTAACAATCAATGTGAAAAATACAACAGAAATAGAAATTAAAACAGAAACACCACATTCTCTGCAGACAGAGAGGCGTCTGCTAGTTCGTTTACCAACATAACAACAACTGTTTTTGTGAACGATATGATCATAAGAAATCAATTTCCCCAGAAACAGCAAAAGATTAAATTTGAAGCCACAGAGAGCAAATGCTAGAAGTATTTTATAGGTTGATATGATGTTTTCACCTTTTATAATTCGTTCGGTTGGTACGAGGAACTACCTTATGAAATCTGGCGGGAAAGAGGTGGCGCGCCAAAACCGGGTCTTTTCTCACTGAGCCGTTATTACTGACTTTTCTCATCTAAATCGGAAAGAGGGCACAACTTTTCTTTGTTAATGTCGCGGCACTCATCAATTTCCTATCCATTCATTGGCTCTAAAACGCGATCCGGATGCGTTGCGCGTGACTGTACACACGGTGAGAACTCTCTTGGCCAGAGAAAGAAGGAAGACTCCGGGCGAAGCCGTTTTAAACTGGCCAATGGAAGGAGCGCTTACATTCGGGGCGTGGTTGCAGCTCGCGTCTGGTTGGCCGCCGACCCGCACAGTGCGCACCGTATCGACCGGCCACGTCAGGATTTGTCCGTTACGAAAAGTTCGTTAGACTCTCGTTGGCGACTGGTCCATCTCAGACACCGGTGTGCACTCGAGGGAGCATCTCCGTTTGCGGCAGTCAGATTTATATTTCTCGTGACCGAGTTAAGAAACTTAAATCAATCAACATGAGGGAGATCGTCCACATCCAGGCTGGCCAGTGCGGAAACCAGATTGGTGCTAAGGTAAGGAAACTGGCTGGAATGCGAAGCTTCGGTTTTTTCAGGAGTGGCCTAGGCCGGGCCCCGCCCGGTTTGGGCTTGGCTAGGCTTGGCCCGGCCGGCCGGGAGGCTTGAGGCACGCTTTGTTCTCCAACATCGAGGGCTCTCCGACTGGAGTGTGCACCGGGCTTCGCGTTTGTTGGGTTAAACATGGTGGTTTTGTTGGTTTGCAGTTCTGGGAAATCATTTCTGATGAGCATGGCATCGACCCCACCGGGGCGTATCATGGCGACTCCGACCTGCAGCTCGACCGCATCAACGTGTACTACAATGAGGCCTCAGGTAAGCGTGCCGCTTTCGCTCTTCGTTTCTCTGGGGCGATTTTAGTTTTCGATTTCCGTGGCGGTGTGCGCTGGGCTGCATGCTACGGCCATGCGCTTGGCGCCGAGCCAGCGGCCGGCTGCACACTTTTAGGCCACTACTGTGCCAGGCTATGGCCGCTGTGGCTCGGGCCTGCCTTTGCCGGGTCATTCTCACCTCGCTTGCACTGGGACGCGATGTATGCTGGATTTCAATGGCGCTGTTACTTGTCATGAGTCCAACCATTTCGATTCTTTCATTTTCAGCTCTTGGGTTTGAAGGGGCCCCATTTGGGTTATCTTTTTTTATTTCCTGGGCAGTCAAAGTAAAGGTTTTGTTGGACCACAGCAGTTTAGTTAAGAGTACTTTGGGGTATCTCTTTATTTTGTTTCCTGTTAGTCTAAGATAACTCCAGGGAAATTGGGACTCACTTGCTGGATGAGTCATAGTGGGTGTGGTTATGCCCTTCTGTCACTGACAATGGCTGCCTCTTCCTGTACACTGGTAGTCACAAGATGGCTCCTTCAGTGTTTCTCAGTGTTGATGCATGTAGGCAATGATTCAATCAATGCCTCGTTTTGCTAATTTTGTGATTTGTTTGTTCAGGTGGCAAGTATGTGCCCCGTGCCATTCTTGTCGACTTGGAGCCTGGTACCATGGATTCCGTGAGGTCTGGACCTTTCGGCCAGATCTTCAGGCCAGACAACTTCGTCTTCGGACAGAGCGGTGCTGGCAACAACTGGGCTAAAGGACACTACACTGAGGGCGCTGAGCTTGTTGACGCTGTCTTGGATGTTGTTAGGAAAGAAGCTGAAGGCTGTGATTGTCTTCAGGTAACTATCATCACTTACGGGTAGCTGTTAAAAGTTTTCTGAGTATCTTGTTACTAATTTATAATTTATTTCAGGGCTTCCAACTCACCCACTCCCTTGGCGGTGGTACCGGCTCTGGCATGGGCACCCTCCTCATCTCCAAGATCCGTGAAGAGTACCCCGACAGGATCATGAACACATACTCCGTCGTCCCCTCACCCAAAGTTTCAGACACCGTCGTAGAACCCTACAATGCCACCCTCTCGGTCCACCAACTTGTAGAAAATACCGATGAGACCTACTGTATCGATAACGAAGCTCTCTATGATATCTGCTTTAGGACCTTGAAGCTTAGCACTCCTACCTATGGTGATCTTAACCATCTTGTATCTCTCACCATGTCTGGTGTCACCACCTGCCTTAGGTTCCCTGGTCAGCTCAATGCTGATCTCCGTAAATTAGCTGTCAACATGGTTCCATTCCCCCGTCTCCACTTCTTCATGCCTGGCTTTGCCCCTCTCACTGCCAGAGGCAGCCAGCAGTACCGTGCCCTGACTGTTCCTGAGCTGACCCAGCAGATGTTCGATGCCAAGAACATGATGGCTGCCTGCGACCCACGACATGGACGCTACCTCACCGTTGCTGCCATCTTCCGTGGCCGCATGTCCATGAAGGAGGTCGACGAGCAGATGCTGAACATCCAGAACAAGAACAGCAGCTACTTCGTTGAATGGATCCCCAACAATGTCAAGACTGCCGTGTGCGACATTCCTCCTCGTGGTCTCAAAATGTCCGCCACCTTCATTGGTAACTCCACCGCCATCCAGGAGCTGTTCAAGCGTATCTCTGAGCAGTTCACCGCCATGTTCAGGAGGAAGGCCTTCTTGCATTGGTACACTGGTGAGGGCATGGACGAAATGGAGTTCACTGAGGCCGAGTCCAACATGAACGACTTGGTTTCTGAATACCAGCAATACCAGGAGGCTACTGCCGAAGAAGATGCCGAGTTTGATGAGGAGCAGGAAGAGGTTGAGCAGGATTAAGTTTGTTGTCTTGTCTCCACTGCTATATGCTCTGCCTATGACATCCTGCTGTGATGCTGTAGTCACAGCATATCTCAGCTTTTTCTACTTCAGATCTTTTGCTATAAATTTTCTATTGTTTGCGGTGGTATAACTTGGTTCTGTTGCTGCTGATGTCATGCTTGGCTGTCAACTGGTTTGTTCTAGTCTTGGCGTAAAGATCAACTTTGTAAAAGCATGCAACCTAGTTATTTATACAGCCTGTTTTGTACCTGCTGATCTGACTCGTACCTGCCTTGATTAAAACCCGGTTTAATTTACAACTTCTCCTTATTTTCCTTTCCCTCAACTCAATTAGAATAATTTTAATTTGTCATCAGAATTCAAAACAAGTATGGGTCCAGTTGGCCCACCACCAAACTGACACAAGTGAATTACTTGAATTTTAATTAAAGTACAGAATTGGGAGAGCTTTATTGCAAGGAAGGAGCCGTGAGAAGAACTTAGTTATCACCTACTCAATCAGTAGTAATACCGGAGTAAAGAGGCCCCGAATCACAAATTGCTTGATTAACAACTGAGGATACAAAATAAGCTCCACAGGGAAATGTGGCAGTGTGCTCATGGGATTGGAAATCCTCCTTATGTGGAATTAGGAGTGATTTCTGATCTCTGTCCTTCAGTTTTTTCTCTGCATCCTACCATGGTAGATAGGGCAACGGGCAAGCCGTGTGACAGTGGATAGGGAGGGCCGGGCTGCTCTCGAGTGGCAGGCATTGACGGCATCGAACGGAACTGACTGTGCACAGTAGTTGGAACCGAGCGTCGCCTCGCCTCGCGTCGCTCCTTTGATTAGAAGCCAAGAGGCACGGGTTGAACGGGTTGGGCCGATTCTTGAAAGGCCTTTGGAAAGCCTTTGGCCGCCTGTCGACTTAATGACACAGTCGGGTCGGGCCCATCCGAGCGAGTCGCCCCGTCTCTCGCACCCCTACGGCCCGCGGCAGGCCTGCGGGACGCCCCATGAGTGCGACGGAGACAGCGACAGGCCGCGTCACCCTCCGCCTTTTCTCCGTCCGCGCCACTGGAACTGCTCCTAAGGTCCTGGACGCTCGCCTCGCAACGTGTCATCACGACTGGAGGGACGCGTGCTGGCTCGCTGGGCTCTGGCGAACTTCCACGGCCCGACCGGCCTGTCAAGCCGCCGGCGAGGTAGGCAACCCACCACACACACACACACCCTACCGGCACGTTGGGTTGCCTACCCCGCAGGCGATTGCGATTAACGGCTGGACGACAAATGATCGTCTGCCTTTCAGGCCCGCCCCGCCATGTCGGCGATTCACCAGCACGTTTACGGGTCGCCCCTACTGAGAGGCAACGACGCATTTTTAAAAACTAGCTCAAGGCGAGGCCTGATGGGTCAAGCCAAGCCTGTACAAAAGTGACCCGAGAGACGAATACAGATGATGGAGCCCCTGTTTGTTTTGAACGTGTTTCAATGACGATGGTGCCTCACCGACACACGCCGCAGCGCGACTCTGTCGCTGTCTCCGTCGCACGCACGTCCGCCAATGACGGGGGCGGCCCGCCCCCGAGACCACGCCCACCGCCCACGCTCCACCACGTGGGTGCCTGCCCCCCCGCCAGCCCCCTTCGCGTGCCCCCGCCACAGCCCCACCAACTATTATTGTTTCCAGTGACCAAAAACAATTAATGAAATCACCACCTTCGTGCTGTCCATCGCTCACACGCACTAGGCGCGCAAGAATTTTTTTTATTAAATACGAGAGTTTTCCGGCTTGCTTTTGTTTTTGTCTCCAAAATAGTTCTGAGTAATGCGTCGGTTGTGTCCACATGCCCCACTGCTGAGTGATCCATCTATCAGCGCCGACGGCGCGGCGAGGCGCGGGGAGGGGCGGGGCGGCACGTAATGGCAAGGTGATTTTGACCAAGTTGAGTCGGTATTCGAAGCCACTCCCCGGCGGTGGCGGCGGTGCCCCGGGCGGTGTCGTTCTAAATGATGTACGACGGATGGCCGCAGCCTAAATAGCGTCTTCTTTGCCTCCGCGGGGACGCGCGCGTGGCGTGGCTTGCTTGGCCCATGAACCCCGCCGCCGTCGTCGTCATCGTCGAGCAGGCCGCCGCCGCCGCCGCCACGGTCCCGCGGGGCGCTCGGTAGGTCAGGATTCTCACGGGGCGCGACGCCAAGCACGACCACAAAAAATAATTGAAAGAATACAAGTAAAAGAAAGAGTGATAGAGGACTGCAGGAAATTCCGTGGAGATTGTATAGGGAAGTCCTGGCCCGTCCCGACGACCTGCTTAGCCCGGCCTGGCCGTCCGAGTGCATCCTGCGTCCGGGAGGTCCTGGAGGTCCTGGTGGCCGGCCAGCCTGGAGGCCCTGGCACCCTGAGCGTAATCGCGTCCGACAACTTCTCCGCTCGTTCCGCCACACGACATTCAACTCCACCGCAGCCACGCGGCTACACTATACACACCCACACATTGCACGGCCGCCTCCGAAACGGCCCGCCTCTCGCCCCGCTCGGCCGGGTGCCTCCGACGCGGCCGTGACGTCATCGGCGCTGTTGCGCGCCTTGCGCGCCTTGCGGGGGCGGATCGGCCCTTGGCTGCCCTCGGCGCCGGAAAAATGTCTTTGCGCTTCGCGCTTCGCGTTGTTTGTTTTAATGAAGTACATTATGCGGCGCTGAAAAGGGTGAAGGTTTAACCCTGCTCCGCTTGGCTGCCGCGCTCTAATCAGCGACGCGCGAGTAGGCAAGGCCGTCTCGGTCCCAGTCACGCCGCCAAGAGGCGATTTTAATTTCACTCGGTGTCCATTTTGCGATCGCAGCAGTCACAGCTGGCGAAATTTGAGAAAAAGAGCCGCAGTTTTAGGTCGCGAACCAAGGACTGGCGTTCAAATCCCCAGACTCCTTTACATTTTTGGACCACCGTATCTTGCCATAGGCTTCCCCCACCCCTTTCTTCCACCCTGGAGGCCAGAGGGGCGCTGTTGCTTCTATCGCGGCGCATAATGAGATTTTGTCGATTTTAATTTGCAGAGTAGCGTGGTTTAATTACCGCAGCTGCAAGAGTTAGCCTTTGATGGCTGGATTGTCCCTGTCTTGTCCTGTCTTGGCCCCTGGGTCCTTCCCCACCCACGGCCCACACGTGTCTCCGGCTTCTCGCATCGCAGGGCTCAAAGTTCCAAGTCCGCGCGGACTTAAGAGGCTTTGCCGTCCGGGGCCCTTTATTGCCCGCACCGTGGGCCTTACAGTGTCAGCACGTTCGAAAAATATCAACTCTAGGAAAATTGATAATGAACACCCCACCGGGGCCGGTCGCTCATTTTACGGATTGAGTTGTGGCGTGTGAGTCGGTGAGGGTGTACAGGCAAGGGATTCGACAAACCGACAACAAGTTTATTGATTATGGCAACTTTATTTTACAGTGTACGTACACTCGAACATTTCGACGCCCGCTTTGGCAACACAGAAAAAATTGTTGAGTTCCAGCCACGCGAACTCGCAAACCTCTTCTCGAAAACAAAAATGACGACAACCGGTGGTTGCGGACGTCTGGGTGAGGAGAGTGCACGCCATCTTCAGCCCGACGGTCCACCCCCTGTTGCATGGCCCCCCTGAGGGAGCCGTAGAACCCAAAACAAAAGGACTGCCAACCTTACAACCTAGACGGCTCGTTAACATTAGGCAACATAGAAAAACCAAAGGTTCAGCTGTACAGCGACAAAGTCGTCAAAATCGCGACTAATTAAAAAGGGGTTTCAGCTCGAAGGAGTTTGCTCGGATCGAGCGACACAATCGAACGACGCCCGACGACACAGCCGACGTGATTGCTGCATTGTAGTTTATTTAATCAACTAAAGCATTCGCACTAACGAACAAAAGGAGAAACGAAACATTCGCCAGATCAGCGTTTTTGTTGTTTTTGAAACATTTTTTTTCTTAACGATAGAAGAAAGTAAAATTTAAAAATTACGATGAACTAGGTGATTGCAGGATGTGCGCAGGTCAGTTGAGAGGGTTCCCCGTCACGACGCTGGGCGGGGCGTCCTGCAGCGCTGCCGGGATGTCCTCCCCGTCTTTCCTGCAAAAAAAAAAAATAATTTAAAAAAGAAAAAAATAATAATTATGCATTGAAAAGTCCTAATGATGAAGATTAATCAAAACGTTGGAACGATCCGTACCTTCGGGCACATCTGAAGAGGTTGGTGACTCCCGTGTAGCGGCACACGACCTGCGAGTCCTCGTCCACGATGTAGGGCACGGCGGTGAAGTCTGCGACAGCACAGCGCAGCACAGTCACAAGTCAGAACATTTTGGCGCAGAAACACAAGGGAACGGTGAGTGAATAGGTGCTCGTACCGTCCAGGAGCTGGTACTCGGGCGACACCAAGGTGGGTTGGCCGGCCGCACGCTTCCCGTAGCGGCCGTTGGCGTAGAAGCGGCGCTGCAGGCGATCGTCCGGACCCATGGGCGCCGCGTCGGGGTCGGTCCGCCCGTACCGGGAGCCGCTCTGGAAGCCCACCTGCTGCCCGTGGGGGCCCGCTGCACGTAACACGGGGACAACGACCATCAAAGTTCACTTTCGGCGTTTTGGCCGAGTCAAGTTGCCGCGGAAGACCGAAGGAGGCGGCCAAAGACGTTTAATGGGGTTCGAACCGAACGTTTGACCCCAACAGTGGATTGCTCTCCGAACGAGGAATCCATTGGTCACACGTTCGGTTTGGGTGCCATTTAGCGACTCTGGAGCTCAAAACGCGTCTAGAGTTTTGTCCGCCTCCACCGGTCTTCCGGCAAATCCACTGTGGTGTGGCTCTCCGACTCACCGAACTCTTGCCGCTTGCCGTATCTGTTGGCGTAGAACTGCTCTGACAACGCGGGCAGGACGACCAGCGCCAGGGCCAGGAAGTGGAGTCGCAGCAGCATGGCAGCCTGCAACCGGGAGTCCCAGCGTCACGCGCTGTCTCCCTCGCACTCCCGCGGGCCTGCCCACGAGTGCGAGGGAGACGGAGCGACAGAGTTCCTTGGAAGCGGCGGCCGGCCCGGTAGGCGCCAACAATGCCCCACCCGCTGCACTGCTCATCTAAGTTTCCGCGTTTGCGTGCGTGCGAGAGAGAGCGCGCGCGTGTGTGCGCCATGTGCGCCGTGCGTGCGAGAGAGCGCGATAATCTCCGCAAGCCGGCAATCGAGACAGCTGTCAGAAACAGTCGCGGCGGCTTGGTGGCTGCCCTGGCTGCCTCGTCCAATTGGCCTACATCCCGTCAGGGCAGTCACGGCAGTCAGGGCGGATCGCGCTGTCCAAAAGAGGGGGCGTGCTGCGCAGTGCTGCGTTTGAAGGCAGAGCCAGGCCGACGCACTCGGCGGCGTGGGAGTAGGTGTACCGGCAGAAGGGCGAGGGGTGGGGGTGGGGGACTTTTTAAGTGGATCAAGCAATTTCCATCGCCAATAATATCGGGCCGCGTCCGAGCCCCGTGTTTGCGATTGCCAACAAAGCGCGCAACAGGCAGATTGGACCAGCTCGCTCGGGATAGTGCGAGCGTGTGTGTGAGCGTGTGCGTGTGAGCGTGCGTGCGTGCGTGTGTGTGTGTGTGTGAGCGTGTGCGTGTGCGTGTGTGTGTGTGTGTGTGTGTGCGAGCCACGTGGCACTCGCCTGCGCCAACAAGTGGCGGTGCTGGTCGAGTTGCTGCCCAACTTTGTTTGTGTTTCTTGACAAATCAATCGCGGCTCGCTTCCCGGTGCCTTGCCAGTGCCGTGCCGTGGCGTGCCAGGTGGGGCGGGTCCGGCGGGGCGGGTCACATTCTGGGGCCACTGTTCACCTACTGAATGAATATTCAAGCCCCCCTCCCTCCCCCTCCTCAGGCCGCTCATGCAACCCCAATCTCCAGACCAGTCCGGGCCGCAGGGCTGCGCCGTGGCTGATGCCGAAACAATGTCGCTCTGTCTCCGTCGCGCTCGCGGGGCGTCCGGTCTAGTCCGGTCGGGGTGCGAGAGAGACAGCGCGGCGGCAGCGGCGGCAGCGGCCCGCAGGAACGTCGCACCGAGCCCCGCCTCACGCAGCGTCGCACAGCCTCGCGCAGCCTCGCGCTTCGGCCAATTGAATCAAGGGAATGAGTGTCGGATGACTTTACTTCCAGCTGGCTGCTAACTTTCTTGGCCGTCATATATGTCTGCGTCGGCGGGGCTGCGGGACGGCGGTGGTGCAACGCACAGCAAGACAGCAAGGGCCCCTCGGGGCAGACGGGGCGCAAACTTGTTTCCTTAGAAAGAGACCGCTTCTCTGTGTGGAAAAATGAACCCCGCACACACACACACACACACACACACAATGTCACAGAGACAAAGATGATAACGAACACCAATTACTTTTTTTTTTCATCGCTCGCGAGCGCGCCCCCAAGGTTGTGGTGTTTGAAGGTCTCTCGACAAACTCTAAACATGTGTTCCGGTCTGTGACGCAACGCTGCTGAAAGGCGGGCGGACACGAGCTCGACACAGTCCCGTGCAGCGAGCGTCAGACTATATGGTTACCCCGTGTTTTGTTATTTTCGGACGATATTCGAGAGCGCATTTCCCCGTCCACAGATGAAACGAACAAAAAAAGCGATTCCCCTTTTTTTTGCAGTGGATAGCGGAGCCGAAAGAAGGAGAAGGAGAGAGCGCGGCACCAGGCTGGACCTGCCAAACAGTCTCCTGTTGCCCTGGTAATTAAGGTGCAGCCTGTGGCACTGGCGGGCACCCCCTCCCCTCCTCCCCCTCCTCCCCCCCTCTCCACCCTCCTTTCGCAAGCCCTGACCGTCCCACTGCACAATTAGATCTTCGGACCAGCATGGATCTCTCGCTGCACGACTGGGAGGAAAAGCCAGAAAAAGCACAGAGTCGGGAAGACAACCAAAACAGTTTGAGACCAACAACAAAAACAATATAACGACAAACCACACTTTGGTGATGACTTCCATCTTCTGTTTTTTTTTCAAGCGCGTGCTTTTTTTCTGTGCGCCAGCCAGACATTATTTTTTTAACTGTGTCAACTCTGATAGGCCTTCGGGCCCGCTGTCCTTTGACAAGTCCGGTTGTGCAAAAGTGCGTCGGGCCGCGGTCCTGGGAAGGGAAAGGGGTGGGGAGGGGGTGGGGGAGGGGCACGAGAATAAGACACGGAGCAGAACAGAGCCTCGCAGCCGTTCAACCCTCATTCCGCCAATTTACCACGAAGCTAACCGCTCCAAGTGGGTGTGACTGCGAGGGGCGAGGTCCTGGAAGGGGGAGGGGGGAGGCTGGAGGGTGAACTAGTCGGCAGAGACACCAGCAGAACGGAATTCATTGCCCGGATACACGGTACACAGGCATGAGAAAATTAACTTTGGCAAAACCGGGGCGCGTTCTTGTTCCTGAGTGTCGAACTGGTCGCTGTTTTTATGCAAAGGAAGCGGCGGTCAGACAGACACAAAAAAGATCTCGTCACACAGTGGGCCAGAGGACCGGTGGAGGCGGCCAAAACTCGAGACGCGTTTTGAGCTCCAGAGTCGCTAAGGGGCTCAAATCGAACAGTTGACCCCACCAATGAATTCCTCGTTCGGAGAGCAATCCATTGGTGGATACTCACGTTAGGTTCGGGTCGCATTTAGCGACTCCGGAGCTCAAAACGCGTCTCGAGTTTTGGCCGCCTCCACCCGGTCTTCTGGCCCACTGTGCGTCATACGGTGCGAACAAGAAGCCTTGCCCGACACGACTTTACTCTGCGTTGGAAAGCCATGCGCAAATAACCACCGCGTTGTTTTTTTATTTAATTTTCGACTGCCATTTCGCGAGCCCGAACCGCTAAAAAATGAGCGTGCCGAACATTCCCTTTCTCACTCTCTAATCCCGCCCTCCTACTGGCGTGCGCCGCCGCTGCCCCTGGTCGAGCATCGAAACACACGCAATGCTTCACCTCAAATCCCCTTTCGAAATTAGAAAACAATGTTTCTTTTTTTTTAAGGTGAAATATTGCTGCGAAATGCGTGGACGTGGTGGTTGCGGTATCCGATCTCGTTTTTGGCATTGCACCACGCGAGGCGCACAATCAATGCTGAAATTGCTATACTTGGCGGCTTGGCGGCGCAATACTGCAGTCGAAGCCGGGGCCGTGGGTCGGGGCAATCCGAGGCCTTATGAATCCACCGTGAGGCCGTAAAGAGAGATAAGCCACCTTACTCTACGCCATCAGTCGCAAACAATGCACCATTCACGGAGTACTCGGCACAACTTTGGAAACAGAGAAAACCACTTCAGGGACTGGTCAGTGAAAACTTTAGAAACAGGAGGAGAAAAAAGAGAACCACGAAATCGAGTAGCCGAAGCGATTTTCGATTCTGGGAGCTGATGGAGCGGGAAATGCAGACGAGCGAAGCGAACTCGATTTCGGCCTCGTCACACAATCGCGGCTGTTTTGCTTTCCTGTGAAGGAAAAGGGGGCGAAAGCAGGGCCTCACTTCACGGGCCATCGGGAAGCTTGACGACACAGAGGACCGGTGGAGGCGGCCGAAATTCTAGACGCGTTTCGAGCTCCAGAGTCACTAAACAGGACTCGAACCGAACGCGTGACTCCACCAATGGATTGCTCTCCGAACGAGGAATCCAACGGTGGGGTCACACGTTCGGTTCGAGTCCTGTGTAGCGACTCTGGATCTCAAAACGCCTCTGGAGGGGCCAGCACGACGGGTAGGCAGCTCCTCGCCGTCCAGGAGGACGAGGACTCCGAGGCCGCGGGTCTCCCTGCCATCGGTCCGCGACGAGCCGAGCGAGCCGAGCGCCCGCGCAACGGCGGATAGGCAACCCGCTCGACGGGGCAGTCGGACGGGCTGGCCCAGCCTCGGTTCGCAGGCGCGCTGCACTGGGGCGAGAGGGCGAAACGCTTCACTTCACAGTGGGCGCGACAAAAAAAAACTCTAGACGCGTTTTGAACTCCAGAGTCGCTAAATGGGACAAGAACCGGATGTGTGACCCCACCAATGGATTGCTCTCTGAACGGAGAATCCGTTGGTGGGGTAACACGTGCGGTTCGAGTCCTGCTCAGCGACTCTGGAGCTCAAAACGCGTCTAGAGTTTTGTCCGCCCCCACCGGTCTTCTGGCCCACTGTGTGGGGGCCTCGTCGTACCTGGGTCGGGGCACCTGGTCCTGCAGACGCTGCCGACGCTGCCGACGACGGGCAAGGAGCCTGTTGCAGACCGGACGGACTGCGGGGCTGCTGGGGCTGCTGGTGCTCGCGGACGCACTGAAGGCCAGGTTGGAGGCGCGCCCGGTTTTTGTGCGCGGGCCTCCGCGGTGCCGACCAACCAGGCGCCGGCATCGGCCCCGCCACCCCCCGCCACTCCCCGCCGCGCCCCGCCCCAGCGGCCCCAGCACGCGTCCCCTGAACGTCCCTACCCCTTTCGGACCCCCCTCCCCTCCCTTCCGCCAAAGGTACGTGTGGCAATGCGAGTCTTCCCCCGGAATATTAGCAATGTTTGTTAAAAGTGGCGGCCCCTCCGAGCACTGCCGGGCATTGCCGGGCGGGCACCGCTATGAGAAAAGTTTGGCCGGGTCCAGCGAAATATGCTGAAGACCGTATGATTTCTTCAAGACGCTCGCCGCTTCCCACCCGCCTTCTTGTTTATGTTGTTGTTGTTTTGTTTTCCCCGCGTTTGTATCGCGTCGCAATGCCTCGCGCACCGGGTCTTCGTAGCACCTCGCATTCTCACGAAAAAAAGTTACTTTCGTTTTTTTAAAAAAGATGAAATGTGTTGCGGGATGTAGCAGGCACTCACTCTGCGGTAACAAGCTCCAAGGCGGCGGTGGAGGCAGACGGGACGGCAACGGAGTGATGAGCCACGGAGTGACTAGCCAGGCTGAGGCAGGCTGGCCCCAAACCAACAACAACAAAAACAAGCTCATCTTTGGGGCTTCTTTGGGGGACTCCGCTTTGTTTGACTTTTTCCCCGAAATGGCAAGCAGTATAATATCGTTAGAGCCGCATTGTGCCCGTGCGTGCTTTCTGCTCTCGCGCGCAATGATGGACAGAACGTCGCTCTGTCTCTGTCGCACTCATGGGGCTTCCCGTGCGCGTGCGAGAGAGACAGAGCGACGAGAATCAGCCTGCAGGTCGCAGCGTAGGCCGGCCCGCTCCGCAGCCCTGCCGTGCGGGCTGCCTACCCCGAGCTGCGCGGGCGCTTGCCGACGACTGAAAGGTGTCTGGACTCGTCTTCTCTGCGACGCCCTGCTGACTGATTCCGACGAATCTGTCTCCGTCGCACTCACGCGGCGTCCCGCGGGGGTGCGAGAGAGACAGAGCGACACTTCGGAACCGCTCGGCCGTCCCTCGCCGGGATAATCATCCCATCTGACAACAACTAGAAATTCCGCAACGAGACAAACTTTCCGCGCGCACTTCTTTCATTATTTTCCCGCCAGTTCGCGCTTCAATTCACACCTTCCTTGCCGCGGGCCGCGAGGGGTGGGGGGCATGCCTCAAGGGGGGGGGGAGTCCCGCGCGCGGTCGCCCCAGCCCACGCCAAGTTTGTGTTAAAACATAATGTGATGAGGCCGCTACGCCGCTACGCGCAGCAACGCACAGCCCGGCCACAGCATAACGCAGCCAGGCGCAGCCGTGGGTCGGAGAGAGACAGAGCGAGACAGACGACCGGGGGAATACGCCTCGTCGGTAACTTAACCCCGCGTCCGAACCGCGCCGCGCACCGCCGGCACACTGGTAGCGTGCACGCCGAGCACGCTGTGGTGGACACAGGCTGCGTCCGGAAGGCACCCCCATCGCCTCCCCCGCGGTCGCTCCACTGCAATTAGACAGACAGACAACAAACACTTTTTTCCTCACTGTCATTTTTTTAAAATGGACAAGTTTTTTGGCTGGCGATGATTATAGTGCGCGCGTCAATGCGATCGGGTTCGCGCCGCCCGTGTTCAACAGGTCCGGGCCGCGGCGGGGCGGCGGGATTTAGCGCGCTTGGAATTGGTCCGTGAATTTAAACGAGCCTCGAGGCTGTGGCTGCGCGCCCGCTGCGCGCCCGCCCCGCCCCGCCGGGAGCGCGGTGCACGGCGTCGAAGCCCGAGCGAGGCCTCAATTATGCAGCGGCTGCTCGCGTCTTTAATTTTCTGCGCGAAACGAGTCGCCGCTCCGTCTCTCTCGTGCGCACGGGGGCGCCCCGGCGAAGAGCGAGAGAGGCAGCGCGAGGCGCGCGGCGAGAGGCGTAAGGCGGGCGAGTGTCGCCGTGTCGCCCACGACGTGCACTGTGCACTGCCGCGCGGCAGCCGCACCGACATCGACGTCCGGCCGGTGACAGTACCCGGGTCCACGGTTCGAGTAGCGGCGACGGCTCCGGGCCTCCAGACCGGAACGTATCGGACTCTGGCTCGCTCTGGCGGCATCGGCATCGACGTGGTCAGGGAGGGTCTGCCCTTCGTCCTGGTGATGGAAAGGCCCCTCAGTGCGGCCGGCCGGCCGTCTGCAGGGCAGCCAGGGCAGCGGGCCCATTCTGCCGTGCCCCATTTAACTAGTGTAACGAGATAGCCACCACGCGGACGGGACGACGGGACGCGGGGGCGGCCTGGCTGCGCCCTGCGCCCACTGGCCACTGCCGCCCCATTCCGAAGCATCGAGTCGTCGCTCTGTCTCTGTCGCTCCCCCAGGCAACACCCCACGAGTGCGACAGAGACAGAGCGACGACGCGGTCCTTCGAAATCAGGCGGCTGGGCTGTGTCGACTCGACTCGCATTGGAGAGCACATTCGGGCCCCGAGAAAAATGGCGGCCGTAATTAGCGAGTTTCTGTTCACACTCCAACGCTCTCTTTGGCGCTCTTTTTTTTATGTCTCTTAAAGATTTTTTTTGGGGGGGCGTTTGCTACACTGTTCATTTATTTGGCTCCATTTTGTGTAAACACCATTAGCCTTGCAAAGAAGTTGTTTTTTTGTTGGTTCATAAAAAAAACAAACAAGGAAAGAACATGTGTTAAAATTTTGAAGTTTAATTTTAAAAACACAAAAAAAAACAAAAAAACTTTGGGATGGGCATTGCTGATTGTACACTAGCTATCATCACATAAATTACTTTTAAAAATCAACTGATAAAATATCTAATCTGAATCAAGGTCACATGTCTGTGAATGTCCTGCAGTCTTCTTTCCCATCGCTGATTTTGCCTTCTTCTTCCTCACTCTTGGTCCGCTTGATTCGGAGCGGAATGTGATGCACTGTAAAGTTAAACAACCAGTTCAGAAACTTAAGAACAGCATACTATGGAACACATATCAAGAGTTGATTGTCACATACCCTTTCATCCAAGAAGGTCATTAGGGCTTCAATACCACATTTAAAACCCTTGGTTAACAGGTCTGTTTGTAGCTGCTCAATCCGAATGGGCTCATACTCTAGAACTTTTTGGTGGAGTTCACGGTCATTTCTTATGAAATTGGTAACAATTCTTGGTAGATCAGATTTACTGACTGAAAAAAAAAAAGCATTTGAGTGGTTTAAGTGCACTTTTGACTTTTCTTTAAAGGCAAATATTTACAACTTGTACTCTATTAATGTATAAAACCAAACATACCACGTTTTGAAGCAGTTTGACTCTTTGGTTCACAATCATCATCATCACCATTATCATCATTTCCTTCCATAAATTGGATTTCTTGCAGACTTGTACTTACTGACCTAAAAAAATAAATAAAATAGTGCAGAATATTTCAAAAGTTGGAGTAAACACAAATCTTTAAAAAAACTTTAAGAAAAGGCATCTTACCTATTACTGTAATTTGACTCACTGTCTGAATCTGTTGCAGAATTTCTACAATCCTTATCAAAGGCAATTGTATTCTTCTCTATACTGTCAGAGTCAGAAAATGATAGTCTTCTTGAATTTGGTTCATTTGATGAAACAATCTTGTTTTCAATAGAGCTTGAGCAGGTTGGTTGACTAAGAGAGATTCTATCTGGCAAGCTGCAAAAAATACATAACATTAAGAAACCCCTCAGACCCAAATCATAATAATGCAAGGAAACAAATAACAAATTTTGTAGTGTAGTCAGAGTTAATAGTTCCTACCTCTGATTTGTTTCTAGTGGTACCCAAGGATGGAGCTCATTATAAATATGACGAAGCATTATTTTCCCTTTCCTCTTTCCAAGAGTGGGCTTTAGACCATACTTCTGCAATTCTTTCTGAGAAACATTCCAGAGTCAAGACATATTCATCAATAAAACACTGAGTCATACTGCACCATGAAATATACTTACTTTCAGCTCTGGAGTTTTCATGGCGCTATAGTTAGCCAAAGGTGTGACACCGTCTGGTTCTGAGGAGAGAATGCGATTGACTGGGGTGCCCTTGGTCTCTCTTTGGGTTAACTTTCCTGCAACACCCTTTTCTGCTTGTAGCAAAACTGAGTCATTCATATTTAATGAGTCATCCAGAAGAGCATTAAAGTCTGATGTTGATGGTTTTGAATGCTTTGATATCACAGTAGAAGTAGGACTTGAGTATGTTATTTCACAATCAGAGGAGCCTTGGATGTCAACATCGCTACACTTTTCCTCCGAGGATGAAGCCACTTTAAGCGGGCTTTTGCTCTCAGATCGGGAATCAGTTTCAACGGCCCTTGGAGTAGTTACAGGTGTGGTATTTGGAGAGCCAATATCAAAATGAGGCTCATTTAGAAATGGGTCATCATAATTCAAATCTTCAAATCCTTCCCAGACAGGACTAACATAAGCTACATCTGCATCACAGTCCGAAGGCTTCTCATCTTCATGGCAGTTGCCGTTGTTGGTTCCATTGACTTTGCTGCCCTCATCATTACCATCACTACAGTCACTTTCTTCATTGCTAATTCCTTTCACATGCTCTGGACTTTTAATGATTGTCTCACCATCTGAAATGTTACTCTCTGCTGGCATATTACTATTATCACAGGAATTACCAGAAAACTGATTTTGAATGATTGGAAAAGATGTACTAGAATTAGAGTCCTGGGTGAGGTCAAAAATCTCAACATCGCTATCTTCTTTCTCAGCCTGATGTTCTGCAGTCGAGCTCTCTGGACAGGGCCGCTTGCATAAGCTTGAATTGCCGTCTTGAGAACTGTTAGAATGTTTTCTCTTTGAATCGTTCAAGGAGGAACCAGGTCTACTTGTGCCACCACTCTGATTAAAGTCAAGCAATTCCGTTGAAGCACTTGTATTGGATATTGCTGGTGATGGGGGTGGCGAGTTTGTACAGATGATAATTGTTTTTTCACTGGAAGCAGCAGAAGAGCAACGGGAAACTGGAGGTGAAGTCCTCTCTGCAATTAATGTTTGTTCGCTTGATACAGAAGCACATCTGGAAGGAGGTCTCACACCGTCCCCATCATTACAAGATAGCGTCTTGGCCAGCGAATGTCTTTCAGCATTAACATTAGCAGAATCCATAGCATTTGCCATGCTGTGCCTTTTACTACCATCATGTGTAATGTGGTCTGTCTCATCATCGGCGAACATGTCAGGAGAAGAACAAGTGCTGCGATTGTCTGCTCCTTGTACCGTGGCCTCACTGTAAATGGAATCTGTATCACTCCTGTTAGGCGTTCCAGCTGGTGATAGAACTATATCAACTGATGCTTTGGATAGTTTTCGTAAACCCACATTTTCATTCAAAACCGGCAGAACGCTTTCTTTTTCAGATTCACACACATGTGTTGGGCAATCTTCACTAAAGTCCTTTATCACATTCAAAGCAAATTGTGAGGATGTCTGGGAGATCAGACCACTTTGAGATACAGATCTAAGATACCTCAGTAAGTCAGCAACTTTGTAGTGGTCTGCCAGCCATGAAATGCTTGATAAGTCATCACAGAGGACCCGAATTGACTTAACAGAACCACAATAAACATACTCAAGAAAAGCTAAGGCAGCTGCGTGAGGAGTTTTAGACCACATTATCACTTCTACTTCATTTCCAGTCAGAGGGTTTCTTTGCCTGCAGATATCTTTTAAAATTCGAGGACAACGGACATGCAAAACCATTTTGTGGGCTGGGATCTCTCTGCCCTCTTGAGGGTAAATAGCCAAGTCACTCATGGTAGCATTGTTCACCATGCTAGCCCAATCGTTGAAAAGTTTGGCCCGGAGTTCCATTTCAATTTGTGTAGGGTCCTTTAACTCATTCTGCTGGTGAGAAGGAGAACTTGTATCAGATGACACCTCTTCATCAGTTGGACAGTTTGGGTCTAAGTCTTCCTCTTTGTGTTGTTTCTTATCCTGCAAAAATCAACACTTACTAAAAAAATGTATGTGTTCAGCTCATAATGCTTGATAATCATTGAGCTATTGTTACCTTAGTTGGTGTGTGAAGACGACCTACAACCTGTGAGAGATGCATTACTTTTGATCCCATTTCTACTTTGCTAGGTGATATGAAACTGCGTAAGTTTTGTACATAGTAAGAAGTTCGATCATTTTTGGATGGGGATGTATGGGACTTGGCCCACAATGCTCTTTCCTGAAAACAAAGCGGATGTGTAGTTTCTCTGCATACAATTGTTGTCACATAAAAAGTCTTGTACACATACCACATCAACACATTCCTGGAGAAATAAGGACTTCACATTGACCTCCTGCAAGTCTTTTTCCTCTCCTGAAGCTACTTCTTCCATCAGCACCATTGCCACCTTCTCAGTAATTATTCGTTGTCTCTCTTCTGGAGTTCGTGTTAACAGAGCAGGTGTCTTTAGAGCTGTTGCTTTTGACTTGCCTAACAAATCATGATAAATAAATAAAACTATTTTCTGATTTTGTACACAAAAACCAGGCAATGTGAAAGAATATAAAAGTATGCCATGAATACCTTTGGGTAGAGGTACTGTAGTAGGACGAGGCTGAACAGCATTTAAGACAGATTTGCTGGTAAATCCAAAATGGTCAAGAGAAACTCCTACTGTAGGTTCACGAGTTGTTGACTCCCCGACACCCTGCTCTGCATCTTGTAAGGATAGTGATAGAGCCAAGGCAAGTTGTAAATTATTATCTACTTTAGAAATAGTACGGGTCTCCTAGGACAAATAAATGAACGAAAATGAAAACCTTCAAAAATAGGATACATTGAGGATGGCTCTTTATATTTCTCCCTCTAAGATACCTTTCTGGATGTGTGAGGTTTCTTGACTTTCTCCACAGATGGAGAGATTGGTGGAAGACCTAGAGCTCTCCTTTCTGATGCTTGACGTTGTTGTAGTTCAAGAGCTTCAAGCAATTGCTGGGTTGACACTTTGTGCTTTGATGCACAGCTTTTTAAATGGGAAGTCTGGAATTAAAAATTAAGTTCGGAAAAAATTCATTGAAAGTATCAAATTTGAAAAATAAATAAAAAATAACCTACTTTTGAGGATAGTTTATCAAACATTTTGCAGCATAAAGGACATTGCAGGATCTCAAAGCATTCATCATCTTTCAGAACAGCGGCCGATTCAGAAGGTTTATCAGGTACTGGGATATCCAAAGATGGTGAGGGGACACATGCAGGTGTCCTCATCTCCTCTGATGGTATAGCTTCTTTTACTGCTAAGGTTGGGTCTAAACCTCTACTACACAATGTGGGAAGTGCAATGCCTCCTCTCTCATTTGGCTTGTTGCCACTGGTGGCATTTGAATGGGAACCTCCACTTGTCTCTTTATGCGCAACATTCACTGCCTTTTTTTTAATGCAGGGAGGTTTCACAAAATCATCAAAATCACAATCCTCTTCAGTCGCTGAGCTTGTTGGCTTGTCGGGTAAAGGTGCCTTCCTTCCACTTCGTGTTGTAATATTAGCCCGGGCACAATCAAAGGACACATTTTGTTCCTTTAGACAATCCGCCGATTTTAGTTTATCAACACTAACTGATTTTTTTTCCTGCTCAACAGTGGTTAGGGCGAATGATGTTTCATTGCTATCAGGGAAAAGTGATTTGATGGCCAGCTGATCATCAGAAGTCTTTGAGGCAATTATATTGGATCTGTTCTCAGATACATTCATCTCCAGACTATCCCTGGGGGACAAGCAAAATACAGATTCATGTTAGTGAATGTGACTGTTAGGTACTGACTTCAAGTCTTGAAGTGGAGCACTCCTAATAGGGATTTGCAAACTCCGAAACAGGATTAAACTATAACAAACCTCAAAACAAATTTGAAAACATTTTCTTTTTATTCTGATACAAATAACAGAGATTTACATGTGTTTGTAGACAATTTAGACAGCATGCTCAGAAAGAGACATGATAAAAGCTGAACAGCAGGAAAATAATTGCCAATCTTTCCCCAAATTAGTCTACTTAACTATTAAAAATAATAATAGGCATCTTCCTACTTCAATTACTATCACCGCAACCAAGACAAAAGATTTACATTCAGAGAATCTATAGACAAAACCATTGAATCCATAAGAAGCCCTCTGATTAAAAATCCATTAATTGGCATTTAAAAAATCTGTATTACTGACATTATTGACTAGACAAGAAGTAATCTAAAGTTTACAGAAAAAGAAAAGAATGGAAAAAGAAACTTTTTCAATGCTACCCTTCCAAAAATTACAGACCAGTAGAATATAACAATTTGAGAATTACCTTGTATTGTTAACATCTTGCCAGTCTTCAGATGGGAACACTTTGCTATCATTTTGAGAGGCAGCAGAAGCGTGTCGCTTCAGCTTAAGTCTCCTGTTCTGTTTTCCTGGTTGAGATAGAGAAAGGGACAACACCCTTCGTTTTGGCTGCTTATCCATTTTACTAGAATCCTGGTCGGTACATTTCATCCTCCTCTTGTTCTTGTCTTATTGACGCTATTTGTCGCTTCCTATATTCGACGTAAGCTTTTATTCTGAATTCCTGATCAGATTTAGCCACTTCTTCTAAGCTTACTGGCTCAAAGTTGCCTCTCCGAACTTCTTTCCTCCACTGGATAACTCTGTAATAAGGACAGAAAATCTAACATTAGTAAAAAATAAAAAAAACAACCAAAACTCTTCTTACCATAAAACAATGCCCAATCCTGTTTTCCAAACTGAAATAGTGAGTACAGGCTTAATAACAAAAATGATGAACGCCAACTGTGTTTTATTAAAAATTCACTGCACAGATCTCAGAGACGGCTACGCACCATTGGGTCATTCAAACTAGAGTCCTAGGACTCTAATTCAAACACTGTGCTGTGCTGTGGGGGTCCTAACCCTAACGGCGGTACAATGATTTTCCATACCATTCAAAAATGACCGGAGCAGAATGAAGGATCTCATGATAAGACTTACCCAAAAGAAAGACCTATTAAACTGGTAAAGATGAGAAGACCAAAACTGAGTTTATTTATGTATGCGTAACTGGGGGTACCACGGAGGGACCGGGGTTTGTTTATCCTATCTTTTAAGTCATTCATTGGCACGACGATTAAGTTGAAGAGGAAAATGATTGGTACGCCAAAGCATACAATAATGCAATGCCACGCAGTGTTTCGTCAATTCGAGTCAGGTTAAAATGTGCCAAGCTGCGTTCACCACTTGCGTTGCGAACTAGTGCAACCGCCAACTGCAATGTCGATGTGGGGTCGGAAGTTCTTCGTTCTTCGCGCGCCGGCGCCTACCGTTATTCTACTGTCTGGACCGCGAAATTCGAAATTTGACGGTGGAGGGGGCTCGAACCGAGCATTCAAATCGTGTGCGAGGTGCAGGTTCCGCCAAGCCATGAACACACAGGAGCAGGTTTGAACAAGTTTACTTCACTTTCTGTCAGATTATGGTCACTTACATCATTTGTTTTCTTTTTGAGTAGTTTCTTGGGAAACAAATTATTGACAATGAGAAGTGGATTTTGGCAGTGACATCAAATCAAGCTTCAAATTGACTAACAAACAATAGTTGTAAAAATAGGTCATAGAAGAAATACTAAAATAAAATTTTCACAAGAAACTAAGCAAAAAGAAGCGAGTCAAAATAAATTAACGTACGTAATCATTACTACAGAATTTCAATCTGTAGAGCATCCAAAGTAGAATGCACACTTGTAAACAAACAAGACACAATTTCATATGTGATGTGAAAGCATCACCTTCATCACAGCACCAAGAATTAAACAGTGGTAAGAAGGCGCAATCAAGTGGCGTTGTCAAGGTCGCGGGTGACGGTTTTGGTACGCGTAGGCGGGTGTGCCGGGCCTCTGGCCCCTCTGGACAGCCTGCTGGACAGCCTGGACGGGGGCAGGCGCACTGTGCCTCACGACCGGTGCACTTTGATTCCTCAAAATCAGAGGAGGCGCAGCTCGTCCAGGAGGGTGGCCAGGCACAGTGTAGGGATGGTGTCCGAGCGGCTGTCCGGGTCCGGCGAACGGCACGGTGTAGCTGTGGGCTGCTGCCGGCCTAGCGGCGGCCCCACCTCGCGTGCGGATGCCTGTGGCCATGCCTGTGGCCCCCGGGGCCGCGGCCTGGGGGCGGGGCTGGACCGGTCTCGCTTGCCTCATCTGCCGAATCTGAGCTGTCCGATTCGGAGCTGATGACGATGGGGGGGCCGAGGGTGGGCGCTGTGGCGGCAATGGCGGCTGCCCTGGCTGCAGATAGAAAGGGGCGGGCATTGCTGGCATTCCCTGCAGTGCCTGCATTGCTGCCGCCTGGGCCGTCGCCTGCATCGGCTGTGAGGTCGATGGTCGCAGACCTGGGGGCAGATTGACGTTCCTGCGCACATTAGTAGAGCACACTGTCCTCGCCCCACCAGCGAGTCGGGCTTCGACTCCACAAAACGCGCTCAGGGATCGGGGAACCACTTACCTGGTTCCAGCAGGTAATCGGATGACTGTGGCTCCAGGTGGCACATTTGCTAAAGTCACAGGGACTAAAATTCTGGAGTTGTTTCCATTGACTATTTGGAAGGGAACCGTCACTGGGACATTAGCAGTTTTTCGCTTTTTATTTGGATTTGCTTCAAGGTCTTCAACATGCGCCAATACTGAGAGAAATATGGGAAATGTGTCAATTATTTAAAATAAAAGCCAAGGTATAATGTTCACAAGAAGACAAAAAAATTATTTTTATTTAACAATGTAACATATAGAGGCCATTAAAAAAAAAATTTACTAGGAGAAACATAGGAAACATTAAGAAGTTCATATGAGTAGAGACTACAACAATTAATACTTGAAATCTATTGAGTTAAAGTTCGTTTAAGAAACAAAACAAACATTACCTTTCCTTTCTTCCACTATTTCCCGTCTTCTCTTTTTCAAATCATCCGATAAGTTTTCAACCATTCTATCAATGAAATTGTCTAAGACAAGAGATCTACTCTGCTGAGTGTAAGGAGCTCTACAAATGGGGCAGGTCTTGTTTTTCTTCACCCAACTAGCAATGCACTCTTGGCAAAATGTGTGGTTACAGTTAAGGGTTGTTGCCTAGAATAGTTGTCAAAATAAAATTAATGTCATTAAAGTGTACTAAAGGGTAGGAATATAGAAGAAATCACAACATAATGTCAGCAAACTTACCATAACAAACAACTCATTACAGATACTACATTGTAATTCAGATTCAACAAGCTCTCCAAAATTCTCAATAACATCTTGTTTAGCTTGCTGTTCATTTTTGGATGCTGCTTCCTTAGCTCGACTTGCCTCTTCTAACTCTTTTTCTAGAAGGGTCCGTCTGCTGCTGGTTGAATCAAGATCTTTTTTCACCTGATCCAACTCAGATCTGAGCTTAACTAGAATTTCAGCATTTTCTCCCTCCTTTTTGCTTAACTCCCCTGAAAATTAAATAAACAATTCAAAATGAACAAAGAAAAACAAAATTGTAAGTTTAAGATCACTAAAGGCGAATTCTTCTCTTTTTCTCTCACCTCGAATTTGCGTCTCAATCAAAGCCTTTTCTTCCTGGAGCTTAGATACCTCAGATTCTAGCTCCAGGCGCAATTTAATTTCCATAACCTCCATCTCTTTTTTGAGACGTTCTTGCTCTGAAAGTTTCTGTGCTTCAAGTTCTCTTTGGTGCTCCTCTGCTTTGCGCTGGAGCTCAGCTTCACGATCTTTCAACTCTTTGGTAACCTCTTCTTTATGCTTGTTAAGCTCTTGCTGTCTCTGTCTCTCAAGATTCTGCCAAAACAAAATAAAACATGTGTCTGATAAGTCCAATTTACAAAAGGAATTCAAGTGCATGGGTCTGAAGTACAGTTGAGTTGTTTACGAAAGGGTTGCAGTACCTCTAATTCCAATTTTTTGGCTAGAAATTCTGCTTCCATCTTCTCTTCCCGTTCCTTGCGTTCACGTTCTCTTTCCTCCTCTTGGGCTTTCAGAAGCAAATCCCGTTCAAGGAATGCCTTTTCTTTTTCTTTCTCTTGTCTCTCTTTTTCTTCTAATGCCCTTTGAAGTTCCTGAAGTCTCTTCTCAAATTCAATTTTCTCCTGAAAGCATATGAAGCATGAGCATGTAAAATCATAGTAAGTAGCAGCAACAAATCAACATAACTTTGGTAATCATGGTTACACTGACCTTGGAAAGGCGATCTTCTTCCTTTTCCTGATCCACTAGTCTTTGCTGCTGCTCTTTTTCTTCACGGTTGGCAGCCACCTTCTCCAAGTCTTGAATTCGAAGCCGAAGAGCTTCCTCAACTTCACTCTTTTCGGCAGCGAGTCTCCTTTGTTCAGCCAGTTGCTCAGCAAACTTCGCCCCCAAGGCTTTCCTCTCCTCTTCCAGCCTGTCAAGAAATTCACAAAGCAATGACATAAATACAAACCAAATCTATTTTTGACTCAAGTAAATTGATGATAGGGAAGCCAACCTTATCTCAAACTGCTGTTTATCTCGTTCTAATTGATCATGAAGCTCTTTGTTTTGACTCCTTAGCTCACTTTCAGCTGCCTCAAAGGCAGCAATCTTTTTAGCTAGATCTGAAGTCTCCTTTAAATGTAATTCTTCTAGGTTTTGTTTTTCCACTGTTAACCGTTTTTGAAGCTGCTCTTTCTCTTCTAACAGGTTGCTTCCTGAAGAACTTCCTTTTTTGACAAGGTCTTCTTGAAGTTGGAGATTCCTAAAACATCAGTAGTTTGTTAGATAAAATGTTATGAAACAAAAACAAAATGTCAACCACTTTGATGTAGTTGGTCGTACCTTGCCACTAGTACCTCCAGCTGTTCCTTGTAGGAATCATGCAGCAGCTTCTGTTGGTGTTCTAGTTTTTGACGATTTTGCTGCTTCTCTAAGATACTTTTAGCTAAACCATCTTTTTGGAGTGAAGCTTGATAATCGAAAAACCTTCTTCTTTGTGCCATTTCAGCATCCAGCCCAGATCGTGTATTAGATGCTCTGAGTAAAACAGAATCTTATCATAAACGTTGTGTCAAGGGAAACATTTCTATGCAAACTCAGACTACGAATTTACCTTTTCTGGCACGAGTTAGGACAATGCTGAATACTAGAACAAAATATGTACGAATACTTTGATCCCTCGCTAAGTTGTAGATGATCGCCATCATTAAGGCCAACCTCATTATTGATTTTAAGACGTTTTCCATTCAGCCATGTCCCAGCAGAACTCTATGGAACAAGAAAGGTAGGAACAATCAATAAAACTATGCAATTAACATACCATGACTTAACATTGAAACACAAATACATACCTTATCACAGATAGACCAAGTACCATTGTGACGAAGAATACAATGGTTCCTTGATATCCCAAGATCAACAATGTCATAGGATGCATGTTTAGCTCTACCTATTAAAAACTGGACAAAAAACAAAATCGTTGAAAGAAATGAGAGGTTGAAACTTCTTCGTTCAATATAATGACAATTTTATGACATGTGCTAAACTTGAGATTATCGAAAAAATTGTTCACACAAAAAAAGAATAGGCTCTTCCAGCCAGCTAACCTACAAGAAACGTATCATGTGTTAATGCAGACAAGAAAAGAAGAGCAGACCTCAAGATTGTAAGAAATAATGAAACGGGCATAGTAAAATGAAAGGAAAACTAACAACTTTCCATAGCCCTTCGAAAGAAAAGAAACAAAAACCACAAATGAAGCAGTCATCATCATGGGTCCTTGGGAAGCAGATTGGTAAACAGTTACTTACCTCCTTTTGATCGATACGAACGCTGGGCTCCGCTGGGTTGAAAGGATACAACACGGCAGGGAGATCCATTTGGTAGGGACCAAATCGGGATCAGAGCCCGAAAATGCTCCAAATAAATACGATTGTTGTGTGCAACCACCTGTACGCGCCGGTTGCGTTTCAAACAAAAACAAGTGAGTGTTCAAAGGGGTCGACAGGATCGACCTGAATCGATGGATCGTTGATCGATCTTACCTTTCGACCACGTTGACCACCGTTGTGCAGCGGTGGTTGTAACGGCGGCTGCAGTTGCGGCGGCAGTAGCAAAGCCAAAGCTCAAGCCAGCCCAGCAGAACACACAGCTGCTGCAGTAGGTTTGAGTGGAAATTTGCTTCACCATGGCTGTGGAAGTGAGGTGGCTTAGCTGCTCAGTATTTTTATTCCTAGTTTTTAGTCAAATTATTGCGGAAGTACCGCACAAAAGATTCGAATACAAATACAGCTTCAAGCCGCCGTATTTAGCTCAGAAAGATGGATCCGTACCCTTCTGGGAATATGGAGGAAGTAAGTTGACGTTTCCCGTCCTGTCCGTCGAGTTCCACGCAAACACTCCTTCCAGCTGTTACTGCTGAATCGCCAACCGAGCTCTGTGCCTTATTTTTGTGTGAGCGCGCATTTTGTAAATCGTTCACAAGTTTTGTTGTTTTTTACGGTTGTGGAATAAAGTTACACCGCATGCAGGTTACCGGCTGTCGGGAGGCATTAACCCCTTGAAAGTGTACCACTGCAACACCTGTTACCGGCAATCGCGTTCCGTGTTTTGACATCTCCTCTGGCTGAAATAAGATTTTCGAAAATTCATACCCTATTTTTTTCTGTTAGACCTTGAAATTTGGTTCATTGTTCAACTCGGTCTTCTTTCAATCTGTCCCATAATGAACTATATGAACCAGAAATATACGCTTCATTGTTGACGACTTATTTTTCTTCCTTTTTTATTGAATTTATTGCCGAAGACTCTGTCATGATAAGTTATTTTTTTCTTTCAGACGCAATCGCCAGTTCAGAAAATGTGAGAGTTGCTCCTTCTTTAAGAAGTCAAAAGGGTGCAATCTGGACTAAAACTCCCACCAACTTTGACTGGTGGGAAGTTGATATAGTCTTCCGTATCACTGGTAGAGGTAGAATTGGAGCTGATGGCCTGGTATGTAGTTTCAATTTCAAACAATCTCAAATTCCATTTAGCCCTCAATTTTATTCTATTTCAATAATCTTTTTCATACTTCTCTCATAGGCTTTCTGGTACACTCAAAACCGTGGTGACTATGAAGGAGCTGTATTTGGAAGTTCTGACAAGTGGGTTGGCCTGGGAGTTCTTTTTGACTCCTTTGACAATGACAACAAGCACAACAATCCGTACATCATGGCTGTCCTCAACGATGGAACTCGCGAATTCGACCATCAAAAGTAAAATTTTACATGATCACACCATTTTATTCTTCACTGAAGCAAATGTTACATCTTAATTGTTTTTCTTTCTCATATCTACAGTGATGGAAGTACACAGGCTCTTGCTGGTTGCCTACGTGATTTTAGGAACAAACCGTTCCCCACCAGGGCCCGTATTGAATATTACAAAAATACCCTAACAGTACGTAACAACCCTGCTTTTCATTTATTGTGATTTTGAACCATACCTAACGATATGCCTTTTGTTATCCAGGTACTGTTCCACAGTGGTATGACTGCCAGTGATCAGGAGTATGAAATGTGTCTCAGGGCTGAAAATGTCCACTTGCCCAAGAATGGTTACTTCGGTCTTTCTGCTGCCACAGGAGGCTTAGCTGATGATCATGATGTTTTACATTTCTTGACATCAAGCCTCCATGCACCTGGACAGATGCCCTCTCCCCAAGCACCCCAAGTCAACGAGGAAGATCAGCGAAAACTTACTCAGGAGTATGCTGATTATCAGCGCAAACTTGAGCAGCAGAAGGAGGTGTAAGTACCAATGTCAATAACAGCCACAGTGTTGTTGTATTGATTTTTATCTCATCTTACAATTTATCTTTAAGGTACCGCAAGGAGCATCCTGATGCGCCTATCAAGGACAAGGATGAATTTGAAGAGTGGTACGAATCCGACAACCAGCGAGAGCTCCGTCAGATTTTCCAAGGCCAAAGTCAAATGTTTGAAGTAACCAGGGAACTCAATAGAAAGCTGGATGAAATTATTGGCCGTCAGGAACGCACACTCAGTCTGATGTCATCCATGCAAGGAGGTGGTGGTGTTCCTGTTGGTAAGTTGGGTATAATGCTGAATTATTATGATATCATTGTGACCACTCTCTTCCCACTTGATCTTTCCTCTACATTTTCCCTTTATTTCAGTCACTCATCAACAGCCTGGCCAGCCTCCTGTTCAAATGATTGACACCATCAGGAGACACGAAGTTGATGCAGTGATCCAAAATCAAAACAACCTCATCGCGACAGCTCGTGATTTAATGTTAGCCCACTTTTTATTGAGTTCATGAATACTGAAACTGAAACCCTTTCACCTATTGTGTATTAAATGCTGTTTTTTTTTTCTTTTGTGGTATTTCCAGGGCTTTTGTCACTGATGTCAGGACTCGAACTGACACCATCATTGCTAACCAAGCACGCCAGCCAACTGCCCAGGTGCAGTCTGTGGGCTATGACATGACATCATTGGTAAACGAAATGCGTGATGGGCTCAATACTGTGAAGCGAGATGTTGCTGCTGCTTCTGCTAAACTGGGCGCTGGTGGTTCTGTCAGTGGCAGTTGCCCAACCTGCCTTACCACAACAACATTCATGGTCTTTGGAGTAGTGCAGTTGGCTCTTTTGTTTGGCTACTTTATGTACAGGTAAGGCCTTGCCGGTCAACCTTGCTCATCCATGTTTGAGACTACCAAAGCTTCTCATTATTTACACGATCTTCTCTTTTTTGTTGTATAGGGACAGCAAGGAAGCTCAAGCCAAGAAATTCTTCTAATGTGAGCACGAGCAGGTTACGAGGTAAAACCAAAATGGCACAGGCTAAGAGCATTTTACATTCCTCATTGAAGAGTTTAATGAAGTATCTCGCCCCAAATTGTTCTCATGGTCTTGTACTAGAATGCCAGTTATGCTTGGCAAACATTTTAATGTTATGTTGCCAAATGGACCAACAATCTAATTTTAACAAAAATCCTGTCAAGGTTGCATTTCCATAAAACTTTTGCTCTTTTTATATTTAAAGTTTTTGAAGGCAGTTAGGAGTGTATATTTCAATTGTTGGGTTGATATTCTCATTCATCTTGAAAACCATTAGTCAAAATTGTGTGTGAATATTGCCATTGGTATCCTGATGTTAGTATTTTGATGTGGAAATCAATCTTACTTCATTTCATTTCATGCATAATTTAAGTCTTAGACATATAAATTGCAAGTATGATACATGTTTACTTGCAGCAGGAACTTTTTTTTTTTTCACCTCTAAGCCTGCTTATTCTTCAGTGAAGATTGATTGAAAAGTTTTAGATCAGAAGTATTTGATTGCAATGTATAGTATATTAGTGGGCATTATTGTGTTTGAGATTGTTCTTTTCTTGGTTGGACACTGTGTTGTGATTGCCCTAGTTAATTGAACAATTCCTCTGTAGGCCATCCACTCATTCCATGATGTTTTAAAGTGTACAGAGGTATTGTGTAAGCATCTTTAATGTACAAAGTTCTTGTTGAAAAAGAGTGTCATGGTTATTGCTCAAGCCCAGCTGATTTTCTGAATTATTACTCTGTTGGAGGTTTTATTTGAAATTTCTGGTAGACTTATTGAACAGGAGCTTCAATACCCATACAAGTTAACCTGTGATTTTATTTATATGACAGTTGATCTGTCTTTCTGTATGCTGAAAACCATTGCCATCGAAATATTATCTTCACCTAATATTCGTGGTATGTCTTACTTAAAGCATATCAGATTGTAGATTTTAAAAATCATTGCTTACATCTATATTTACAACACACACATACCCAACACACTTCTACAATTTGGTGTGGCTTCTTTTCTGTCATATAAATGCTGTTCAATCATGCACTTCAGCTTTTACTAAAGCTGAGGGCCCCTTTGGTACACAGCTGAAAGGAAGAATGAAATTTTTTTCCCTTTCATTTAAGTTGTCAAGATTGATTTTCAGATTTGAAAAATGGTATTTTTCTTATTATCTAGTAGTCTTGTGATTGGAAGTTAGATTTTCCATGGGGGAGTAATGAGTTTGTTAGTTATTGAAGAAGTTCAACTTTTGAGATACTTTTATTATTTTGTTGAGACTTAAAGAATGTATGAGAGACCCACTTGTGAAAGTGCTTAAGTAACTGTCCAATCTTAGAGTAGATTCTGTTTTTAACTGGATCACTTGTGGGTCTGATGATTTATGTTATGTGAGTGAAATCTATATGTTGAATGAATGTTCTTGATTTTGGTTAAAATTTTGCGTTATGTGATAGGTCAGTTTTTAAAAACATTGTGTGTCCTGTAAAATAAAAAAAAAAGATAAATTTTTCAATGGAAGTCTCGTTTTTAAACAGTTTTTATTATTGCCTTTACCCTTTCATTTGTAAGGGTCATTTTTCTAGAAATGATTTCGAAAGAGATATCTGATGGCGCCAAAAACGACTCAGAATGACAACCTGTCGAGCACTCCAAGAAAACTGGACAATAACAATGAAACATCATTATTGAAAAAGAAAATTGATAGAAAGATTCTTGATTTGTCATTTGGACTGCGTCCTCTCCAGTTCTTTTCTGCGTAAGTTCTAAATTTAATGTACTCTCTAAGAGTTTTGGTTTGGGAATGTTGGCATCATTGTACCCCCAAACGAAGGCATGTTTGTTTCTTCCGGTTCCCCTCCCGCTAGTGTAGGCCTTTCATCTCCGCAAGCACCAGGTGAGTTGCGAATTTTTATCTGCTGCATTTTAACGTATTTTTGGGCATCCAATCATTTGCTAGTAATCGAAAAGCCGTGCGTTTTCCCGACTATTTTTCTGTCCTATTATTGTCTTCTGAGGGTGTTTTCCGCAAGTCGAGGACTTGACTCGGCGTGCCCGGTGCGTTTTGCGATTTCGTCGTCTGTGTACATTTCTCTGCTAAATTGCACATAGTTCGCCGTTTGATTTTACTCTCATGCAAATTAAGCTTCGTTTTCATACAGAGGCTCCCATCTTACTCAATACCTCCTGTGGGGGTTCATTTGTTGTTTAATAATAAACACTAGGTTATGTCTCTTCATTGGATGTACAATTACCGATTTATCTTTACATGATTCGTGATCTTCACTTCCATTTCACCCGACCGGATGTCTTGGTACTATCCGCATCTTACCCTCTTTTTTCCTGGGTTTGCTTGTTTTTGAGGCACTGGGATGGAGGTACCTCCTACAGTGTTTATCTTGGCATGGGAATAGGTTTTGAACTCCTTTGTTATCAGGGTAACTCGACAGTGAGGCTTTGCGTCCTCATTTCTGTTGTGCCTGTTTTATTTGATAGATTTTTAATTTTCTTTCCTTTTGTTTTTGCTGTCCACAGCTCTCTACTCATAATGCCAGAGCTGACAGAAATCGAACGTGAACGCGCTGCTCCCAGTGCTGATGCTGACGCAGACACTGCAGGAACAGACAGTGACTCTGACAGCGCACCTGAGCTGGAAGATGCCGGAGCGGGATCAGGGATCAACTTCCCTGGTGGCGCTGCTGCAGCTGCTGCCGCTGGTCTTCCCATCGACATCAGCAAGGCCAAGCAAACCCGTGGAGAGAAGAAAGCCCGCAAGATCATGTCCAAGCTTGGTCTGAAGCCTGTGAGTTTCTTTTCCTAGTCTTTAGCTGATGGTCTTTATCTCTCTCTACCTTCTTTGCTCATGTTTTTTTGTATTGCAGATTACCGGTGTCAGCCGAGTAACAATCCGGAAGTCAAAGAACATCCTGTTTGTTATTAACAAGCCTGACGTGTTCAAGAACCCTGTGTCAGACACTTACATTGTGTTTGGTGAAGCCAAGGTACCTTACCACTTACCTCACAATGTTGATTCAAACTGCGTCTCTGTTGTCAACTACATCACTCATGTGTTTTATGATTTTGTTCCCAGATTGAAGACCTTAGCCAGCAGGCCCAAGTTGCTGCTGCTGAAAAGTTCAAGGCCCCTGAAATCTCACCTGCCGCTGATGTTGGTGCAGGCACCACTGTAAGAATCATCAATTTAGCTTTAGTTCCGGGATGGTGCCAAGCCAATGCATTTCGATGTGAAATTGTTATCCTGGCTATTCTATGGTGCTTGCAGCAATTACTTTATGAGTATTCTTTGTCTTTGCGGAAATTTTCTCTGGACCAGAAATGATGATCTTTCATATCTTGAAGGGTGCACTTGATGCTAAACCCGTACAGTTCGATGTAAGAACGTTATCCCTGTCTGACAGGTTCAGAGCTTAGATTCATTTGATCAAGAAATTGTTTCACTTATTTCTCTCTTTAGGAAAGTTGCTTGCTGCAATTATGTTTTGAGTATATTTTGTCTGGACCAGAAGTGATGATCTTGTATTTCTTGAAGGGTGCACATGATGCTAAACCCGTACAGTTAGATGTAAGAATGTTATCCCTGTCTGATTGGTTCATAGTTCAGTTGTTAAGACCGGAAGTGATGATACACATTCTCTCGAAGGGCGCACTTGGTGCAGAACCCGTACAGTTAGATGTGAGAATTTTATCCCTGTCTGAGTGGTCAGATCTTATTTTCATGTACTTTCAGCTGTATTAAAGTAGGAATGTCCTTTAGTCGTGACTTATCATGCTTATCTGATTAACAGGTGGTGGCACCCATTCAAGAAGAATCCGAAGAAGAGGAAGTAGATGACTCCGGAATTGAAGATAAGGATGTTGACCTGGTTATGTTGCAAGCCAATGTCAGCAGAGCCAAGGCCATTAAAGCCCTCCGCAATAATGGTTGTGATTTAGTAAATGCAATCATGGTGAGTATCTTTCATTATTATTCTTATCTGCATCCATTTTCAGTATAAAATCTGGACTGAATGTCGACCCTTCGATACTTTAAATTTTCTCTATTGAATGTTAGTTAGACTCCTTGCTTGACATTTAAGTATTATTTGTAGTATCTCTTTCATGATGATATCTCAAAGGTTTCGCTAATATTCTTTTACTGTTTAATACTTTGATGATAATCTTGCCTGTCTGAAAAGAGTTTTTGACTAAGTGATCTTATAATTGGTATACATTGACTGAAAATAGAGAAGTTGGGTGATGATTTACAAAGGTTTCGCTAATTTACTTCTGTAAATTTTTGTTGATGATAATCCTTGCCTGTCTGAAATAGCACTTCTCTGTTGGTTATTATAAGCAGAAGTTAAGTGATGATTCACAAAGGTTTCGCTAATTTATCTCTGGAAATATTTGCTGATGATAACCCTTGCCTGTCTGATATAGCACTTCTGTCTTTAGTTTTATATATGACTAACTCTACAGTGATGATCGTACAAAGGTTTCGCTATTATACTTCTGTAAATCTTTGATGATACTCCTTGCCTGTCTGAGTAGAGTCTGGTAATGACCTGTCAATTGAACCTGCTTCTATTGTACGCTCATTGAATGTATTGTTTTCAGGCCCTGACCATGTGAAGCTCCTCATCTTCAACATTATCCCGTCACCCATACCTCAGTAAATGCATTCTTTTGTTTCTGTATGCCTGTGCAAGTGCTGCTCTGGTGTCAGATGCTAACTTGTATTTGCTGAATCTTCAGTCAAACAAAATTTTCTCCATTTTGCGGGCCATTCATCAAATCATGCTACCTGATGTTTTATTAAAAGTCAGCATTTCTGTGGTACCCTATTTGTTACTGTACATAAAGCAATCTCTTCCAATAAGACAGATTCAAAATCTTTTACTTGTCTTTGATTTTTCTCTCACCCTTGAATGAGGCAGACCGAATTTGAACATTAGATGAGACCTATTGTGATGAAGCCGTGACATAATCTTAAATTGAGTTACTAGCAATGACTAAGCAAATTATAGGAAAAATGTCTTTGCCTTTAAAATTGAAGTAATGAAAGAGGGACAAAAATAACATTATTTAAAATTCAATCTCAGTATATTTGACAAATGACAGTACATCAGCTTGCAGTAAAAAAGTATACAACACTTGAAAATGATTACTAATTTGGGGAACTCACATCACCATTTCTAGAACTGGCCAAAACTTGAATGTTGACAATTTTAAGTCAGTACAACCTGTTATGGGTTAATTTTTTAAACCACTTTGGATCCAATAAATCTTCAATGAAATTGTCAAAACCTACAAGCTACATCAAATTACTCTGTATAAAATGACATCCATACCAATTAAGACAGAATGAATGAATATCAGATTCAGCCACCAGAATTACATTAAATATTAAATTTGTTGGATATGAAGGAATGCCTTAAGTGATTGTCTTTAAAACCAGAATGTGCAATCACATTTACACACAAATACTTTCACACATACATGCAAACACACACTACTCAAGTTCTCTGCAGTTGGAGTTTCACTCTATTTAATATAATGGCAGTGCGTCACAACTGACCCAAGGTGAAGTTAAAAATTGATAATACATGCAACTAGAATCATTTCAACTCCAATACAAAAGTCAGCATTCTAAAAACCAATACTAATGAGCACTATCACAAAATTTGACACAACTGGATTTTTCGTATTGTATAATACCACAAAATCGTTCTTTTCAAACTGTTACAAATTTTCTTTCGAGCTCAATGGAAGACAATGTGAACCATGTAAATTGAGAACATTCAGGCATCCTTTGGTAAAAGCTAATGTCTAATTAATTAATGTTTAACTAACCCCATTCACAACTACGGGCGAGACTTCAACGAGCAATATGGGATACAGTAACGTCCACAAGTTTGGAAAATACTTAATGGTTTCAAGGAAAATATAAATCAAATCAAAAGTGGGCAAGCATACACAGAGGCTCTAAAACTACACCACTGCCATTCTATTTAATGGTCCCTTTAAGTAGCAATAATTTTAGCAGAGAATACAAAGTTCAGATTTATTACAGGAAATGAAATTGGTAGGGGTGCAAGATCATACACAATTAAGCCAAAATGCTGAATACAAAACCGCCGAATGAGAAAATAACAGAATTAAAACATTCCTCTAGAATTCATGCAAACAATATCAAAATTTACAACTGCAACTATTTACATACAATATCCATTTCAAATTTGTGCTGATAGATCACACACCAACTTTCTAAGAAATAACCAAAGTTGCCAACTTGGAATGGTTATCTACAATTGATTCAGACCCAAATAATACAAATTATATATATCTAATCTAATAAAATTTATATCTAGTGCCTTCCTTTGATGATCTGTGTATTGACAAAAGACTTCACACAGTTCCTAAATTTATATAGATCAATTCAACACAAAACACTAATTTACTTGTCCTTGCTGTTCTCTTTATGGTATGTTTCATGAAGGTGCTTCTTAAATTGAACTTGATTTGCCCACATGTGTGATGCTTGGGGGTTTAGAGGGCTGTTAATATTGGGCTCTGTAAAACAACAAAAAGATTCATTACAGTCAGAACTGCAACAAAAATAATGAGCAAGGAGTCAAGGAAAGAACATGGCACTCACCACCGAGTAATGACTGAATGGAAAGTAAAATAGTGCGGACATCATAAAGTGCCGACCATTTCTCTCTCAAAATGTCCAAGCATATATTGCCAGCGGTGTCAACATTGGGATGGAAACATGATGTGGTAAATCGTACTACAGGTGCGGAGTAGGGGTAGCTGTTGGGAAACTCTAAACTCAATTTGTAAGTGAGGTCTTCGTAAACCTGAAAGGAGAAAGAAAGATGAGGATTAACAGAGAGAAATAAACAAACATGGAATATAACCTGAATTTGAAAGAGTAAACATTTACCGTTCCAACTGGGCCCGTAATTGTGCCGACCCATTTGAAAAAATTCTCGCCCTCTGGGAATGCTGATACACCTTTTTCTGCACCCATCTGAGAACAGAAACAAATCAGTTAGACGAAAGTTAAAGTGGAACATCTCGAATGAATGGTGACATCCAAGCAGCACTCACCATGAGAACCATCAATTCCTTTTGGAGCCTGGAAAAATAAAAATAGACAAAGTTAGTTGTAACAAAGGCAGTGTGGAGTATGTTGTGGATTTAAAACGGAATTGCACAGATCCATCGGGAGGAGAAACAAAATAAAGGTGGGTAAACGTAAGTAGGGTTAGCGCACTAAACACTAACGTCAGTCAAGATGCCACAAATGCCGACCAAAAGACGGCAGGAGATGGGAGCCTTAGATGTGAAGATCTTGGTTTGCGAAAACCAGAAAAGCAGAAACTCCCGAAACCATGAGCTGGCCAAGCCAGCACCCCATCGACTTCTAGAAAGAATCCCCATAAATCTTACCGTTTTGTAACAGCGTGGTTGTCTTTAGAAAGACGGAGCCTGTCCTCATTAGTTTTAATTGAGCTACTCGGCTCTGGAGCAGAATGGGGATTAACGTTCTGAGCCATATTTGCACCGAAATTTCAACACCGAAACAGAAATAAAGCGTCCTGAAGAAGCTGACCGTTAGAATTTTTTGAACCACAGGAACTGAAGTTGCAGGGTACTGCAAGCCAGATGCATATTGCTATTACCAGCCGCCCCCTTGCGTGAGAGACTAGTATGAGAAATATACGATGCAGTTCACTGACCGCGAGGCGACATGAGAAATTGTACGACTGCGGCGGCTCTGCTGCTCTGCTCTAGGTGCGGGAATGTTTGAAGTTTGAAGGCGAAAAGAATTGTTCTGCTTGTATCGCTTAGGACAGTCAAGGCTTAAAGTTTTTAATAAGTCTCTTCATTTACAACAGGGTCACAAAGTAAATAAGTAATAAATACTGTAAATAAATAAAGGAATAAATAAATAAATAAGCGCTATCGTAGCTTACATAAAACGTTCAACTTAAACTAATATACGACAATCCACGTCTTCTCCGCTAAATATACAACGACTCTTTAACACTAGAAACGGCACCGAACACACGGAAGCAGTGCAGTGGTAAGATGGTCCGAGTTTGGAGGTGGGGTTTGTGCGCTGCGACACTGTCAAACCAAACAAACCCCACTCCAGTTTGTGATTCCGGAGCCCTTTTATCACTGCCTCTTCTGAAACCCCTTGGAACATTCGAAACCCGGAAGAACAGAACCCGCTGCCCACAACCACAGAATGCTCCTCCCCGTACTTTGACTACGCAGTCTTTTCTATTCACACGGTGTGAGCAAGTCACCCGGCGCTGGGGCTACGGACTACCGCCTCTGCTGGGCGTGAGCGCTCCAGCCCCTGAAGGCCCTGGACTGCGCGTCGCTGGAGGTTCTGAGGGCGTCCGTCGCCGTCCTGGACGTCCGCGACGTCCTCGCCGACCGCGCCATGCTCCTGCCGTTGACCCAGCCGCCGTACTCGATGCCGTCGTCGTGGTAGCCGTAGTACTCCTCGGCCACGCGGCTGTTGTGGTGGTCCTCCATCTGCGGCGCCAAGCCAAGGGTCACAAACAGAGCAACTTGAAGGCGACCGGCCCACAGTGGGTCAGAAGACGGTCGGAGGCGGTCAAAATCCCGGATGCGTTTTGAGCTCCAGAGTCGCTAGATGGGACTCGAACCCAACGTGTGGCCCCACCAACGGATTGCTCTACGAACGAGGCAGCCATTGGTGGGATCGCATGTTTGATTCGAGTCCTGTTTATCGACTCTGGAACTCGGTCTTCTGACCCACTGTGCGGCCTACCAGCACGGCATGACATACCTGGCGCTGCTGCACGTTGCGGAGGATGTTGAAGGCCACGAGCATGAGGGTCATCTTGCCCAGCAGGATGGACTTGAGCGCCATCATCTTGAGGGCCATGATGTAGAGCGGCAGCATCATGAGCTGGATGGCCAGCGGGATGGCCAGCAGGGGCAAGTACGGCGCCAGCTTCTTCTTGAGCTTCTTCAGGCCCTTCAGGACCTTCTTCTTCTTGTGGTCGTGCCGGTCCTCCACCTCGAAGTCGCCGTCCTCGATGTCGCGGCCTGCAGCAGAGGGAGGGCAAGTTAGTCACCGCCTGTCTCTCTCGCACCCCACGGGAAGCCCCATGAGTGCGAGAAAGGCAGCGCCATCCCTCGCCTGCCGTCCGGTGCGCGTTGCTGGCGATTCCGTCGAGCTGTCTTTCTCGCAACCCCTACGGCGCCCCACGAGTGCGAGAGAGACGCAGCTACCTGCAGTCGGTGTTGTCCGGCAGGCCTGTCTGCTATCAGGTGGCCGTGGCCGTAGCGGGCCTACACTTTCCCTTTGACCCTGCAGGGACCGGCTCTAGACCGGCCAGGCCCCATCCCCCCCCCTTTCCCCTTCCCGAAGGTCTAGGGCAGCCTAGAACCTCGAGGAACAAAAACATACGCAACATTCCCGCAGAAAGATGAACGCAGATTGACTGCCGGTTTGAACCGACGACCTCGGGGATGGGAATCGACCGCGACCGCTTTAACCACGCGGCCGCCACGCCCCGCCGCCTAGCCGGGCTTTAAGTGGCCGGGCCCAAAACGGCTCATTAGATGCGTGCGGGGCGCGGCAAGGCGGCGCCTCCGTTCACACCGAGCCACCCGCCCGTGTCCGGTAGTCTGTCTCTCTCGCGCTTACACGGGACGCCGGGACGCCCCACGACGCCCCACGAGTGCAACAGAGAGGCCACCACGGAATCGATCTGCTGGAGCAGGTCGCCCGAAGCCCGGCTCTCTGAAGGCCCCAGAAATAGAGGCTATCAAAACGCCCGGCCGTTGGGCCTGGGCCGTTGGGCTGTCGGGGCGATGGGCTATGGCGTCCCGTCCCACGGCCGACGCGGTGCCGCTGTGCCGCCGTTCCGGTGGGTCAGGGAGACTGAACGGAGTGCTGCCGCGCCGCGCCGCGCCAGTCAGAAAATTACTTTTCGGAGAGGATAAGTAACGGAATTCTCGGTGCGGGCTGCCTACGCGTCGGGGGCCCTCTCAGCCCCCTGTGTGCGTGCGTGTGTGTGTGTGTGGCCTCTAGAAGGGGAAAGTGAAGCTGGGGCCCGAGGCGATGGGGCGGCGCGGGGCTCGGGGACCACCGCCCCTCGCCTGGCGCGCAGTGCGCACGCCGCACGCCGCACATCGGCCGGCCATCAGCCCGTCCGTTACAGCACCACTTTGGCGCGTCGCCGCGCGTGCCGTGCAGCAGGTATTTGTTGATCCCGACCGGCCGGCCGCGGGCAGCGGCAGCACCGCGCAGCACAGCGTGGAAAATGCGCGAAACGCTCACATCAAGGCGTCATGCGGCGCCGAGCCGCCGAGCCGCGGGGCCGCGGGGCCCCCCAAGCAAACCACCGTGAAGAGCCAATATCTGTTTCAATGCCCCGGCCGCGTCGCGCCCCAGTGGACGCCGAGAAGGCGCTCTCTCTTCTCTCTCGCACGCCTACGGCGCCCTCGCGAGTGCGACGGAGGCGAAGACAGAGCCCCTGCCATGCGGCGGGTAGGCCGCCGCGCTAGCCACCGCGTGGAGCGGGCTGGCCTACCCGCCGCATGGCAGGGGCTCCCCGCGGCCAGTTCACTTACAGTGGAGTGGAGCCGCTGCGACTCGTCGATGACCTCACGGCCGTCATGCACTCGGTGTGCGGTAAGGGGGGTAAGGGCGACGCGCACCTAGCCGGCTCAAATGAGCGCTCTCGCCCGCCCGACCCGTTTCTCGGCCGCACAGTGGGCCAGAAGACCGGTGCAGGCGGCCGAAACTCCAGATGCGTTTTGAGTTCCAGAGTCGCTAAATGGGACTCGAACCGAACGTTTGACCTCACCAACGGGTTGCTCTCTGAACGAGGAATCCATTGGTGGGGTCACACGCTCCATTCGAGTCCTGTTTAGCGACTCTGGAGCTCAAAACGCGTCTGGAGTTTTGGCCGCCTGCACCGGTCTTCTGGCCCACTGTGGCCCGGTAACGCCGCGGTGGCATCATATCGGCCATCACTGTATAACTGTCTCGGCACCGCGCCATCACCGAATTCGGGACTCTCACCAGCAGCGTAGCTAACTCCCCCCTCCCAAAAAATAAAATAGAAACATTATTTTTTGTTTGCTCGATGTCGTGTTTACTATCGTGTCGACTTGAGCGCTATCTTGACACGGACGACACGCGGCGTGGCACCCGTGACACTTCGCGTGCCGCTGGCGCGTGCGGTGCGGTGTGAGCATGCCCGGCCGTGCGCGCGCAAGGCGCACCGCGTGTCGCGCTCGGCGAGCACGCAGGCCAAAAATAAACAGCCGCGGCAGCATTAAGAAGTACGCGCCGGCTGGCCTCTGCTCTGGCTATCTGGCTATCTGGCCCACTACTGACGAAAAGGAAAGCGACCGGCGTCTCGCGTCACAGGGGCAGGAACCGGGCGCCCACACGCCAGTCGGGAAAGGTTCGGCCCGCCGGCCCGTCGTCCCGGCCCGTCGTCCCGGCCCGGCCCCGAAAGGCACGCCACGGAATATATGTGACGGAACGCCGCCGCGCTGCGCGAATTACGTTCCAATAACGCGCTGCAAAATGGCGCCTCACGCCCGCAGTTCCTTTCTTCGCCGCGGGAGGGGTGGGGGGAACTAGGCGAACGGAGCGTCTGCCGCCGCCGGGATGGGATGGTGATTTTTTTGCGGTGTATCTGGACTGGGCCAGTAGGGCCGTGGCTCGGAACACATGCATACATGATGGCAGCGCGCGCTTTGGTTATTCACGGCTCCAGCCGCCACTACTCTGAAAAAAGGGGCACGGGGGGAGACGGGGAAAGGATGTAACGACCTGGTGGTTCGATGTTCGATCCGGCTGACGGCGGCCCTTTCGTTTATTTAACTGTCTCGACGCTAGCCACTCGCTCCGGTCCGAGCCGGACGAGCTGGACGAGCTGGACGACGCGGTCGTCGTCACCGAGTCAACAAAGTAGTCCACTCGGAACAAGGCCCGGCCACGCCAGTGTCATGCCCATTGCCCGCGCCATGCCACGGCCATGCCTGCAGTCCACACAAAGTGGCCCTCAAAGTGGTCCACTGGGCCACACCCCGCTCCGCCCCTCCGCATGCCGCATCCCCGGGGTCAAGGCCAACACTATCATCCAGTACTCCAGTACGTGCCGCCGAGCCACGCCGCCGAGCCGCGCGCGGGAAAGTGGCCGCGGTGGTGCAGTACGTGCTACGTGCGCCACGGACGGCCGCGGCCGCGACGTGCACCTCCACGATAACGCATCGCATCGCCGAGCGCGACCCCGAAAGCATCCTTACCTTGCTCGTCGTCGTCCAGCCGCAGCCCGTCCAGCTTGAAGCTCAGGTTGACGGCGTCCTCGCTGCGCGCGTCGCGGCCCAGCGTGGCCCGCACGCCGGGGTAAACCTCCACGTCCATGGCGAAGGCGCGCGACACCTTGTCCACCTCGACGATGAGGTCGTGGTACGTGGCCAGGTCGTCGGCGTCGTCCAGAGCGCGCGCCATGTCCACGTCGCGGTTGGAGGGCGGCGGCATCTCGGTGCCCGCCACGCGGTGCAGCACCACGGAGCCGTCCAGGAGCGTCACGTCGCCGCCGGCGCCACTGCGGACGGCGCGCAAGCCGCGCACGACGGGCGCCTTGGCGCAGCCGACGACGCGGCCAAGGAAGTCGTCGCGGTCCTCGTCGTCCGCGTTGAGCAGCGAGGCGCGCGAGGCGCGGCCCCGCACCGAGGACAAGCAGTCCAGGAAGCCGAGCGACGCGCGCGGCGAGGACTCGGTCGCGTTGCTGCCGTCGGCGGCGGCGGCCGCCACGAGCACCACGACGTACACCATGGCGACGGCGCCGGGCACCGAGAGTCTGGGCTGCATGGCGCGCGGCAGGCCGGCAGGGGGCTCGGCGTCGGTACTGAGCGTCGCTCCGCGTGGGACTGAGTCTCGCCTCCTTCGCGCCTGGAAGGCTGGCACGGCTGGAAGCAAGGCTGGAAGCAAAGGCTGGAAGCGACGCCGGGCCGGGGCGGCCGGGGCTGCCTCGCCGCGGCCAGGCTTAGGGGGACCGTGAGGCCGGGGGAGGGGTGGGGCGGGGCGGGGCGGGGCGGGGTAGGGCGGGGCGGGGTGGGGCGGGGCGGGGTGGGGCGTGCGGCTAACCCCAGCACGGCGCCGTGAGCACGCCCCTGCCGAACTCCCAGTAACGCCACTTGCTGGGAAAATTGAAAAACGGGGCACCCCACCCCTTTCCCAGCGAGAGCTAGTCCTCCTGCTTTGACTTTGAATGAACCACTCTGGCTGAACGGTTTGAAAAGCGAAGAGAAACGGGATGGGCAACGCCTCCACGCTCTCGGCCACGGTGTCCACCGCGGTGTCCACAGCCCGTCAGCCTGGTGACGCTGGGCGCGGCGGAGCGTCATCTCCGTCATTTCCGGCAGACGGCGATGCAGACCGTGATGCTGAGGCTGGAGGTGTGAGCACGCCGGGCGGCACGCCGGGCATCCGAATGGAGACAAGACCACCGGACTTTCTCCCCGAAGCCGGTGGCATTATTTCGCAAACCGCTCCACAATCCGGCCTCCTGACTCATTCATTCGCCGCCAAACGAACCCCGAAAAATCAAAACACCTTTTAGCGTCGCCATTCGTTTCGAAGTAAATAAAGTAGGAATTCGGGAATGGGGCACCGCGGCCCCGATTCGCGGGGTTTACCGGGTAAATGATTAGCGAGGCACTGAGAGCACTGTCACGTGTGTGTGCCTGTGTGTGTGCGCGCGTGCCGCGATCCGGGGCAGGAACCGGACACAGATCACGACGTGTCACCAGGCCAGGCCGCCTGGCCTAAACGGGAAGGCATGGCGAGGCACGGGGGGATGGGTAGAGCCGGCTCCGGACGATCCTGGACATCCTCGCGGGTACACTGCCACTGCCCCCGAGCAAGACAGGGCACTGGATCGCCACCGTCATCGCTCACGATGCACACGACTAAATATTTCGTAAAGTTTTATAGATAGTTGATAGTCAAAAATAAAGGTAGCGGGGAAGAAAAAATAAAAAAACATAAAATGTTATAAAATGAACCACATTAAAATTGAAAGTGAGAAACGGGTTAAACGCCTAAAACGCGGTGTCTGCAGAGGACCGGCCACGCCCCCCGCCGCTGCTTCGACACGGCACGCCAACGGCACGCCTCGTCTGGCCGCGGCCCTCACGGCGTGGTCGTCGCGGCGTCCGACAGTCCCCGGGAGTGGATCCCCAGACGTGACTTCCACTATCGTGTCAGGCCAGCCCCGAGCCGCCGTGCCGCCGTGCCTCCTCACATGGGGGCCGGCCTGCCCCGCCGCCCCTGCTGCCTGCCGCCCGGCCACTGGCCGCCACCGGCTGTGTTGGTGTAGTGGACACTTTCCCCAAGAGGACCACGATGCTGTGCGGCCCCTAGAGCTTCGAGGCCTCGGCGATGAGCTCCGGGCCGCGCCTGAATTCCTTGCATAGCGCCAGCTGCGCTCATCAAGCGTATGCAGGTTTGTGATGCGGGAGGAAGCCCCAGGCCGCCCAGGTCCTGACCCGGCGACCTGGCCGGAACGCCGGAACCGGCCGAACTAGACCGCCCCGATGGCCGGCAGGAGAGAGAAACCCGAAACCCGATCGGGACCCGCCGACCCGCCTCGCAGACGAGGACGAGAATGGATTTTTTGAAGAGGAGCCCTGCCCTCGGTGCCCGAGTCGGTGCCGCACTGCCCGGGCCGGCCTGGTCAAGAATAAAGGCGCCCTCAGTCCTCACGTCCAGCGGGACGCGACGCGGCGCGAAACGAGCTCCAAATACAAAGAGCACCGCGGGCCGGAGCGGCCGGCGCCAGCGCCAAGGGGGTCATGTGTCCACTAGAGTCCACCTGCCAAAGGAACTTGCAAAAAAAAGAAGATATTTTTTTCCCTTTTGAAGCGAGACTTGCGCAAGTCACATGATCGTAACGTGACTGCGGGATTTTCTTTTCTCCCGGTGGCATCCCTGGCGATAACGTCAGCAGTTAGGCCCCTTGTTCCTCACACCACGCCACGTGTGTGCACGTGCACCCACCGCGACCGCCCACACGCCAACAACAACAACAACAACGCGCCAATGGTGTGCCCTAATTGCCAGACACACGCTCCCCGCGCCAAAGTCTTGTCTTCTCGGCCGCCAAAAACGCAATCGCTTTCTTTCCACTCTCCCTGCTGGCTGTGCTGGCTTTGCTGGCTGTTGCTCCCTCTCCGTTTTTCCGTCTCACTCGACCCCACGAGGTGGTTGGGTCGCTTCGTCGATTCCCCCTCTCTCTCCCTCCTTCACCGATGCCGCCCCGACCTCGTGGCCGGCGTCCCTGCCCAAGCGACAAGGATTCAGGTTGGGGGTCCAGTCGAAAGTGAAGCCATGCTCACTTACCGACACAAACACCAAACCGCGTTCGCAAAAAGAAGGAAAAAAGATTTTGCGTTGCAAAGTTGAAAGAAAGCAAAAGTTATTTTGTTTCAATAAAGAAAAATTGCGTTAAAAAACATGTAGTCCTAATCCGAATATTTGCATGTCTGTACTGTAGTTGTCATCCATATATCCCTTGCATTTTAGCCCTCACCCTCTACTCTAACCTGAACCAACACAAAAGGGCTCCTAACCTAACCTAACCTAACCTCACCCTGCCTCGACTCGCAGTGTGCCCTCGGTGCGGGGCGGCCGACTCCCTTAGAAGGGCCGTGTGTGCGTGTATGGGCGTCCGGGCCCTCCGTCTCGCAGGGGCGCACTGCGTACGCATTCGCGGAAAGCCAAACAGGAGAGAGTGTCCGCGGCAGACGTCGTGCCAGACGCCGTGCCAGACGTCGTGCCGCACGGCACTGCAGCTGACACGGCCCGGCAGCCCCGACGGCCCCGGCAGGTGCGCAGCGCAGCTGCACAGGTGGGTCCGTCTGGAGTCCGGCCTGCCGGCCTGTCGCATGCAGCTCCACCATAAAGCACGCACCGCCGGCAGCGCGCACCGCGCCTGCGTCAGTCCGCCTTTCCCCCGACGCCGGCAGTCCGGCGGCGTCTTTCCCCGCCCAAAACAGCGCCTGTCTCTCTCGCTCTCGTGGCGCGCGGGGCGCGGCCGGGGCAGCGCGTCGACCTTCAAAGGTGGCGGACCGAACCCCCAGACAGCGCCAGGGGCCGGGTCCAGCGAACGGTGGCGGAGGCCCCGGAGGCCCCGCGGAGGGCAGCAGACAAACAAGCGAGCCACTCCGAAGGCGCGAGAAAGAAAGTGATCTGTTTGTCTTGAGGATGCCATCACCGGTAGCAGTTTCGCTGACCGCGCCCTTTGGCAGAGGTACCCGTTTTGTCAACGAAATTCCCAGTGCAGTCGGGAATTCCACTCCACCGCCTTGCCTACGCGTGTGCGCGTCCCGCCACCGCCCTCTCGAAAGGCACCGAAGGCGAGGACCCGGAACGGGACCAGTGTGGAAGGCGGTGGAAGGCGTGACGGGGCGCGATATTTGCATAGCGGTATACGGTCTGTGCAGGCAGTGGGCAACAGGCCCGGCCTGCGTTCTAGCCACTCCCTCCAGGACCTCCAGGACGACGGCAGTGCGGGCCAGTGGGGCCAGTCCGCCCGGAGGCAGGCAGCCCATTCGACGCGGAGCCGACGCCGAAAAGAGACCGGAACGGCGCACATAGTGGGCCAGAAGACCGTTGGGGTGGAGGCGGCCAAAATTCTAGACGCGTTTTGATCTTCAGTGTCGCTAAACGGGACTCGAACCGAACGTGTGACCCCACCAATGGATTCCTCGTTCGCAGAGCATTCCATTGGTGGGGACACACGTTCGGTTCGAGTCATTTTTAACGCGTTTAGAGTTTTGACCGCCTCCACCGGTCTCCTGGCCCACTGTCCGCCGCTCTGAACCCTCGCGCGCCCGAAGGTAGGCCACCCAACGGCCGTGCGAGAGGCCGAGAGGCTGTGCACGCTACGCGCCGCTACGCCGGACGTCGGGCCACCCTTCGTGCGCCGAGTGAGCATCCATCCCGAAGCAGGCTGCAAGCAGCGAGCTCGTCTTCCCTCAAGGTCGTCTAGCATCGCCTTACTGGGTCACAGTCAAGGTCACTCAGCGGGGCAAGGCAAGGGCAAGGCAAGAGCAGGCAGGGCGGCGATCCCTCTGGGAACTGGAGCACCGGCCCGACCGGCGCCTCGGGAATCGGGATGGATGCTCCATGTGAGTTAATGGCGATCTCACAAAGAAGCTCCTTTCTGGGAGCCCCGAATCATCAGACCGCCCTCATAAGGACTCCCACGTCTTCGAGCTGGCCCCGAAAAATGAAGAAACTGCGGCGCCAGTAATCGAACCACCGACTTTCCACGCCGGGAGCAGAGGGGATAACCCCGGACCTACGCCGCGCGGTGACGAGTTTTGTTCATTTTGTTGGGCTGTGGCCGGAACGCATGTCCTGCTGATCCGGCAGGCACGACATTTCGGGCGGGATTCCTCGGAGGATCCGCTTTCCCGAGGCGAGGCAAGGACGACGGGAAGGACCCGCAGCAGGAGGTGCCTTCGATCCGTCAGCACACTGTCGGGGAAAGCACGGCCTTGCAGTGGCCACTGATTAGCACAGTAAGGACACACCGGTTCATGCTTCCCCTCCCCTTGTGCCCACGCACCTCGTCGGCCAGCGAGAAGTGGACACGATGAAAACGAAAGCAGAAAGCGGACCGGCCGGCCCAGCCCTTACCGCCTTGCCTTTTTGGGTTGGCGGCCAACAGGCGAACAACGCCCTGCTGCCGCCGGTGGAGGTGGCCGCGGTGGCGCACAGTGGGCCAGAAGAACGGTGGAGGCGGACAAAGCTCTAGACGCCTTTTGAGCTCCGGAGTCACTAGTTGGGACTCGAACCGAGTGTGTGACCCCACCAATGGATTCCTCGTCCGGAGAGCAATCCATTGGTGGGGTCACACGGTCGGTTCGAGTCCCATTCACGACTCTGGAGCTCAAAACGCGTCTGGAGTTTTGGCCGCCTGCACCGGTCTTCTGGCCCACTGTGGGGCGGTGGCAGTCGTGTTGCAGGGAGGCGGGGAGGTGCGTGCGGTTGCAATCCACGCCTGCTTTGCGCAATTACCGCTCGCTCCCCGCCAAGAAGAAGAAGGAGAAGAGGTAGAAGAAGGGGAACAAGAGGGAAAGAACTTGCCCCCTCGGCGCGCTCGGTCGGACTTCCCTGCTTTCTTTGCTGTCCACCCACAACTCGTCCCGTGCGGCCTGGCTGGGTCTGGCTGGGCCTGGCCGCCGTCTCCTGGTGTGTGAGTGTGTGTGTTGGTGTGTGTTTGCGAGCGCGCAGTGTGCGAGTGTGTGTGTGAGTTGGACGACTGCAGGCCGAGCCGGGCCGAGCCCTGCGAGCCTTGCCGGGCTCGGGCGTTTAAGTCCCCGGTCAGCCACAGTGGAGGCTGCGGGCAGTAAAGCCTGTATAGAGACAGACAGAGACGAGTGAGGGAGAAAGAAGCGAGCTAGAGAAAGAGAAAGAGAGAGACAGGGGAATGTGAGCGGTGCGGGCGGGCGGCAGCATACAGGACTAGTTTATGTCCTGCAGGTGGGACTGCAGCAGAGGCGAGCATAGAGGTCTGAATAGAACGAAATGGAATAAGTTCCACGTTTTACAACCGTGAAACACGAAAGGCCCAACAGGAAACGGTCAACAATGGCTTTATTAAACCTAATACTTATCATAATGACTCAAAATAAGTTGGATGTCTCATGGTAGTTACAATGATACGTACAAAAGGCACATTCACGCAAATAAATACACGCTCACTCGTTCTCGCAGAACATAAATTAGAATATAAATAAATCCGAGATTGCTCGGAGCGGCAGCCACCACACCCACACAAAAAGAGTGTCGCTCCTCCTAGAAAGTCTGCGACGGGTTTCGCAGTGCATCCACTTGGCGCCTCTCGCGTGTACTGGGTGTGCTGCCGCTCCAATAAATAGATAGATAGATAAATAACTTACTGCAAGGCGGTGACATGCCCATGGCGCGCCGTGGCGCCGAGAAGGCGGTGGGCAGCCACTGCAGCCACTAGGCAACCATCGCCCGAACGACTAGTAATTTCATGTTGAGAAAGGCGGTGCGCTGGGCCCCGCCGTCGGCCCCGCTCAACAAAGGGCCTGGCTCTCGTCGCTCCGTGCCCCTCGCACCTACCGCACTCCCCAGCAGGTGCGAGAGAGACGGAGCGAATCAGCCCGCGGGCGGCCGTGGTGACCATGGTAACCAATCTCTCCCTCGCTTCCGCGAGAGTGCGTGTCCTGCAGCTTACTGCCCCCTTTCTCCGCCCCGAAGGGCCGAAGGGCCGAAGGACGCCGTCATCGCGTTGGGGCGACGGACGCGTGTCCTCCAGGGCCGAATGACACTTCGTGGTTCTCCGACGGGTCGGCCCGAATGCTCCGTGGATGGCGGCACCGTTCGACCACCTTGGTCACGGCGCTGGCGGTGGGGAAGGCCCATGGTGACGGCATCACCATGGCGACGAGCTCCGCGTCGTCGGCGGCCCGGAAGGCCCGGGAGCGCCTCACCGGCTGTAGCTGCCAGTGTAGTAGGCGGGCTCCATGCTGGGGCCCTGCGGCGCGTCCCACCTTTGCGGCGCGCTCGGCGAGGAGGCCAAGAGCCCCGCGTAGCCGGTGCGTCGGTGGTGGTAGTAGGCCGGGCCCTCCGACTCGTAGTACCCCTCGTCAGACGGCGGCGGGCCCTGCCGGACAAAACAAACAAAAAAAAACAATCATTTTCCCTGCGTCGTCACACCACCGTACACCCGTACCAGTTCCGTTTTGCACCCACCGACCTGGTGAGAGTCGTCTCAAAATACACGCACACAAAGACACACACTTTCTTATTCGAAGGCGGGGCCGTCCGGGCCGGGTCGGGTAGCCAATGCGTGCCCGAAGTACTTTCCGACGCGTGACCTTTCGGCCATCACGCGTGTCGTGACGCCGTGACGTGTTGATGGATAGCGCGTGCGTGTGAGTGCGTGTGTGTGCGTGCTGGCCCGCCAGAGGCGCCACCATTTTCGACGTGTCCATCATTTCCATATTTCGATCGTGCCATCGGTACAGTCGAGCAAGAAACTCGCCGTCTGCATGCGGAAGCGGGTAGTAGACGAAAAAATTGGTCTGGTGCTCACCGAGTGGTAGGATGACGGGTACACGGTGTGGTAGCCGCCGTCGTGGTGGCCTCCGTGGCCTCCGTAGCGGTGCCAGCCTCCGTACGCCTGCGGGGAAGGACAGTCAAAGACAGTGGGTTAGCAGAGGTACACACCATACCTAGTCAATGGCGCATAAAAATAATTTTAAATTTTTAAATTTTAAATTAAATGAGTTGAAAATTGGTTTTAAAAAATTAAAATTTTGTGGCAGGGTTGGCAGCTGGCTGTTGGCACTGTCCAGGCCTGTCTGCTCGCTGCTGGGGGCATGGGCAGGCCCAGGCGGGCAGAGGGAGAGTGCCCACGGCGTGCTCTGGCGGCCGTGCACCGTATGATAAAGTCTGTTGGCAGGCTGCGGCAGTTCCAGCAGGCTCCAGTGGACACCGCACGGCCCACACGCCTCCAGCAGAACAGGCGCCTCGCGACACCGACGCCGCGCATGCGCCCTATATATTTCCGGTGAAACCGAAGGGCCCGCGTTGCATTCCGGGCTCTTGCCGTCTCTCTCCCACCCGTGCGGGCCGCGCCGCGAGTGCGAGAGAGACGGCCACACCGCTGTATTCCGAGTTATCGCACTTTCCCGCGGTGACGAACGCGCGCCTATCGGTGTGCATTGCAGTGCCTTGGCGTTGCGTCAGCCGGCGTCTCTCGACTGTCTCTCTCGCACTCCTGCGGGACGCCTCCGAGTGCGAGAGAGACAGCTGTGTGGTGGAGCGCCTGATGAACGAAGGGTAGGCCAGCCCGCACGACACCGCTGCGCGGTAGGGCGATGGGTTGCCTACCCCGCAGGCGCTCAGCGGCAGGCTGGGCACGCACAGGCGGCAAAAACTCTAGACGCGTTTTGAGCTCCAGAGTCGCTAAATGGGCCTCAAACCGAACGTAAGACCCCCACCAATGGATTGCTCTCCGAACGAGGAGTCCATTGGTGGGGTCACACGTTCGGTTCGAGTCCCATTTAGCGACTCTGGAGCTCAGAACGCGTCTAGAGTTTTGGCGGCCTCCACCGGTCTTCTGGCCCGCTGTGCAAAGTATGTCCCTGGCTGTGAGGTTGGTCTAGGCTGCTCACCTGCTTGTGGGGGTCGGCGTGGACGTGGACGTGCACCTCCTTGTGGTGGGGCGGCGCGTAGTGCGCGTAGTGCACGTAGGGCTGGTGGCTGAGGCCGCCGAGCTTGTGCTTGGCGAAGCTGGTGACGGCCAGCACGAACAGGATGCTCACCATGAACATGGTCTTGAGCGCGAGGAAGACGAGCACCCCCAGCAGCGTGGTGCCCACGCCCATCTTGTACATGATGGGCAGCAGGGCCATGGTGAGGCGCCGGCGCGCGCCGATGGCCGCCAGCCCCCAGGTGCGGCCGTCTGCAAGGGAAGTGAGAGATTAGGAACAAAACAAACATGTCGGGGACGTAGTCATTTAGACTACAGCCGGCCGCGCGTTTTGCATGCGGGCCTTTGTTCCAAAAGGGGAATCTGGTCGACATCTAGGGACCACCTGGCTGGGGCCGCATCTGGGGGTCATCTAGCCGTCCGAGCGGGGCTAGCGGGGCCACGGCCATCGCCATGCCGACAGCGTGGGGCCCACGGCGCGGATCAAGTCGACACCTTCGCCACCCGCAGCCTCGCATCGACTCATCGGTCCCCCCACCGAGAGCTCGATCACGGCCTCGAAGGGACGCGTGCCTCGCGTCAACGGTTCACACCTTTCCCGCGACTCGATCGCCTGTCTCCGTCTCACTTTCCCCGGCGTGTTTGCTGTGTATCGCTGTCCTGCTTCCTCCACGCGGCCCTCCCTGCCCACGCTCCGAAATGCCTCGCTACTTATCGTTTTCGTTGCAAACACGCGCACACGCACACAGACACACTCAGACGGACACGCACATGCACATTGTTTGAGGCAGGTCGGCCCGGAAAGCTCGCCTCCCCATTTCGGCGGGGAGAAGGTCCCGCCAAAGGAAAGGGAGTGCGCCGAAAAACCGGGTTGCCTCCCCTCCCCTCCCCCCTCCCCTCCCCTCCCCTCCCCCTCTCCGCCCGCCATTCCTCCGCGGGAGCTTAGGTAGGTGTTTTTGGGGTCAGCGTCGTTGGCACGGTCGGCGCGGCAGGCAAAGGCAGGCTACGGTGCCGCCCTCTGCCGCCCATCGTGATACGATATGGTCACCGCCGGCACGGGTTCGATACAGCAAAAACTTCCAAAAAAAATTAAAGCTAATTGTGAAAATATTTCCTCCGGACATTGTACGCATTGAACACGGGAGAGAAACGGGGAGGTCCTCGCCACCGCGACCGCCACTCACGGAAAGTCCGAGGGTTCAAACACCCGCCACTTTCCGCTATTGCCGCCTCGTTTTCCACCTTGACCTTCTGCGGGCTCCGCACGCTGCCGGGCTTTGCAATGCTTTGCAGTGCTTTGCAGCAGGACCGCCGGCCCCAACGCCTAAATGCCGCACCGAAACACGCACGCGTGTGTGTGAGAGTGGGCGACCGTGTGCGTGTGAGTGAGCACGCTGTCTGGGCGCCACTTTGCACCGCTTTGCACTCCAAGCGACGAGTAATGTCTCCATCCCTATTGGCTGTCCGTCCTGCCCGTTCCAAAGCAGCCGGTAGTGCCTATCCCATTAGACACTCTCTTTTCGCGCCGGAACCTCGGACAGGGTGACAAACGTGTCTGACTGACTGACACGCCGCAGCCAATGGGGACGCGCCATTTTTGGCGGGAATTATGCGGCTCAACTGAACCTCCCTTTCTCTGCCTAATAGGCGCGGCGCTGCCCCGCTGTGCCGGAGTACCGCGAGCAAACACTTCGATAAATCGATCGATGAATCGCTCGATAGGTCGAACGGAACGGCGTGACTCGGAAGATGGCCGATCAGGCTCCCGCGGCGCCCTGGCGCGCGAGGTTCGAGAGGTTCGAGAACAAAGACAGGGTTGGACAGGGTCGCTCTGTCTCTCTCGCACCCGACGGGCCGCTTCATGAGTGCGAGAGAGACAGAGCTATACTCTTTTCGGGATCGGCCCGCTGGCTGGTGGTCCACTGGGCCACTAATGAAAGCAAGAGTCTCACGATTCAGATTTGACTCAGTCCGGCGCCACTGGAAGTAAACAAGCGTCTGTCTCTCCGTCTCTCTCGCACTCCCGGGGCGGTCCGAAGGGGTGCGAGAGAGACGGAGAGACAGCACGCGCCGCCAACAATGCCGTCCCTTCACTTCGATAGGGATCCAGGACCGCGCAGGACCACACTCCAAAAGAGGCCCGCCTCTCTCTCGCACTCACGGGGCGTTCCGTGGGAGTGCGAGGGAGACGGAGCGACAAAGCGATGTTCGCTGTGGGTCCTCCCGTTTCCTGTTGGGCGGAATAAATTGCCGAAGCGACTTCCTTCGCTCCGCTCCGTTTCGGCGGCAGTTTGCGGCTGTTGCCATGACAACCCCGACATCGTCATTTCCGACACGCTTTATTTCGAACCGAAAAACGTGCCGAAGACTGTAACAGGGTTGTCCTCACGCGAGTTCTCAAACGAGCCTCTCAACACCATTTAAATGACCACCTTGGGCACCACAAAAAAAGTCGCCGTAACGGTATTTGAACCCGCGCCCAAACTTGTCCGCTGTTGATTCAGTGGTCACGGCGCTGCGGTGCCAGCGTGCTAGTAATGGGCCAGCGACCCGTCAGAACGTCAGACTGGGCGCGAGCCTCTGAAAAACGGAGCCGCCACTCGGAATCGAACCCGCAACCTCGCCGTGGTCCGCGCGCTACCGGTTGTTGTCGCCCTGCCTCTCTCGCACTCATGGGTCGTCCCGTTGGGGCGCGAGAGAGACATCAGTCTGCTGAGGGCAGAAGTGAGAGGAGCGGGGAAACACTGCAGAATTGGCGGGGCTGGCGGGTGACGCTTTGTCGTTGTCGCCCTGCACCTGTTGCGCACTTTCTACGCTTTTAGCTTGTCCCGCTCGCCGGTCTTAATTTTCGGTTGGTCATCTAGCGTGAAATCCTGTAAACCCCAAGGTCCCGAGTTCAAAACCGCGCTTTAAAAAATGTACCCGCTTTTCCCCTCTGACTGTTTCTCTGGGCCTGGCCACCTAGGGCGCCTGGTAATTAGTATTTCGAGGTTGCGCACCAGTCATGGATCCGAATTGCCAATCTGAACAGCAATCTGAATCTGAATGATTGCCCGCGCTGCTTAGGCTATTTCATGTTCCGTCCGGCAGGCAGTGGTGTGCTTTCTCCTATTCGGGTGGCGCTGGCCCGACAGTGCTGGCTGGGGGACCCCCGGGCAGAAGGCTTGTCATTATCCCTATTGCAATTATCCTAATTGCAATTATCCAGTGTATCTACCGCGGGTCCCTCGAGTGCGAATGTGTCGGAGCCTCGCGGAAGTATGACGCCGGACGCATCCTGGTAGCTCCTTGTCCGTCTCCCGTGCGTGATACCATACTCATCCTACACAGTAAAAAAACAAAAGTTTTCAATGTTAGAAAAAAATGTTTTGATTTGTTTTTGGCCCGCTTCCACCCTCATTGAGGCCGGCGGGCGCTCCGCGCTGCGTAAAGTGATGGAGTGCGGAGACAAAGGGATGGCTCGGTTTAAAAGTGGCGGGGGAATGCCGCGGAAACAATACAAAGTACCGGACGGGGCGTGGCGGGGGAGGGGGAGGGGGAAGGTGCCAAACGCCCGCAATTTAGGCCCCTCGGTGAGAGTGAGTGAGACGCAGTGCGAGGATTCTGTGTTTGTATCTTTCGCCGGCTTTCTGGGACAACTTGAGTATTAAACTTCAAGCAAAATTGGGCAGACCACTGAAAAATTTTAAACATTTTTCTGTTCTATGCGAGGACCCTTCGGTATGAGAACCTCGGCTGATTGAATGCCGAGAATCGATCCGTCCGTTCGTTCCCGGAGCAGCGCCTGCCCGTTCCTCCGGCCCGATCGGTGTAAACAACGAACGACCGATCAACGGTGTGGTAAATAATTAGAACGGGCTTTAAGTGCGGCGATTGGATCGGGAAACAAAGCGGCGACGAGTGGAGCTCTACCGATGGAGTGGAGCAGGGTCGGGCCGAGCCGAGCCGGGCGGCGCGCGTGGAGCCGGCCGCAAGGGAGCAGCCGTCCGGGTCCCGTTGTGGTGTTGGATTAACACCTCCCGTATCACCCACGGGGCCCACGGGCCGCGGGATCACGATCGGGGCGTGAAGAAGACCGCCAAGTGCGCCCACGCAGCGCAGGCCGCTATTTAGCACGCCGTCTGCAATCAGCGCGCCGACGGCGAGGTGACGGCGAGGTGCCCGGCGGCCTGACGGAGTGCACGGAGTGGTGGAAGGTGGAAGGTTACCTGTGCTGGGCGGCACCTCCAGCGCGGCGTCCATGCCCTCGCCGGGGCTGCGGAAGATCTTGAGGTGCAGCATGCCGGGCCACATCTTCCACACCAGCGCGTGGCTCTCGAACACCTTGATGGCGGTGGCCGCCAGGGTGGGCAGCCCCGCCTCGTTGAGGGCGACGTCCATGCGGTGCGCGGGGCCGCCGGCGTCGACGGGGACGACGCGCTCCACCGCCAGCGCGGGGGTCACGTTGTACTGCTCCGAGGCCAGGATGCGGCTCAGGCCGTCGGCCAGGTCGGCGCGCAGGCAGGCCCACGCACCGCGGCAGCCTTCGTCGGGGACGTCGTGGAGGTCGTGGAGGTCGTGGAGGGCGTTGTCCTGGTGCCAGGCCGGGCCGACGGGCAGCGCGCCGTCGGCCGCGCGCACCACCAGCAGCACCGCCACGCACCACAACGCCGAGGCCGCCGCCATCGCACTACTGGCTGGCCGGCATCGGGTCGCCGTCGACGCCCTCGCCGCCGCGTGTCCGCGTGTCACGGGGTCACGCGAGTCACGTCCGCGCCATGGCAGGCCGCCCGGGCCGCGTGCGCGCACGTCCGGGGGTGGCACGCACACACACACTCACACACTTCCAGAGGGTGGCGGCACAGCGACACACACACGCGTACACACACGCACACACACACACACACACGCGCGCAGGAAGTCCAAGACGTGCGCCGCGACGACGCGTGCCGGGGAGTCGCGCGGAGGCACGCGGAGGGCGACCTGGACGTCCAGGCGGAGCTACTGACGCGGACGGAGTGCGGAGCGCGGCCGGCGCGGCCGGGGCGCCGAGGTGGGGCGCGGCGTGGGGCGTTGCGCGGCCCCCGCAGCCCCCTCGGGAGGGAGAGAGAGAGAGAGGTGCAGGCCAAGAGAGATGACGTGAAGGATAGAAGACAGTGTTATGGTAAAAAAGGACCAAAAGACACGAGATGTGATTTTCTCAATAGGTAAATTCATTCATTTTGGTTGAAAAAAATCTTTTGGTTGAAAAATTTCTTGTCAAAAAAGGGACTTGCCTTTTGAAAAAATCTAGATATTTTTAGGGTTGGTATAAGAGGATGATTTGACCACAGGACACTAGATCGGAGGAACAACAAACGTGGACGGGCTGGGCGAGGCAAGGATCGATGAGTGTAGTGCTGAGGGTCCCAGCGGCCCAGCGGGGCGGATTAGATTAACATAAAGCAGCCCGATAGCCGGTTGAAATGTGTAATTCGGGATGCGCGTAAGTACCATCCTCAATGCCTAATTATTTTCCCGCCAGAAGGGACTCATTTTTTCACGTGTTGTCCCACTGCAGCGGTACGTATAAAAATAAAAATAAAAGGAAAACGAGAATAATGAACTTGTCGGAGGATCGCACCTGGGGCCCGGCCGGCCTGGCTCGAACGGAACGGGTCGCTCCGAAAGAAAGCAATAAGAAGCACCGGCCGGCCGCTCGGCTCGTGTCCACTCCACTGCGTGACGCACAGGGTCTTCTTGGCGACGAGCGCGAACGGCCTTTGTTAACGGGATCACCGCTGCAATCTAAAAATAAAAATAATATTAAAAATAATACTTTTGTTGATGAGCGCCCTGTCACCTGCGCCGCCATTCCCTCGGCCTTGCCGCGGGCCCTGCCGAGCTCTGCCCCCGACCGTCCAGCACTTTCTCTGGAAGTGAATAATAGGCCGCCGTCACACATTGGAGTGATCGTGAGTTTCAATATCCGAGCGGGAGCCACTCCCGAGGCATTCTAAAAGCGTCTAATAAATACAAAAACGGACAACAAAAAATTTAAAATAACATCCGGGCTTACACTTTGCTGGGACTAGGCCGGGCACGAGCTCCCCCCCCCCCCTTTTCGATTGATTCTCTCCTCCCGAGGCACTCGGGCGAATTAAGAGACGTGCGTGTGACACTCACGCATCGCCCGTCGCCGTCTCTCTCGCGCCGCCACGGCGCACTGCGGCACGCCCCTCGAGCGCGAGAGAGACGGCGAGTGAGTCACTTGTTGGGCGCCGCGGGCAGGCAGGCAGGCAGGCTCCCGTCCGGAGGTGTCGCTAGTATTATACAGTGGCGGCGACGCGGCCCGTCAAGAGTGATCGGACCACCGCCGCCTTGATGTACAGCCAGAGCCAAAACAGCGAGCCAATCTAGAAAGTCCGCTGCGGAATCTGATCAGTCACTACCGTGGTTCGCTGTTTCTTTATTATAATATTTTTTAAAGTTCTTTCTTTTCTTCTAAAAAAAATTATTTTAGTCTTTAAATTTTTTTGGCAGTCCTTGTGTACCGCGTGGCTTACGGTGTTTGCACTCTATTTGGCCGAGCCACCCGACGGAGCCTCCTATTTGCACAAACACACCCAACTCGCTGCGACTAGACCCGAAAAAAAAATAAGAAGCTTGAAAAACAACGGCACAAACGTGTTCCCCGCCTCGGCGCCACAGTGGCCACAGTCAAGCAGCCGAGTAATCCGTCTTGCTTTGCTCACCTCGGCCGGCCCGGTCGGCCCTTCGTGAGACATTAGCCGGTGTCGGCGGCCCGATTATTTAGCCGGCCCTCTGTCCGCGACGCCTCCTCGTCAGCCTCCCCTTATTATTCCAGCAGGGAGCGCGTTCGAATCCCACCGCCGGCCGCTTTTTTTTTCGGCGGGGCAGAAAGGGCGGGCTTTTCGAACGCAGCCGCTGGTCGGAACCGGAACCACATCGTCCGTCTCGACGCGCGGCTTTGGCTCGACGGCGTGCTCTCGTACGCCCACTCAGTCTCGGTAGTTCCGAAACCAGCCGCCGGCAGGGCAGCAGCAGCAGCGGCCGAGAGAGGGCGGCGAAGACGTCGTGACAGTTGGGTTGCCTGCTTGCCCGGCGCCCGCCGCCAGGGTCATGGGCGTTGGGTTGCTTAGCTTCGCGGCGCAGCTACCGCGTCAGTTCCCCGACTTGCCGCTGGGAGCAGCACTCGATCTTGACACGGAGGGGGAAGGCGGGGGTGGCGGAAGACTCTGTCCGAACGGACCCTCGCACCTATATCTTCCAAAAAGCAGTGTCGTTGAATCATCTCAACGACCTCCAGGTGGGCTCCAGGCCCTACTTAGTACCACGTACAGTCGCGCGAAAGCAAATTTGAATATTTATGGAGCGTGTGCCCTGTGGCCTGTGGCAGCCCGAGGAGGCCGGACCGCAAACCGACCGAGCAGTCCTTCTCTCCCACCCATGGCATGTTATTGGCACGATTTCCATGTCGTGGCTAACTGTGAATAAGCGAGGGGAGGGGGAGGGGGCGTCAGGCCACAGCAGCATCACTGGCCACAACAAAAGTGGAGCAGAGCCATCCGAAGAGATGGGCGATTCCAAACCAGCAGGGATCTTTTTTTATTTTTTCAAAAATTTCAGTCGTTCAAAATATTTTTTTTTCTTCTGGTATACTATCTAACTGCAACTTGGACGCAAAAAAACTTAACTCAATTCGTCTGCAACTAGAGGCAAGGAGTTAGCGGAAAATGCTCAGGCTCAGGTTTGCCTCCACCAGAGCGTCGTCGTCGTCGCCCCAGACCCCAGACGGCCGGTCCCGTCATCAATCTTTGTGTGTCACTCGGTCAAGGTCAAGGTCGATGTCACCGTCGCCGGCGGGCCGGCCGGGCCGTCGGGACGCCGCCCCCCTGGCACCCCCCCGCCAGACGCCACAACAACACGGCACAACACGGCCGGCCGGGAGATAAGGGGAAAAGGGTCGGTCCGGGAATGAGGTAACGGCATTCCGTCCATCCGGCCCTGCTAACCCTGTCATCCTTCGACAAGGCTGCCCTGCCGCCCTTCCAGACCGCGGCGCCGACATGCGGTCCTTCCAAGCTGACTCCGGACGGCGCTTTCGTCGCTCTGTCTCTCTCGCACTGGTCGGGCGTTCTGCAGGGGTGCGAGAGAGACAACCGATGCGGCCGATGGTCGCTCGCTGGACCTGTACCGAAGACCGAAGACCTGGAAGTACCGCTGGTCCGCTGGCTGTGCTGTGGCTGTGCCGGCCTGCCTGCTTCGGCGGCTTTGGCCGTGTCCAGTGCCGGGTACCCGGGACGAAGCTGGACGAAGCACGCGGCGCCGCAGCGTTGCCAGACCACGCCAAGATCCCCGCGCCGTTTCGAATTTGAATCTGGCGCCGTAAACGGAAGCCGAGTCGGAATTCCTGGTTCGGGGAAAGCGCTTTCTCGAACACCTGCCACAACGGCCGCCGCGGTCGCGCCGCCTCATGGCTGCCTCATGGCTGCCTCCGCCTCCACCAGCCCCGCCACCTGCACGACGCGGGTCAATAGCGGTATGCGCGTACCGCGTCTCGGCGGCGCTTCGGGTCCTTCGGGTCCTTCGGGTGCTTCGGGTGCGCCGCCGCCGTCCGTCGTCGGGGCCTCGACGCGAAACAAGGTCACGGTCGTCGTGTTGGTCAGCGGCGCCTCGCCCCGCCCCGCCCCGCCGATCCTACCGCTACGCCGCCACGCAGATGCATACCATGCAGCGGGCCGAGGACTGAAGGCTGAAGCGAGGATTCGACGGGATTCCGGGTCGGTGCCCGGCCGCCGCCAGGTTGTAAACACGGAAAGTGAGCCACGGGCTTCCGTCAGTTTAAATACCCCGTCCCCCTCCCCCCGGCGCACAAAAGACACCACCGTTTTCGTTTCCCCCGTGGTGAACGCGACGCCAGGGCATGCTCCGCCATGCGCAGGTCACCATGATTGCAGTGTTTATGGCGGCCCGGTTCTCATGCCATTTCGTCAACGCGGACCCTGCGTCCACCCTGCGTCCACCCTGCGTCCACCCTGCGTCGCCGTCCGCCCCGTCGACCGCCACGGCAGCGAGTGAGTGAGTGCGAGGGGGAGAGAAACTGAACCTGTAGCGCTGTAACGGGCGTCCGGGCGTCGAGGACCTGCTGGAGGGGGTAGCGCCGCCGCGGCCGCCACGGCTCCAGAGGCACGGCCTCCACCGGGTCCGAGGGCCGCCGCGGCAGCCCGGCGCGCCAGTGCCTCGCACGTCCCCGACCACGTCCGCCACGATGGCGTCCTCCGCGCTCGTCCTCGTCATCGCCGTCCTCGCGGCCGCGACCGCGGCGCCGACCGCCCCCGCGCCGTCGCCGGCCTCCCAGGCCGCCGAGGACGACCCGCTGCAGAAGCTGGCGCCCGCCGTGCTCAAGGTGGCGCGCGAGTGCCTCAGCAAGGAGTACAACGCGCTGGCCTGCTGGAAGCTGTTCCTGGTGCGGCGCGCCGACGGCTTCATCGGCGACGTGCGCACGTCCGAGGTGAAGCACCAGGGCGGCGCCGCGTCGTTCGAGCTGCTGCCGGGCTTCGTGGCGCTGGAGAAGGACGCGCGCCGCCAGGACAACGAGGTGCTTGACGACCTGGAGGACGTCGGCGGCATGGAGGCCAAGGACGACGTGCAGGGCCAGGACCTCGCCGAGGACCTCGCCGAGGACAACGACCTGCAGGACCCCGGCAGGGACCAGGAGTCGCTGGACCGCGCCCTCATCGCGCGGACCAACAAGCTCTTCTCCGGGAGGCACGTGTCCGTCAGGGTGCTGCCCGGCGTCGCCCTCAAGGTGTCCCCCCGCATGGGCAAGGACCAGAGCTCCCTGGACGCCGACCTGTCCGTCGAGGTGGGGCCAGGTGAGTCGCCCGCCTGCCACGCCTGCCACTGGATGGCGTGGATCCACTCTGCTAACAGGAAATTATTCTCCTTCATGAAGGCTTTTCATGAAGGCCTTCGCCTCCTTGGCCCTACTCAAGGGTCACCACGTTATCCTTCGCGTCCTCTTCAAAGAGGATGATAAACTTGCACTGTCTAACCAAAATAAGTTTCTTTCAAGGCGAGCCGGCCGATCGGTCAGCTGCGGTCTTTCCGCTGCGTTCGTCGTTCGTCGGCACTTGGTCGGCGCTACACCGTTAGGGCGGCGGGCCCGGCAGGCGAGGCAGCCCCGGCAGGGGGTCAACTAACTGATTCGCTTCCGCCGCCAGCCGCATGTTTTTTAACCCAATCGACGATGGCAGCGCTTTGCCCCGATCAGCATTGCCCCATTTTTACGCCCATTTCATTGCCCGTCTGCCAGCCGGTCTGTCTGTCTGTCTGTCTCTCTGTCTGTCTGTCTGTCTGTCTGTCTGTCTGTCTGTCTGTCTGTCTGTCCGTCCGTCCGTCCGTCCGTCCGTCCGTCCGTCCGTCCGTCTAAGCGGTGTGGCATTCTAGGATTACGGCCGGACGGATCGCAGCGTTTCTCTCCACCACTGTCATGTCACACGTGTGCAGTCGTGGACAGTTGTAGAGAGAGAGAAAGAGAGAGAGAGGGCCATAAGCTCCAGCAGCTCCAGGATCGGGCGGGGCGGGGCGAGGCGCGGGTGCAGGTTCCACATTCTTGCGCTCCGTTACAGGCAGTAGCGGAATGGAAAAGGCTGTTACTGGTTCCTCCTGGAATCCAGACTCAACTACCTTTCTTTTCACGGCTGCTACAATTTTCCGAAGTGTCGTTCATCCCCCCGTCCCCTCCCCTCCCTCAATCGTGTACGTCATTTTTCTTTCCTGCGTGTGCATTGACTCGCTGACTTAACTGCACCGCGTTGCGTCAGCCAATCGGAGCTGCTCCACGCGCATCCGCTGGCGTCAACTCACGTCAGAAGCGCCCCGCCCCGCCCCACCGCGCCCCGCCCCGCGCCACACCCCTCCTACAGGGGCAGGTGAAAGTTCGAGTCGCACCAATGTGGCTGCGCGGGCTGCGCCATGGCTGCAGGATGTCCGGCTAGGGCTCCGGTCCCGGGCGGTCCCGGGCGGTCCCCGGCGACGTCATGCAGGCCGGCGTGCAGGCCGGCCGGCCCGTGTCCACGGACTCCGCGATAAGAGGCTGAGCGCGAAACCGGAGAAATCAAGTTTACGAGCGACGGGGGTTGAGGACCGTGGCTGGCACACTGGGCGGTCCGGCGCACGGCCGCGCAGTACGTGAGGGTCAGGGGGAGATCGCGGCAGGGGCGGGCAGGGGCTCTCGGCCGCGGCCCGCGTTCAGGTCTCCGACGGCCGGCGTGACAACGCATCGTGACGCCAGGGGCCAGGGGTGGCAGCGCGAGCGCACGTGAGGGAGGCTCGACGTGAAACTCAAGGCAACTTGACAATCACGTCACCAGTAGAGTCTGTTCCCGGAATTTACTTTTCGCGCTGAGTGGGTAGTGTACCCGAGGGTCGCCCCGCTCGACCCGTGTTCACAGTGGCCTGTGTGTTGGTCGCCGCGTCGCCGCCCGAGTAGCCTAGTGCCCTGGAAATGCTGGAATTCTGGGGCCGTCGGTCCGCCTGCGCGGCCTGCGCTGCGGTCGCACGCCTTTATACGCAGCGCCACCCGGCTGGCGTGTGTGCTTCCACGATTAGCATACACAGTCTGTCTGACGGGGGCAAGCGGACGGACAGGCAGGCAGACAGACAGGCAGGTGACCCACAGAACGATGCCCGCTCTGTTTGTCGCCACGGCCCCGTGTACCCCGTGTGCCCCCGTCTTCCAGAGTCGTTTTCGTCGCTCCGTCTCTCTCGCACTCACGGGGCGTCGCGCACAGGAGCGAGAGGGACCTCTCTCGGTCTGCAGAGCGACGCACTTCTTCTTGAGCGCCGGCGCCGCCCAGTCTCGCTTTCCGCGCCCCTGCTCCTCTCTAAATGCGCGAGGCTGCTACGGCCGTCCCTCTCGCACCCGAACGGGGCGCCCGGTGAGTGCGAGAGGGACAGAGCGACGCGTAGTCGGCCGAGTGCGCTTGCAAGTACACGCACCGAGCGCCTTCCTAATGCGCCGGGCAGCGAGCCGTGGACGCGTGGCGTGGACGCATGGCAAGAGTGGGGGCAAGTTAAAAGGAAGCGATGGCCGCGCGATAGGGAAGAAGAAAGCACTATCAGCGGGGCGAAAACAAAACGACTGCGTGCGTCTGTGTGTGTGTGTGTGTGTGTGAGCTCAAGGGATCGGTGATGGAAAACACTGACGGGCGACGCGGGCGTGCCGGCCGGCGCGTACACACGCCCAGCATGGCCCAGCATCCCGGCATCCTGTTACTGCTAACGGTTACCCTGCCGTTTCCTCCGAACCCCGCCGGTCCAGCGCGTTCCAGCGCGTTCCAGCGCGTCCACTCCACCCCTCCCACGGGCGTGGCCGCGGAGTGGCTGGCCGGCGCCGTGACGCCGCCACCGGCCGCCACGCCGAACTGGAACCGGCTGACCGGTCGTTGGGATGCCGACGGGGTGCTTGGCGGCACTAGGCGCTCCACAGTGGGCCAGAAGGCCAGTGGAGGCGGACAAAACTCTAAACGCGTTTTGAGCTCCAGAGTCGCTGAATGGGACTCGAACCGAACGTGTGACCCCACCAATGGATTCCTCGTTCGGAGAGCAACCCATTGGTGGGGTCACACGCTCGGTTCGCGTCCCGTTTAGCGACTCTGGAGCTCAGAACGCGTCTAGAGCTGTGGCCGCCTCCGCCGGTCTCCTGGCCCTCTGTGCGCTGGACTCCCGGCCGCCTGCGAGGCGGGCTGTCCCGCCAAGCAGGGGAGTGCGGCGGGGCGGCCCGCCCTGCTCTTCGCAGGCGCGCTCAAGCCCGCCGGTTCAAGCCCAGCCCTAACCGTTTTTGTTCCTGTTTGTGTTTTTTGTTGGTGACGTTCCTGACGCACTTGGTGATGTTCTGCGCAGGCTTCTCCGTGGGCCGCATGAAGATGAAGAACATGTCCCCCGTGTTCCTGCTGCCGCCCCTCATGTTCATGGGCATGATGCCGTTCATGTTGGCCACCCTCAAGGGCATGGTGGTCAAGGCCATGATGCTGAACCAGGTGGCGTTCATGTCCACGCTGTTCATGACGGTGCGGGACACCGTGTTCGGCCCGCGGCCCATTGTCAAGTACCACAACTACGGCTACAAGCCGCCGCGCCCTCCGGTGCACTACAGGTACGTAGCGGGAAAGTCGCGGATTTCTTGCGTGTTTGAGGGGCGGAAAATGACTGTTTGGTGACGTGCAGGCACCCGGCGCCGCCCCAGCACCACGTCGAGCACGAGCAGCACCACAGCGAGCCGGTGCACTTCGAGCACCACCACGAGGAGCACCACCTGCCCGACCACCGCGTGGAGCACCACGTGGAGCACCACGAGACGCACGGCGCGTCGCCCTTCTTCCACGACGAGGCCAGCAGCGGCAGCGCCGAGGACACCGGCTTCAACGACTACTCGCAGGTAGGCCCGCCAACTTCCGTATTTTTTTCAAAAGCACAGCACAAGAAGCAATTTTTGAACTGTTATTTTTGCGGCATTGGCAGGACCTGTCGTACCAGGGCGCTGACGACCGCCACGACCGGACGAGCCACGGCCACAAGCAGGGCGCGCAGGGCCACCAGGGCGAGGTGCTCGACGACGAGGACGCCGAGGGCGCGCCGCTGCCGCAGGCCTCCGCGTACCGCCGCCAGCCCGTGCGGCCCGCGCAGCAGCAGCAGTACGAGTCCAGGCCCAACCGGCTGCGGTACGCGCGCACCGCGCCCGTCAAACAGAACTGAGACCCGCCCTGCGGCCCTGCGGCCCTGCGGTCCTGCGGTCGCCAAACCGCGCTTCGAAGGAGAAAAGGAAAGGAAAACGAAACCTGGCCGCGTTCGGTTGACTAGGGTGCGAACGTCGGCGGATGACACGGAAGGAGTTTGTGGAGCGCTATCAAGTTTTCTTGCTCACAGCCTGTGATATTTTGGTGTCTGGTGGGATGAAATTTTGTGAAGGGCGTTGCGTTCTTTCAGAGACGTGGCGCCACCATTTTTAGAAATATTTTTTCAGTGTGCTGATAAGAATTTTACTCTGGCGGGACAAAGTTGTAAAAAGTTAGGGGAATGTGATTGTGAGACGCGTTTCATAGTTATCTCTAAAGCGGACTGCTTCGGAGCCGCGAATAACGGAGTGGATACTTAGTCATAATAGCGCTCAAAGAGAGACATGCTTCTCTCCATATCTCATGGTCGTTCAAACATCGTACATTTCATAAGTATTTATTGACTATTTTGTGTTAAATTATTTATAATTTATTTAATTTATTGTGCGTGTCGTGTGTTCCTACGGTGGAGAAGGAGACGGAATTCTTGATCACTTGGTTTGAAAGCCACGAACTACCGTCCACGTGCGCGTGGCTTTCAAACAAGTGCCATGGGAGCTGACACGACACACGCACACGAGTGTGCTAGTGTGAGTGCGTGTCAGTTTTATTTTTTTGACGGTGGCCCTCGAAGTCCAGTAGCAGCTGCATCCCCTGCAGATGGGCATCTGGCAAGTGCAGATGACACAGATGCAGGTGCACTTACTACCCCCTCCCCGGTCGATTTTCTCTTCCGACACGTCGGTGTGCACCCGGCAGGTGTGTGTGTGTGAGTGTCTTGGGAACTGGCTGGTACTGGACAGATCGCTCGCCACAGTGCAGTGGATTCGCTTCGATGGTCACGAGGTTTTCAGTGTAGACTCTGTAAATACGGCGTGAGGTGTGTGGTGTGCGTTTTCCTGACTCATTGTAGAACTATTTATCTGTACATGGCGATCATCGTGTTTTTCTCTATCGACTTTATATTTATGTATTTATATTTTTTATGACTGCCGAGGCGGTTAGTGCTTGAAATAAACAGAAAAACAACAAAAGCCTCCTTATTTTCAGGCATCTCACTTCTGTCGCTCTGTACTGGGTGGTTGTTGGGTGGCATTCCCTTATGGCGTATTTCGGCCTGAGTAGAGAGATTCTAGGGAATGAATAACATGTCAGGTTCTTTACACATATATACTTTATTCGATCGGATTGGTTTCACTTAGCCTGATGGTTTCGGCATTCGGTGCTACAATAAATAACATTTACATTCATAGATTCTAAAAAAAGAAACAATATAGAGGAATTTGAGATAGATATATATGTCAATATGTATATATTTATATTTATATAGAGATATATTTTATGCACTTTGTGTAAATATATAGTCTGGTTAATACACTGAACAAGCTTGGATCTTTACAAGAAAAAGAACAAAAGAAGAAAACAGCAAATGAAACATGGTACTGAAGTATGTACATCACAATGTTGACAAAGATTCACAAGTCAACCAAGTAAATAATGAAACATGAAGGGCCAGATTGTCACAGTTTGATATTCTGAGAGACGAATTACCAGAAAGTGGGACCACAAAGTGCTCCTTACAGTGTAAGGCCTTACAGTACAGTTTAACAGAACCAACAAAAACAGCCCATCCAGAGCATTCAGAAATAAAATTAACCAGAAGGGAGAAAGCTTGTCTTAGAACCATTACTGTAGCTGCGTGATATTGATAATTAAAATACAAACAAGAACATAACATTTCATTACATTTCTTGAGTGTAAAAAACAAAACGAATCAATGAAAACTTGAGCTCTATTTGCTCCACAAATTAAAGCCTACTTCCCAGAAAGAACAGCTACACTTGAAAAAGGGTCAATTGCCTCACTAACTGTCACATTTCTGATGATACAAAGCAGACATGAGTTTTTACAGTGTCCATTCAGAATTCAACTACAGACTGCACATACTTGAAGCATTACAAATTAACAAATCAAAATATTGCAACTGTACACAAGCACTGGTTAAAGCTCATGAACATATAAAGTATTACACTTTAAAAACAGCTACAGAAAAGGTTTGTAAATTAATTACATGGCTTGGAGAGGAGAAATCTACTGAAAATTCTGTTACACTTCCTGCTACATAAAATCTCCAAACACACCAGATTCTCACATTTTAAACAATTTGTAAAAGCAGTTCAGTGACATATGATGTAGGTTTTAGAACTGTGGATGCACCAAGACATTAAAATTGACAAAACGACAAATTAACCAGTCTGTTTGAAAGCCTAAATGCAAAATTGATAAGTGAAAGCAGATTTCTTTTACACAAAGTTGAGATATTGAACATGTGTGTATGACTGTCACAATTGTATTGCATGTTTCGCAAATAAAACTAAGTGCTAATTCACAAATAGTTTGAACATCTATAGAAAATATATTTTGAAAAATAATTATTATTTACTCTTAAAATAGAAATATGATTTTATTGGTGATGTTGAGTACCAGCAAATACCCAATCTCTTTCTAATTTACAGGAACTTACAAATAATATTGAAGCAATGCCATAAATTTATTATCACAATGGCACCAGCTGCCCTCACATGACTCAAACATGATTGCCATAAAGGTAAAGATAACACAATATTTTGTGCACCTTACATGAATAATTGAACAGATAAAATCAAAACTTTTGCCTTTCAAACATTTCAGTACCTTCAGAAAACCCAAAAGAAAATAAGAGAACAAAGACAAACGCACAAAAGAGCAAATAAAATTGGGCATTGGCAACTGATTTATTTTAAGTTTCCTACATCAAATAAGAGGAAAAATTATAATTTTGTATACACAAATAAATTGATGGTGTATCAAATTTGATCATACATGTCTAATGGTTTGTGGCACAAAAGCTTGGTAAAAGAAAATTAATCATCGTGCATGTGCTTCTGGTTGCACTTGCACTATACAAATCACAGATACATCTAACATTCATACCATCCTATATCTCTGGCACATAACAACCAAACCAGACCACAGATGGAAAAACAAAAAAATCACCAACTATAGTCATTGCAAATTCATCAAAAGTATGACCTACCAATACAAGCTCTTTCTACACTACACTGAGTGGTGCATCAGCATCACCAATGAATGTTCTTGCTTCATCTAAACCATAAGCAATTGATACAATTGCACAATCTAACTGAAAGACGAACATGAACAACAATTCACAAATTTTACATTCCTTGAGCAGGAGATGAGGTCCTTATTATCGAGGAGAAAATTTGGGGTTCCCTGGTCCATTGGTGTAGGAACGTAGTTCAAAGCCCGAGTCTATGTTGTTGTTGTTGTGAACAGTTGCAGTGTCCATATCCGATTTACGGAATATGATCATCCTGACATCAGTGTGAAGGTACACTCGTCCTGATTTGGAGCTCGAAAACCTAAACAAAAGTATGTGTCAATAGTTAGAGCAAGTTTAAGGCCTGGAATTGCATTGGATAGTTTCACTTGCAAATAACTGACCTCAAATGTATCAGATACCGCAACCACTTCTGAGTCAAATCACTGTCAGGAAGGTCACCCGTAACTTTAGTACCAACTGGCATGTAAAGTGTGCGCTGACGTAGAAAGGTATGAGAATTTGGCGGCATATCTGCCAGGTCGTACATCACAACAAACATTTTTATGACTGTTCCCATTGGGTTGAATAATGTCACTTGAATAGTGCCGGACCGTGGAACATTGTATCCTTTTTTGCCTAAATTTATATGCCCCTGCAAGAAAAAGAAAGTATAGTATTAGCATATATTTTAAAAAATGTTATTCAGCATGAGCATGACTCAATGGTTCCCAAGATTAAAACTTACCAAGTAGGGAGTTGAGACCTTATCATAATCACCCAAGGTGTAAAAGAAGACAGTAACAGGAATTTTTAAGTGACGTGGACAAAAAGATCCACTTGCACCAATCTCTGCTGTAAATCCTTGCACTGTGCTGACAGGTTCCAGGCGGCCGTTTAAAACAGACTCCTCAAAGCTCCCTGAAAGAAATAGGCTATAATTGTCAAGGAGTCCAGAGTACAGCAAGTTGAGTCACAACCAATGCCTTCTACTTACCAAGTAGTGAGGAGCAAGGGGAAAGAGCATGGCAAGAACTAAGAGAAGGAAATACTATTCCGGCGTCTGGAGAGCACGGAGAACGAGCCCCGCTTTCACTCTCTGTATCATCACTGCTGAGGCTTAGAGAGTCTTCCATCTGAGTCGCAATAGCAGGAGTATCAAAAAGAGCACTGGAAAAGAAAGTAAAGATAGTTACATTCAGAGGAGGCACATGACACATTAAGGACTGAGAGAAATGCATTGAATGTTGACTTCATTACCTTCTTATTGCCGAAACTGAATTCAGAGAGCTGTCATAATCAAAGTGTGATGTACCACGCCGCACAGGAGCTGGGCTTGAGGTCAGCGGAAGCCCTGTTCTTGTATGGAACACCATTGAAGCTGCAGAATCAAACGATCTTCGGAAACGAGCCCTCTCTGAAGCGGAGGGTACATCCTGCCTGCTGACAACATCACTTTGCGACTCTTTCTGCATTTCTTGAGCCAAACATTTAAGTGCTAGCGCAGCACCCAAACAGTCTGCCTTTTTTGAGCGAGCCCGCACAGGACGAGGAGAGACTGTGGCACCAGAAATTTTATAGTTTTCATATAGCATGTTGCTTGATTGGGGTTCATTTCCTTCTTTGGTTTGGCTTGGCTGTGTCTGAGACACACATGAAAGACATGGGCAGGTATCCCCAATATCACATTTAAGAAGGGAGGTATATTTATCACAGATTGCTTGGTTATTGTGGTCTTCACTGAGATCATAGCTTGGTTTACAACCATTCACTCTAAAACTTGATTGACCTTTACTATTCACACTCGATTTTGCAGTGTTGAGGCATTTCAAATCACTATTTTTATCACAATGGCTAGCCCCCTTCCCATCCATTGTTCTCATCAGATCATCTTTTTCCTTCTGGCAGCAGTTGCACTGAGTTTGACAGATGGCATTCCGTTGACAGGCTCTTCCAACAGCACGCAAAACGGCATCCAGAAAGGAGTCAGTCTTAGCAGACTTTATATCAGTGTCAGAAGGCACATTTGGTCGAAGCAATGGGCATGATGCATCACTTGCAACAGAGCTTTCTCCAGTCTCCTTGAGCCTAGAAGCAGACTCCGAAGAATAAAAGACTTGCATTGGATTAAAGTTCGGGCGAATATTTGCCTTATCCCTGCAGAGAAATAGAAAAACTTGGATTAGAGAGGATAGTTATGTCTGGAAGGAAAGAAAGAGTGTGACTGACGAGGACAAACCTTAAAACTGCAAGAACATCTTCTAATTCTTGCTCACTGAGAGGCGGCTGGAGTTGCACGGGAGCAGTGGTGCCTTTCGCAGGACTCAAAGTGAATGAAGCAGCAGCACCACCGGTCAATCCATTTTGGTTGCAGCTCATCCCACTGGTAAAATTGACTGTCAAGTCTTGACTATGGTCTGCTTCCATCCAAGTGGAGCTTTTCCCCTGATATGCTGAACAGGAGGCCTCAGCAGCATCCAAAACTGGGCGACGTCTTTTTAGGCTTCCTGTGTTACTTCCATTGCTTGCAAGACCGTCACTAGTGTATAGATACTCATCAGCCATCACAGACAGACCAGATGACCTCTTCGTTGACTCATTTGCAACACATTCACTTGTGCTACTAACGGTACCAATTGCTGCATCTGAGGCACTCGAAGTGCAAGCCAAGGGATGAGGAGGCATTGAAGCTTGGCTGCGTCTGCGTTGGCGCACTGGCGTGGGAGTTTTAATTTCCTCAATCTCCTCTTCCACCTCACAGCTACAATGGTGCTTGCCCGGCATGTTGCATTCCATCTGCATACGGTCATCCAAAAGGCCTATGCAAAAACAACAATGGTACAGTTACCATTTGATTTCAGAATTGATAAGGGGCATGAAAGCATCAACATGCAAGCTATCTTTGTCTTACCTGAGGGACCACAGGTCTGGCCCTGCTCATTCATCTGCCTCCTATTTTTGGAGGCAGCTGCTCGTGGACACACTTGACCATTAGACTTTGCCACCAAGCAAGGGCGATTGTCTTTCCACCAAGAGACCGCTCTGGACAGACCCAGCGGTGGAGATGGAGGAGTGTCACCTTGGCCTTGCCACCTCGCTGCAGAAACTAAGACAAGACAAAACGATATAGAGCTTTGATATATATGACAGCTCAAGACAAAAATTAGTTGCAACCTACCCTCAGTAAGGCGTCTGAACAGGAAATTATCAGGAGCCTCTGCAGCCCGAGGGGGACTGCGGAATCGTTGAGGCAAATCCAAAAGACTCTCTCCGAGGGAAGGCTCCACTGGGTTTTCATTTTCACTCATAGCGACCACAGAGCTTCCACAAGCTGCCTCCACACTGGAGGGCGCCAGAGGTAAGCAAGGTTTGGCTAAGCAAAGCATCTCGCCAGCCTCAGTTGATGGTTGTAGGCGTCCGTTGTGCAGAAGGCAGTGAAGGACAGGCACTGTTTCCATACGGGGCAGGGAACGAGCACAGACCTACAAAAAATGATAAGTGACGTAAAAAAGTCAAAGTACAACCATAACAAAATTATACATATAGATATATTTTACTGCATACCTTAATAGAACCATTTTTCCCAACAGAAGCTAGAGGAAAAGTATGTTCGTTTGGCGGCTTAGAGAAAGGAAAAGCAAAGGCTTGCCCAGGCACAGTAATCCGGTAGCGCACATTGGTGGGACAAGTGCCTTTGGTACTACTCCACCAAGCCGACAACTGAGAGAAATGGAGCTGTGATCGAACTGCTTGGACAAGGCCTCTTGGAAGCATTGGTGCAGCATCACCAGACCTGGAAAACAAACATTATTAAAAATCAGAAAAATAGTTCTTTGTAGTAAACAAGTTAAAGACTAACTAAAATAACTGAAAAAGTGCTCGATTTGTACCTGTTACTGTATGTTATAGTCCACTGTTCAAGCAAAAGGTCCGAAGCTGATGGAGCATAGCCAACATCTGCAGATTGTGCACGCTGAACTCCACAAGGGCAGTCACAGCATAGAATCACTTCAATGCACATGGGGACATTATTTTGGAACAGCAACTGCATATGCTTTTTGAAGTTTTCAGCACGTTTGCACTGCAAACCAAACCAAAAAGAGTAAGTAAACAAATGAATCAAGCCATTTGGTAGAAGGTAACAGAAAATGTATGGACACTCACCAAAAAGTTCTGCTGTGCATTACAAATATGACGTGAGGTAGCATTGTGAAGACCTTGCGGGGAGCAGTGGGGACCCTCAGTGTAACCACGAGCACTACCGCCACCTGGAACCCGGCCCTCCACAACCAACGTTCCCAACTCTACGAAGACGTCTTGCGGCTCGAAGCCGCCTTCCCCCTCCATCATGGAGTGCATGGTTGCTGAAAATCAAAAACAAAAGCCAACATAAATTAAATGTTCCTGAATGGGAAAACTACAAAGGTATCAACTTGCACAACAATACTCTAAAAAGACGTTTCAGATGATACAATGACCCAGGGAACACTTGTCATCAAATTGGGGTTACTTTGGACAATGAAAAGTTAATCCAAAGAATAACACTTAAGATAAAAATAGAGAGCAAAGCTGAAGAGTAATATAACCAACAAAACCCCAGAACAGAGCCTTTTCCTTTTCAACTCCTCCTATGAGACACTGTTAAGTGTTCCACAAGCTGAGAAGGGAGTAGCCCTTGTTTCATCACACTTGTTTAAAAATTAATAACTAGATTTCTAAACGATTTTTTTTACAGATGTTGTACATTATTTTTGTAACTGACTTTAAATCATTGGAATAATGTCAAAATTTTTCCATTTTTGCAGAAAAGTGGACAAGAAACCTATGTGGGTGGTGTCTCCCACTTCTAATTTGGGTTAGGATACTCTATTCAATATAATGTTGAAAACCCGCAATAAAAAAGCAACAGTTTGGGTACCCAAATGTTATTTTCCAACACAAAACCTTGTCAGCCCGAGAACTTGCAGAAAAATGCAGAAAAATGCACCAGGACGAGCATTATGCTGGGGGAGACCCCAAGTTGCACACAAAGAGCAGAGCTGACCACTTGCATTTTTCCCCCACAGTCGAATTTACGAGGACAGCCCCCGAAAAATCACTAAGGCCGTCATCATTTCTCCAATCTCGCGGAACGCACCCGCCAACTTTCACTTCGCCTGTGACATTTCCAGTCCCGACCGTCTGCTAGCTGTCAAGTGGTCTAGGATTTCACAACACTGGAGAACGGTCCGCCCAGCTGGGCCAGATTTCCCCTGAGCTCCGAAGGGATTTCCGAACAACAAGCAACCCTTCGTCCGCCAATTCCCCAAGCACCCCGTCCACCCACCATCGCTTTCCCGGGGCCCCGGGAAATGCCCACAAAGGCGAGGAAAAGCTCGGCCGAGAGCGCGGACAGCGTCTGCTCCGCTGGAGCTGCTGGAGCCACGGACAGGTCACAAACTCCAACTCCGCTTTCACTAGCGACTGGGGACCGCGCGAACGCTCGAGGACACATGCCCGCAGCACAGATCGCACTTTGCCACAAATTTGGCCAAGACTCCGCTTAGTGGGGCAGGGAACAGTTATCCACTCCACGCAGGCGGGCGTATCCTTATTCCATTGTCTCTCAATCCACACTGGTGCTCTCTGTCTAGGCGATCATATGTTCCTCTACCCCCACCACCGCCACCGCAGGAGCAGGACACAACACACTCCGCGTTCAGCCGCAGCTCTCGAAAAACACTGGTCTTGGCACAGAAGCACTAATGGGGCTGCCTTACGCACACAAATTTTGCAGGAATAATTTAACTGCACGGGTATCCAGTTTGAGGTGGGTCTTGCAGCACTATTTTTTCAGTGAGGCTTTTCTTTGAGCCTCGCAGTGTGTACACACAACACCTGATACCTCCGCTTCCACTTTTAAGATGCCAGAATAAAGGGAACCCTCGACAGACACTCCGTACCGAGGGCACTACCGAAACCAGCGCACTTTCATTGTCCTTCCAGCCTCCGTACCTTGGCGTTCGTGTAATCCAGAGGTTCACAATTTTCCATCGCTGGAGCACTCGGCTGAGGCGACTGGGCCTTGCATCGCGTAGACGGCCTGAAAACTCCACTTCCCTAGCCAGTCCACAGTGCTAGATGGTCGCCCGACGCATTCCGACACTCGAAAAGGCGCAGCGCGAGGTTCGACGCGAGATTTGACATCACAAAACAGGGTCTGCACGCGGACCGACGGGAACCACGGAGTTCCGTTCGCGTCGCTGGCCGTTCTTTGTCTGCTGGGCTGCCTGCGTGCCACAAACATGAGCGGCCCGTGTCTCTCCTCTCCACCTCGCGGCTGCTTCTCCCGTCCGCCGCGTGGCGCTGCCGGCGCCCGATCAGCTGCGCCCGCTGCGCCCGCTGCGCCAGCTCTCAGCTGATTGGCCGAGCGCGAGCGCGTCGCGCTGCCAACCTACTAAACACTAAATATACTCCGACCTTGGTCTGCTCAAATAAGGAAACGCAGGCCAGGCGCTGCCGCGCTGCCTCGAGGGGCGTGCACTTGATGCAGGCGGGTCCGGTTCAAAGGGCGGCCGTGGCGTCGGCAGCGTGGCGGCAGGACGGAGGGCTGGCCGTCGAGGCTGCTGGCTGGGGACGGCCTGCCTGGGCCTCTCCGCCGATCAGCTGTTCGCTCGGTGCGGAGCGCGGAGCGAAGCGCCAGGCGAGCCCTCGCGCGAGCGAGACGGGGGCCTCGTTGGCCGCGAGCGGGAGCGAGAGCGCTGCCCAGGGGTGCTCGCCGCCGACCCTCGCGCACGCGCAGACCATCTCCAGGCGACAGGCCCGACAGGGCCCGACAGGGCGCCTCGCAACAAACCCACGGCCCGCGGCACCCCCAGGGCACCCCGCGGCAGTACCCGCCACTGCAAGAGTCGCTCTGTCCTTGTCGCACTCACGGGGCGGCCCGGAGGGGTGCGGTAGAGACAGTCTCCTCACTGCACTGACACTGCTGGCCCCACTGCAGGGAGATTCCGGACCACTTGGTCTCTCTCGCACTTGCGGGCGTCGGGCAGGGGTGCGAGTGAGACAGACCCAACTTGGCACACCCTGTCGCCAGGCCGCGGCCATGCACGCGGCGCAAGGCCCGCAAGGCGCGGCGCGTCCTTGGAGCTCTAGAGTCACTAGAAGGCCGACGCCAACGGCCAGCCCGGCCAGCCACGTGCGAGAAGCTCGGGAAGCGCGGGCTGCGCGAGCCAGCGTCAAGGACGAGCGAGAAGAGAGGAGTGGAGCCGTTATTTGCGGCCATCGGCCACCAACGCGGCGATAGCGCCGCCACTTCGGTCTTCCCTGAGCCGGAAGAGCGCGACAACGCGACCTGCAGACGCTCTGTCTCTCTCACAACCCGGAGGTACGCCCCGTGAGTGCGAGAGAGAAACCTGCCACTCGCCATCGCGGTGACGACTCGGCCGGCCATTCACAGGTTTCTCGCCAACTCGAGACGGATCCAGCCACTCCACGCCGTTCCACGCCCCTCGAACACAACAACAACAACACTGCGGGCGTCTGGGCGTCCGGACGTCCACGGCCTGGCGGCCTGGCTGGACCGGCAGCCTGTGGCTCTGCGGGGGCCATTAACTGAGTGCATGGACGATACGCCTGGCGATACGCCGCGTCGTTTTTGCCCAACGCGGTGGCAGCAACTTATCGCTGGCCGTGGTTGCCGTGGTGAGCGTGTGGCCCGTCGGGTAGGGTACCGCCTCGACGTGCGGGCGACGTGCTGGCACTGCTCTTGGTCTTGCTTGGTGGTGGCCACGCGGACGTGGCATGCTGTGCTGACGCTTTGAGCAGTATGCATGGTGGCGGTGGCTACGTGGTGAGTTGATGCCTGCATGGTCGTCATGGTCGTGGAGGCCCGGTCGCTCGGTCACAGGCGAGGCGAGGGGTTCGAGGTGGAGGGACTCGGACCTGGGTAAGGATAGCTGATGATGGGACCACCACTAAACGGGGGTTCAAACCCCCATTTTCGAGACACACTTTCCCCTCGTTTTATCCCAAATAAAACCCATCGGACAGTGTTCCGGTGACACCGAGGGTGGCACCCAACGCAGTTGTGGGTCTGCGTCGGGCAGAGGGAGCGCGGTTCGAATACCCGCTCAATTTTTTTTCCGTGTAGAACAGGCCAAGCCTTATTGGCCCAATGGCCGCCCCACCCACGCATCGCAAAGGGCGCCCTCGCCGAGGCCCTCGCTGGCCTGCCGACTGTCTCTCTCTCTCTCTCTCTCTCTCTCTCTCTCTCTCTCTCTCTCTCTCTCTCTCTCTCTCTCTCTCTCTCTCTCTCTCTCGCACTCACGGGGCATGGGGCGTATCCCGCGCGGTGTGAGAGACAGGCCGCGCTCGGAATCAGCCAGGCAGGCCTGGGCCGCGGTCGCGTCTCCCTGGGATATATGTAGGTCACGGGTCTCGGCGGGTCTCGCCGCCCTGCGGGCCGCGCAAAGGGGCCGCGGGCCTGCGAAGTACACCAGTACACTTGACCACGAAACGAGGAACAAGGTGCCCCACGTCAGCACCAGCTGCACCGCTGCGCCGCGCCGGGCGCGCGGGCGCGTCGGGCCCCGCTGCACTACGCTGCACCGGCCAGCCCTACTGCTGGCGCGGGTCGCGCGGTCTAATGTTTGGCGTCGTCAGCGACCCTCTTTTCGCTGCGGTGTTGTGGGGTTGTCATTGTCGGAGTGGCATCACACACGGCAGCCAAGGCCCGTCCAGGCGGACGCAGACATAACCCTGCGCGTAGCGTAACCGTTCCCAGCTCTCCGCGGAGCATTATGCCTGACTGTGTTGCCTAGGAGCCCGGCGACGAGGGACTGGATATGGGACACCTTGAGCCCCGCGCTTCGCAGTGTTCCACAGGCACAGTGCCCAGCGGTGCGGCCAGCGCGGCCAGCGCGGCGCGGTCGGCACACCCAGGTGAGCACACCTGTTTAGAGCTACCTGGAGCTGACCGAGCCAAGGTCGCTATACTGCTGCGGTGGCAGGGCAGGGCAAGGCAGGGCGGCACTCATGCCCGGGCCCCAGGCCGGCCCCTCCATGGGCCCAGGCCGGCCCAGGCCCCAGGCCGCGGGGCCGTGTCCCTGCCCCGTTCAGCCTACCGACTCCGAACAGACGCTCTGTCTCCCTCGCACCCTACCGGGACGCCGGCCGCGGCCGCGAGTGCGAGAGAGAGAGAGCGCTGTTCGGAACGGAGCTGCAGGCTCACCTCGCCCCGACTGCCTGCCTGGGACGGGGTGGCTGGTGGCGGAGTATGGTATGGTCTGGCCGCGGCGGGTCACACAGCAAAGAAAACCGTTTCGAAACAACGAATCCCGGCCTAGCCTGTTGAGGACGAAATTCGCGGTCGGGGCCGACGTTGGGCGACGCGGCCAGCCATTGACCATGACGCCGTGGGTGTGTTCCTGGTTTCGACAGAGGTGCCCCTTCGGCCTTGGGACGGGCTTGGCCTCCTCGGGCCGACTGCCTGGGACTGCCTGGGACTGCCTGCTGCTGAAACACGCCGAAGGCCCGAAGGCCCGAAGCACGACAGGAGGCGGCCGAGGCGCCGAGGCAGCGAGCGAGGATGAGCTTGCCTGCTTTGCTCAACAGCCTCATTAGAATGATGAGCAGCTGCAATGCCTTTCTGTATTTTCCAGGCCTTCCAGGCCCGAGCACTCTCCTCGGAGCGTCACGGCTTCGTCAGCGCTCGAGCGAGCCAGCAAGCCGAGGGAGCGCCGCGCCGTAATCGGCTGCTCATCTTCGCTCCGCACTCCGTGACTCAATGGCAACCTAACCTGACCTAACCTAACTTTGCCACACACTCATTCCGCCTCACTCAATGGAAACCTAAGAGCGGTTCCGAATCATCTTGTCGCGGAGAAATATTTTGAGGTTTGGGGTCGCGAGTATTTCTTCAGGCCAAGAGCGTTTCTCGCCGACACGTCCTGGCGGCGCGCTCCCTTGCGAAGCGCGCCAAAGTTACCACTCGTCCAAACAAACACTCAGAGTGCGTGCGCTGCGTGCGCTACAGTCGCTGCCGCCTAACGTGTGACTCACGGCCGGCACGCGCCCGCCACGCGTTCGCTGAGGTTTCGGGGCGGCGCGGCGGAGCGCCGACGACGCGATGTGCTAACCATCATTCATTGTGTCTCGTCCGGGCGGTTGGCAACAACGCCTCCGCCGCGCGGCGCCGCGCCGAGTCGCCGGAGATCGTAACGACGTTAACCTGTGAACTAGCGCTCGCCAGAAAGGACGCATCTGAAACGGGGGATTTTTGTGTGAGAACGGGCGGCCGCGTGGGAAACGGTCCATCCGGGGTAAATGGAAGTCCCACGGGACGCCGCCCTGTAGCACTGCCGCCTCATGCCGAAGGATCGCTCTGTCTCTCTCGCACCAACACGGGGTGCCCCATGAGGGTGAGAGAGACAGAGCGACGAACCACTGCGGGACTCCGCGGTCCTCGATTGCCTCGATGACGGATGACGGCAGCCTTGATCGCACCTTGTTGTACCGGAGGAAGAATTTTCCCAAAGCGTCCAACATTGTCATATTTTTAAAACACAAAATACGAGTATTTTCCATGTTTTTATTTTGCCGACTCTCCAAGTTTGTCCGGGCGCCGCGGGTTCGGTCCCGGTCTCCGTCGTCCCTTATCAGCCTCCCGTCACGAGGACTTCCCTGGAAGGCCTGGAAGGCGTGGAAGGGTGGGGCGGCCGCTGGAAGTGAGAACGAAGAACGAGGCCAGCCAAATATTACGTCACGCGCGTTGCGGCCTGCGAGGCGGACTGCTGGGGGCTCGCTGCAGGCTCGCTGGAGGCTCGCTGGAGGCTCGCTGGAAGGGGCGTGGCGGGGCGGGCTGCGGTGTCTTGGCCGTGTCCGGGATCGCACCCCAAGCGCACACGCGCTGAGGTCAGGTTAGGCTAGCTGGGTTGAGGCGATGACGATAACCTGACCTACC